GAACAAGGGCCTAACGTGTGCAAAATAGCAAGAACAAGGGCCTAGCGAATGCAAAATAGCAAGAACAAGGGCCTAGCGTGTGCAAAATTGTAAGAACAAGGGCCTAGCGTGTGCAGAATTGTAAGAACAAGGGCCTAGCGTGTGCATAATTGCAAGAACAAGGGCCTATCGTGTGCAAAATTGCAAGAACAAGGGCCTAACGTGTGCAAAATTTCAAGAACAAGGTCCTATCGTGTGCAAAAAAATCAAAAACAAGGGCCTAGGGTGTGCAAATTTGCAAGAACAAGGGCCTAGCGTGTGCAAAATTGCAAGAACAAGTGCCTAGCGTGTGCAAAATTGCAAGAACAAGGGCCTAGCGAGTACAAATTTTCAAGAACAAGGGCCTAGCGTGTGCAAACTTGCAAGAACGAGGGCCTAGGGTGTGCAAAATAGCAAGAACGAGGGTCTAGCATGTGCAAAATAGCAAGAACGAGGGCCTAGCGTGTGCAAAATAGCAAGAACAAGGGCGTAGCGTGTGCAAAATTGCAAGAACAAGGGCCTAGCGTGTGCAAAATAGCAAGAACAAGGGCCTAGCGTGTCCAAAATTTCAATAACAAGGGCCTAGCGTGTGCAAAATTGCAAGACCAAGGGCCTAGCATATGCAAACTTTCAAGAACAAGGGCCTAGTGTGTAAAAAATTGCAAGAACGAGGGCCTAGCTTGTGCAAAATAGCAAGACCGAGGGCCTAGCATGTGCAAAATAGCAAGAACAAGGGCCTAGCGTGTGCAAAATTGCAAGAACAAGGGCCTAGCGTGTGCAAAATTGCAAGAACAAGAGCTTAGCATGTGCAAAATTGCAAAAACAAGGGCCTAGCGTGTGCAAAATTGCAAGAACAAGGGCATAGCGTGTGCAAGATTGCGAGAACAAGGGCCTAGCGTGTGCAAAATTGCAAGAACAAGGGCCTAGCGTGTGCAAAATTGCAAGAACAGGGGCCTAGCGTGTGCAAAATTGCAAGAACAAGGGCCTTGCGAGTCAAAAATTGCAAGAACAAGGGACTAGCGTGTGCAAAATTGCAAGAACAAGGGCCTAGCGTGTGCAAAATTGCAAGAACAAGGGCCTAGCGTGTGCAAAATTGCAAGAACAAGGGCCTAGAAAGTTCAAAATTGCAAGAACAAGGGCCTAGCGTGTGCAAAATTGCAAGAACAAGGGCCTAGCGTATGCAAGATTGCAAGAACAAGGGCCTAGCGTGTGCAAAATTGCAAGAACAAGGGCCTAGCATGCGCAAAATTGCGAGAATAAGGGCCTTGCGAGTGCAAAATTGCAAGAACTAGGGCCTAGCGTGTTCAAAATTTCAAGAACAAGGGCTTAGCGTGTGCAAAATAGCAAGAACAAGGGCCTAGCGTGTGCAAAATTGCAAGAACAAGGGCCTAGCGTGTGTGAAATTGCAACAACAAGGGCCTAGCGTGTGCAAAATAGCAAGAACAAGGGCCTAGCGTGTGCAAAATTGCAAAAATAATGGCCTAGCGTGTGCAAAATTTCAAGAACAAGGGCCTAGCGTGCAAAATTGCAAGAACAAGGGCCTAGCGTGTGCAAAATTGCAAGAACGAGGGCCTAGCGTGTGCAAAATTGCAAGAACGAGGGCCTAGCGTGTGGAAAATAGCAAGGACGAGGGCCTAGCGTGTGAAAAAATGCAAGAACAAGGGCCTAGCGTGTGCAAAATATCAAGAACAAGGGCCTAGCGTGTGCAAAATTCCAAGAACAAGGGCCTAGCGTGTGCAAAAGTTCAATAACAAGGTCCTAGCGTGTGCAAAATTGCAAGAACAAGGGCCTAACGTGTGCAAAATTTCAAGAACAAGAGCCTAACGTGTGCAAAATTGCAAGAACAAGAGCCTAGCGTGTGCAAAATTGCAAGAACAAGGGCCTAGCGTGCAAAATTGGAAGAACAATGGCCTAGCGTGTGCAAAATTGCAAGAACAAGGGCCTAGCGTGTGCAAAATAGCAAGAACAAGGACCTTGCGTGTGCAAAATAGCAAGAACAAGGGCCTAGGGAGTGCAAAATTGCAAGAACAAGGGCCTAGAGTGTGCAAAATTGCAAGAACAAGGGCCTAGCGTGTGCAAAATTGCGAGAACAAGGGCCTAGCGTGTGCAAAATTGCAAGAACAAAGGCCTAGCGTGTGCAAAATTGCAAGAACAAGGGCCTAGCATGTGCAAAATTGCAAGAACAAGGGCCTAGCGTGTGTAAAATTGCAACAACAAGGGCCTAGCGAGTGCAAAATTGCAAGAACAAGGGCCTAGCGTGTGCAAAATTGCAAGAACGAAGGCCTAGCGTGTGCAAAATTGCAAGAACAAGGGCCTAGCATGTGCAAAAATTGCAAGAACAAGGGCCTAGCGTGTGCAAAATTGCAAGAACAAGGGCCTAGCAAGTGCAAAATTGCAAGAACAAGGGCCTAGCGTGTGCAACATTGCAAGAACAAGGGCCTAGCGTGTGCAAAATTGCAAGAACAAGGGCCTAGCGTGTGCAAAATAGCAAGAACAAATGCTTCATTTCAAGCCGAATGAAACTCCTCTTCCGTCGCAACGTCGCGAGCGACGCATCGTCCTAAGTCGCATCGTCCTATAAGAACCCTAACCACGCTAACGCCGTCGTAGAACGGAGAATGACCGACGGGAAACGTCATCGTGTAAGGAATGTTCAGGTTGAGAGCCTAACGTCAAACAAAAACTGATCTTAGACGAAGTTGATGGGATCTTATTTGCTCAAACAGAGTTGATAGACTTCTAGCTTCTAGATTCTATGGAAATAACGAGTTGCTCCACGTTAAACAAGATATGACGGTATAGAGAAAACGATCTGACGGTCGTCCAGAAAATGATATGACGGTCGTCCAATTAGGACTGTTGAGCGTTTTGATTAGAAGCCTAAGCTTAGTCTCAAGCGATTGCTAATTTTGACGCACGCGTCATTACTGAAGAAGCGGCCATGGACGGACGGACGGAGTTAGCAAGCAAGCGCCTGAAAGAACTCGCGGAGCAGGACTAAGCGAGAGGGATTGTGGAATGGAAGGGAATGCGAGGCTAGCGGAAGTGAGATGAGTCGCCGTGGAGCAGATTCACACACAGGGCAGAAGGAAAGCCCTAGCGGAGGTGTACTTGTCCATGGTGAGGCCGATCCAAGTTCGGTAATTCGGTTGAGTTTGGTTACTCACGTGTCTACGTGGTACCACGCGAAAGAGGTTCGGTCGATCAACTACACCTGAGAGCGATGGCCTAGTCAGTGGAGGTGAGGGGAGGAGGGGGGTGGAGAGGAAGGGACGTGAGGGAAGGGAAGTGAGGAGCCAAGTCGCCATTCAAGCCGAGAAAGGTCCCTCTCTCCAGAACAACCCCAAGGCGGGAGACGCCGCTGCTGCTGCAGACTCTGGTTGCGGAAATTTTGCGCTGACGAGGCGGGAAGCCTTGGATGGTCGCCAGAGGAGGTGCGCTGTGTTGGGCTGAACGCCCTAGGATCTTTAGTAGAGTTAAAGTCTGAGTAAATGATGTAGTAGCGGAAGCGTTTGAATAAAGTCCTTGAACCACCTTGCGCTAGTATGTGAGGGCAAAGTAAGTTGATTAAAGCAAAGAGATACAGGAATATATATGAGTACAGAGAATATGAAGAGACATAATTGTAACTGTTTTACTGTTGCGGTTCGATACAGTGCGACTCGGGCAACTACTCAATGTCGAGTCAGTTGTGTGTCCTTGCTGTCGCGCTGCGTCAGGTCAAAGGTCGCTGACCTTTGACTTTCTCGTAACCTCCAGCGGTTATGTTAACCTCTGAGGGTTGACTCGCGGTGCTTCGATTTGAGCTGCTTCGCTTGTGTCTTGAGTTTCGACACGACTGAGGCGCTTAAGACTATTTGTTCCCAACACGCTGAACGGCGGGGAGCCGCGAAGACTGTCCGAAGAGCTGGCGAGCGGACTAACGTTTCGCCAGGGTTCGAAAGTTACCATAAACCGCTGTGCAAGAAATGTTACCGTGATTTTGCGGGGGGCTGGTCCTGACTTGTACGGCGTTGGATAGGATGGTGATGGTGAGGTGAGGTTAGCAGATAGGCAGCTACACTATTGGCTCGGATCTCGTGCAAGTGTCAGACCAGAGTTTCGAATTTGAGTTTACCGTCACGTCAACCGTCTGTTGGAGGGAAAAGCCGTTTTCCGGCACCATGCCGTAAAAATCTCGTTATTAGTTGGAAGCAGTGGGTGATTGTTGATGCTTGCTTACATTTGTAAACTTCAGCCAACAGCAATTTATATTTTCTACTCCAAAACCTGCACTGCCACGGATTGAAGAATCGAAACAAATACCATACATGTAAATACCTGACAAGTCAATAGTAATTGCTGAGAGCACTGACAACATGATGGGTGGTGGGAAGTGCATCACGCACTAGGGGCAATTCCCAAGGTTCAGGCTTCACCCACCTGCTGTTCCCTCAACACCAGCGGCTGCATTGCTCAACAACTCATGCACTGCCGCTACTCCCGCACCTCCTCTGGCTGACTGCACGTTCCCTCACTCACTGGTGGGATGTCTGCCCTCCCAGCTGTGCCCACCCAGCCTGCTTTCCAACCAGTGGGGTGCCTGCTCAAGCAACAGACGTGCTTTCTCTGCTTGCTCTCTGCTTATCAAGTAATGGACCACAGCCAGTAAGTGCCTGTAGCCATGCAGTTGTTCTATCACATGAATGTGCTGTGTAAAAGGCGTGCAGTAGTTTTTTGCAAGGGGTCCCTTACTGCTTGACAAGAGGTATTGTACAGCATTGAAGCCAGTAATGGTTCGGACTGATCTTGATGATTTCATGCATCCGTCAGGAGGCCAATACACAGCCCCTTTCCCCTTTGAGAATTAGCTGAGCTGAGTGTTGTTGCGAAGGAAAATATAATTCATTGCGCTTTTGCAGGCGTATAAAAAGTCTAGCACTGTCCAGGTATCACCTACCAGGTATCACCTACACAATATCTTGGTTCAGACGCGGACCCTCCTAAGCGGCGGTCTTGGGCTTGAGCTCCTTGACCACCTCCCACGTGAAGTCGGGGTCGTCGCGGCCGAAGTGGCCGTACGCGGCCGTCTTCTGGTAACGCTTGTTGCCGCCCTTCTTCAGGTCCAGGTTGATCGAGATCATGCCCGGCCGGAAGTCGAACGCCTCCTTCACTAGCTCGAGGATCTCCTTATCGGGGATCTTGCCAGTGCCGTACGTGTCCACGAAGATCGACAGCGGCTCGGGCACACCGATGGCGTACGAGACCTGCCAGAAGGATAGTCGGAGGATGTGAGTGAGTTAGCACCAAAATAGATGAACTAACCGCAGTACCAGCTAAAATATGGTACTTGTTGCTCAGATCCACGTATCCACCTAAATTCATTCTTGAGAGCATCGTCAACAGGGTGCGGGTGGTGTGTGACGTGGATCTGTTTCTTCGGGGTGGTCACGAAACAAACGCCATTTACTTCAACCCATGATTCATAAACCCTACAAACCGCCTTCCAATCTTACCTGAGTGAGGGCGCGCCTGGCGAGGCCGGAAGCGACGATGCTCTTGGCGGCCTGGCGGGCAACATACGCGCCGGAGCGATCCACCTTGGTGGGGTCCTTCCCGGAGAAGGCGCCACCTCCGTGCGCGCCCCACCCGCCGTACGTGTCGATGATGATCTTCCGCCCGGTAAGACCGGCATCACCGTGGGGACCGCCGATGACGAAGCGGCCGGAGGGGTTAAGGTGGAAGATGGTGTTGTCGTCGAGGTACTTAGCGGGGATGACGGGCTTGATCACGTGCTCCTTGAGATCCGCCGCGATCTTCTCGTTGGTCACCGTCTCGTCGTGCTGCGTGGAGATGAGCACCGTGTGCACGCGGATCGGCACCATCGCGCCGCCCTCGTTCTTGTACTCAACGGTCACCTGCGTCTTGCCGTCGGGCCGCAGCCACGGGCACACGCCGTTCTTGCGCACCTCCGTGAGCTTCGCGCCCAGCTGCGTGGCGAGCACGTGCGTGAGCGGCATGAGCTCGGGGGTCTCGTCGGTGGCATAGCCGAACATGTGGCCCTGGTCACCAGCGCCGACCTCCTCGGGCTTCTTGGTGCCCATGCCGTGCACACCCTGCCCAATGTCGGGGCTCTGCTGCTCGATGTTGATCAGAACCTGCATATTCCACCAGTAGTGAACCGTCAGTACGAATCCATCTGAGTGACAGTACGCTACGCTTACTAGGACGATGGATTCGTGAAACCCGCGGAAGGAATTTTTCAAGCAAAGAAAGACAAAAACACAAATCAAATCGGAGATTTTAGGAGGGCGTACATTGCACTTGTCGCAGTCGAGGCCGACGTCGTCGGAGACGAAGCCGATGTTCCTGACGGTGTCGCGCACGATCTTCTCGTAGTCGAGCTTGGCCTTGGTCGTGATCTCGCCGAAGATCATCACCATGTTGGTCTTGGTGCACGACTCGCACGCCACCTTGCTGTCGGGGTCTTGCTCCAGGCACGCATCGAGAACGGCATCGGACACCTGTAAATCCAAGCGCACACGCAGGGACATACAGAAGCTAGCTTGATAAATCCGTACATCACTCATCAATAATTTGAATCCAGATTCGTCAGCGAACCGAGGGAGCTAATGGACTTTCTGAACACTTTTAGGGGAAAAAACCAAATTTACCTGATCGCAAAGCTTGTCAGGGTGTCCCTCGTTCACGGATTCGGAAGTGAAAAGGAAAGTTTCCGTGGCCATGGCTCTGAATTTGGAAGAAGAGCTGAATCTGTGGGACAAAATGGCCTATGGACAGAGGGAAACTGAAGCAAGCTAGGATACTGAAGGGGAAAATGAATTCGGATTCTTATTATCGTCACGTCAGTGTGTGGAGGTTTCCCTGGGCGACAGCGCAAAGCTCGATGGGCGACAGATCAAAACCCGATGGGCGACGCCATCACCGAACATTGCGATGGGGTGACCCCGAGGGAACGGAGGACGGATGGCGGGAAAATGGGACCGCGGGATTTGTCAATGCTCCCTGGGGTCGGAGCCCTCGATTGACGCGGGAGTTCATCTTGACCGTTCGAATTCGTCAGGTTGAAGTCCCAGGAGAGCCAGCTGATCATCGATGCGTGCGAACATAGCACGCCTTTCGAATCACGATTCGCCAGGTCACTATCGGCGGAAGGTGATACCACAGCCACCACTTTCGCGAAACCCCACACTTCAGGGAAATGAGAATCGTTCGGTGTACCTAGCCGAGAAACGCAATAAGGATCGAAAAACATTACTTCGCTTCTTGTCTTTCCAAATATGTAATCATCATTCGTATAATGTAGAATGCAAACCAGAAGAACAATTTAATATCATACATATTTCTCCCTTCCATTCAGGTTCTGACTCAGCCACACACAAGGATCTAAGGGGTGACATTACTTGGAATAGTCAATAGTGAACCCCTAACATCTGCTCCGCTAATGTGTGGACTTGCTTTGCAGTGCATCCAGCAACTGGTTAGCCTGCAGAACACAGAAACACAGGCATTGTAAGCAAACGAGCATGAGAAAATATCACTAAGACGTTTGGCAACGTCCACTGGCACCGCCTGAGCTTGGGTTGGTTGTGATAACAGCCACACAGATAAACACACCCCATCCTCACTCCCAGATCCTCGCATTCACTAACAACTTCCATGACCCATTCCCGTCATGACCCATTCCCGTCATGACCCATTCCCGTCATGACCCATTCCCGTCATGACCCATTCCCGTCATGACCCATTCCCGTCATGACCCATTCCCGTCATGACCCATTCCCGTCATGACCCATTCCCGTCATGACCCATTCCCGTCATGACCCATTCCCGTCATGACCCATTCCCGTCATGACCCATTCCCGTCATGACCCATTCCCGTCATGACCCATTCCCGTCATGACCCATTCCCGTCATGACCCATTCCCGTCATGACCCATTCCCGTCATGACCCATTCCCGTCATGACCCATTCCCGTCATGACCCATTCCCGTCATGACCCATTCCCGTCATGACCCATTCCCGTCATGACCCATTCCCGTCATGACCCATTCCCGTCATGACCCATTCCCGTCATGACCCATTCCCGTCATGACCCATTCCCGTCATGACCCATTCCCGTCATGACCCATTCCCGTCATGACCCATTCCCGACATGACCCATCGACCTACCGTGAGTCGAGCTCTCGACGACCCGCGGTGCCTCATCTTGCGCAGCACCAGCAGCGCACCCTCCTCCAGCATCTCCTGCCGTGCACCCTCCTCCTCCACCACTCTCACCAGCACCGCCCCCACATCCTTCTGCACCCTCCTCCACCGCTGCTGCTCCCCTGCCCCACTCCCCACATTTCCCGTCCCTCCCCCTCCCCCACCCGGCCCTTCCTCTGACACGGCACTCAGCTCTGCCAGAGAAGCCATGGATGGAGATGCCCCCAGAGCCGTGCTGCTCGCCCCCAGCAGCTCCACCAGTGGTGGTATACCACCGGCGGCAAGAATCTGCCTGCTGCCCTCCTTGGCCTGCGCCAGCCTCGCCAGCACTGCCACTGCTTTCTCCTCCAGGCCCAGCCGCATCCCCCCCTCCTCCTCCTCTAGCATCCGCACTAGAGGACAAACGGCGCCGGCCGCGATGATTGCGGGGACGAGGTCGGCGCAGAGGGAGAGGTTGAAGAGCGTGAGGGCGGCGTCCTTGCGGCCGCGCAGGGAGCGGGCGGGCGAGGGCGGCAGCATGTGCACCAGGCCGGCGAATGCACCTGCCGTGGCTGCCACCCGCCGCCGCATTGCGTCCGGATCGCATCCAAAGAGGTTCAAAGCGGTGCTGAGCGGATCGGGAGCAGTCGGGTTGGGGTTTGAGGGGTGGTTGCCAGTGAGGGCTGGCTCTTGCTGGGGGAAGGAAGAGGAGAGGAGGGCAAGGTGGGCGGTGGAGAGGGAAGGGCCGGTGAGAGAGGAGGTGGAGGAGGAGAGAGAGGTGGAGTGTGCAGAGGAGAGGGAGGGTGGGAGTGGCGACGAGGTGAGCATGAAGAGAGCAGCTGCTGCATTCTCCCGTGCCTCCTGTGACACCACCGATGGCAATCCACCTGAGCCCGCTGTCCCCTCATCATCCCCCCTGCACGCCCCCTCCTCTCCCATGCAGGCCCCTCCATCCCCCATTCTCCCCTCTCCATCACCACCACCAGTGCTGCTGGCACCACTGCTGCCACCGCCACTACCGCCACCACCAGTGCCGCCATCACCAGTGCCGCCATGACCATGAGGGCAGCAGGGGCGGGCCACGAGGCGGGAGAGGGCGTCCACGGCGCCCTCCGCCAGCAGGGCGCCGTGAGTGGCGGGCGACAGCGACAGGTTCAGCAGCGCTGTCACCGCGTGCCCCACCGCCTCCCGCGCGCTCTCCCTCCGCGCGCTCTCCGCACCCACCGCCTCCCGCGTCCACGCCTGCTGCACGCTCGCGCCCACCGCCTCTCGCCGTTCCCCTTCTGCTGCCTCCGCCGATTCCGCCGTTTCAGCGTCCTCCGCTTCCCCTTTACCCGCCACCATCGCCCCGCAGGCTGCTGCGCTTTCCCCGCCTCCTGTCCCCGACCTCTCCTCTCCGCGTTCCGCCCCACCTAGAGCCCGCGCTGCCCCCTCCACTGCCCTTTCCCCTTCGCTCCTTCCCTCGCGCTCGCTTCTACTCTCCGCCTCGCCCGCCGCGCTTGCTCTCCGCGCTCTCCGCCCCTCACCTCCCCGGATCCGCGCGCTCTCCGCCAGCAGCAGCGCGTCCGCCACCTCCACGAGCGCGCCGATGGCGCCCGGCACAGCCGCCACGATGCTGCGATTCGCGTCGCTGCTCTTCACCAGCAGCCGAACCGCACGCGCTGCCGCCGATACCGCCGCCAACTCTTCAGCGCCTCCCGCACATTCCGCTCTTCCCTCTCCGCCGCCCGCGATTTCTTTCTCCCCGCAGCTTTCCGCCACATCCGCGCAAACCGGTTCCGCCAGCTGTTGCGCCGCGCCCCTTACCGCGCGCAGCTCCCCCATGAGGTGCGCAACCATTCCGCGCACCTCCCCCTCCATGCGCAACCGCTGCTGCTCCGCCTCTTCCCATCGCAGCGCCTCCTGCTCCCACCCCACAATTACCCCCGTTTTCCGCGTTCCCACCGGCGAAGTGTGCGGTCTCTCGCTCTCCCGCGCCCCGCCGTTTCCGCCAATAGCCGCCCAATTGGAGGGGCTGGGCGTGATGATAAGCGCGCCGGTTTGTAGCGAGTACGCGCATTGCAAAGTGCGGGGCGAGGGGGCGCTTGAAAACGACAAATAAGTGCCGCCCGGAGTCCTTGGCACGCTTGCGTCGGAGTTCGTCGGCGAAACGGCGGAGTCCGAGAGATTCGCCGGGGAATGCGGAACTTCCACGCGCACAGCCGCGCGGTGCGAGGGAAGAAACGAGGCCTCGGCGGAATGTGCGGCGCGCATCTTACGAGACGCGGAGGAGCTGCTCTTAGGAGATGTCGGCGCTTCGAGGTTCTTCCACATGTCCATAATCTCCGGCGGAGACGTGGCATCAACTGTTGCGGCAGATTCTCTGTAACCTAACGATGCTCGAAAGGGGGAACCCGCGGCGCTAAACGCGGAATGCGGTGCTGACGTGGATACGCTACTGGACAGGTCGGATGATGACGCGGCTCCTGCTACATGATCGATCGGCGTGTCGCATGACGTCCCAACTCTTACTGCCGACTTAGCGCGTGACGCACCCCCGCTAACTGCACCTTCCACCATTTCCTTCGGTGATAGTAACGAAGTTCCATCGACGTCTCCCCGCACTTGCTGCGCCGGTTCCGCCGGCTTCTCCGCTTCCGCTGCTGCCGGCCGCGCATCGCCGCGCGTGCTGCTCTCCGTGTCGGCGTCGTCGCCGTAAAACGAGTGCGTGGCGGGGTTGCGGCAGCAGATGAGCGACCACACCCGCCGGTGGTGCGCGCCGTGCGGCATCGAGGTCGAGGAGGTGACAGCCATGGCAGCGCCTAACATGGATGGATGGGGAAATAGCAATAATGTTGATGTGAAAGCTCTCTTATCTATGAGCGGGTGAGTGGGGCTGGGCATGAGTTGGGTCACGTTGCGCTACAGCAACTGGTTCGGGCCAAACCTCTTTCAGTGGCAGCGAGGTTGGCATGGCAGCGCTGAAGCATTCGCGGGGTTTCCAGGGGCTTGCCAAGGTTTATTACGTTGCTGTGTGGTGGAAGGAGATGAAAGCAAAGCCAGCACGTGCAACGTTTGGCTGAAATCGAATCGCAATGAGCACCGTGTGCGTGAACTTGCTGTGCGATCTTTATATGGTCTGGTCTGGAGTCGGACAGCGTTTCACAACAGAATCAGTTTTGTTACTGAAGCACTGTACGCGCTGTCGTCTTTACTCACCATTACCGCGTTGATATCGAGCAGTACAGATTTTTTTTTTTTTTTTTTTTTTTAAGGAGGTGAAATCACATTATAAAATGCAAAAAACACCATCCACGGTCGTAACCGGGCTAGAGGGCCTGGGTACAATTGTACCGTACCCTCGCGGAAACATCTAAGGTGGTTTAAAAGTCAGGTGCCTAAATATTGCAATCTGCCCGTTCAGAATTCTCTTCACGCCTTTGACATTTCTCACTCCTGGCAGAAACACCTTGGAGCATCCCACATGCTGTACTTGTTGCTTCATACAGGTGCCGAACTTGCCTTGCCGAAACTGGTAGGTTGGGGTGGTTGCACTCTTCACCTTCTTGAGGCGAAAGACGAAAGGAGTGGTTGCTGTGAAAGCCAATTTAGCACGAATGCGGTGAAAACCGGTTCCAATGGCATATGTGGTCGGACGTTTTGGGTGACGCAAACTGGCTTGAACGGCTCCCAATCTTCGATGCGGGGACTGACGACGAGATGTCGCAGCAGCAGCTGAAGCTGCTAACTCAGATCTGATGTTCACTCCATGAAACAAGATTCCTTCACGAAAACATTCAGCTCCCACGGACGAGAACTCCTTAGAACATTGCCGCCATGAATCATCATCTTCTAGCTGCAGATGCGCATCTTGTAGTTTATTAGTGTCACCAAAGTCATCCATGTTTGTATGAGTTTCAGGGTCATTGTCATTGTCGGCGTTGTCTTCTCGTTGAACATAAAAAACTTGGAGTTTCTTGTCTTGATCTTCATGCTTAAGCGTTTCAGAAAGGAAGATGACTTCATCATCAAGCACTTTAGAAGCCATCGAAGTAAAGATCTTGGACTTTTCATGAGATAAACGTGGTTGTTGATGAATGGCAGCAAATGACGATAAACGGAAGATGTTCCGTTGACGAACTTGTTTGAACTTAGATTTCCCGTGCTGTCTTCTTTGGTGAATACTTAAAACGTGTCCAGCCATTATGTTCTTCGTCGGAGCATCTTTAGCAATGTCTGAAGCTTGAAAGTATTTAACCTGAAAACACGGGAACTTTAAGAAGCAGCTTCGATCAACCAATGTCCGCTGTGTGGACATAATGTCGGTGTCGATAGTCAGCTCCTGGTCTGTAGATCCCGAAACTGTGTTCAGATTAAGACACTGACTAAGTTAGAGCTGACATTGTCGTCTTAGAAGTTCCTGGCAGGGAGAAGCGATGAGGTCATCGAGCAGTACAGATGCTCCATCGTAAGGTGTAGATGTGCTGAACGCATAAACCTGGAGAGTGTCATCCATAACCATAGGCGGCATCATACCTAGCGTAGCTGCTATTACGGGGTACAAAGCCAGCCTGTGACTAGGCGCGTCCCCTCCCTCGATCGATCGCGCGATCGCTGTGAAGAGCCGATCGGGCACACCGATCGCAGGTTTGGGGTGGGATTGGTGGGAGGTGACAACAGCGGATCGATCTCGATCCCTGGGTGACAGGATCGAGAATACTATCGGTGTGGCCACGAGGGCACATCGATCGTCACAGCGGAGGTGACAAGATCGTTAGGCACAAGTTACTGTAGATTCGCAAGCCTCCTCGAAATCTGGTTACCTTGTCAATCGCGACATTGTATCTGTCCCTCGATCGATCGAGGGCAGGATCGATCTAGGGAGGGGACGCGCCCTAACGCGATTGATCCATGGTCTCCATTGGCTGAAAGAATCGCCATGACCACTGTTTGTGGAAAGGCAGTCAATTGTTCTCAGTAATGTGGCACCCGTTTGTTGTACTGGTCTGTACTTATCTCGAGATGCTGTAAAGGTATTTCCATTTATTTCTTGTCACAGACGCACAACGAAGTCGTCGCCGCAATTTCTTACTGTCGTTGCTGACTCGTCAATTGTGGTGCTGCGATCAGGTTCCGAGGGCGGAAGGCGGGAAGTGTTTGTCTGACGTATTCGCAGAGTCGCCTGCGACAGACTTGGAGCGTCGCCAGACAGAAGGCGGAGGGCGACGCAGACGTGACAATGGCGGCTTTAGGCGGTGTGAAAATTCGAATTGACTTTAGACCCCATTTTTACATGGTTGCTCTCAGGAAGTTTCATTCGGATTATTTTCATCTTGGAACTGAAATCTCTTGGGGGAAGCACGGTATTGCTGCTTGATTGGTGTTAAATTCAGTATGCCAGGTGTTTCATGCTGTGGTTCCAACAACTGTGCTTTCGGAAAACAGCCCTCACCCTCAATCCAAACAGCCCTTGCTGGTTGGTTCGGCTCTGTTGCCTTCGCATCAGGATGGCCGACTGGGGAAAATGCTGACGGATGCTCTACTTCCTGGCAACTGGCAATCAGCTCATCCTGCGCGATTGGTATCTCACCTGACGTCAGTCATGGCTGATATGACTAAGTATAGAGTGGTCTGCGCCATAATCCCCTTCTCGTAGTTACTTGGTATGCTATAAAGATTAATGTGTTTTTTTTTCCGTCGTCTATCAAAATTTACTGCTTTGTCCGCCTCTACGGCACATCCTGATCTCTCCGTTAGACGCTAGTGCACTGATGCTCTTCAGCTTGAAACGCTTATGCCGTATCAGATAACCCATATCGATAACTTCGCCTCTGTCATTCGATCGGCAAGTGCCACATGGCACATCTGACGCACTTCACTCTGCAAGTCCACGCCGAGCATGCCTCCTCCCCCTCCTTAGTCGCGGCGGCTCCCTCGTTTCTATTCGCCTCGCCCTCCCTCCTCACTCTCTCGCAATTCCTCGCCGCGCCGCACGATCGCGCCGTTTTTCTGACCGCGGTGCGGCAGCCGCGCGACGCGGCGTCGCCTTCGTCGTCGGAGTACCTCATCCGCGACCACGCGGCCCCACGTACTGCCACGTCAGCAGGCCCATCTGCTGCGTCACCGTTCGGCCCAGACGACTCATTTCGAGTCGCAGGCGAGGTGGTGGGATGCGTGCGAGGGAACTACGGCGGCACGCATTTCATTCTAGCGTCATGCACGCCGCGAACCACGGCGACAAAGGATGGTACCACTAGCAGCGAACCGCACGGAACGGTTACCAACGATGGCGAAATGCATCGAAGCAGCAGCTACGACGATGTTACAGAAAGCAGGCCGCAACGGGGTGCGGCCGATGAGCGAGGGCGGGCGCGGGCGCGGGGGCGGGGGGAAGGCGGAGAGAGTGAGGGGAGAGCGCGGAGCGCATCGGGGGAGGAGATCTCGCCGCCGCGCGGCGGAAGCAAGAAAGCGGATGCTCCCGGCAAGGGCGGGAAGGCGGGCAGAGATTTTAAATCCGGAAAGGGGTTTCGTCGCAAGAAGGGAAAATCGTTGTCGCACGGCGATTTTCTTTTCCCGAGAGGGTTGTCGCATGTCGATCGTGCGTCGTCCAGCCTCGCCGGTGCTGCCGTGATCGACGGCGATGCGCCTGCCTCCGAAAACGCCGACGCGTCTCCCCGGCACGTGGCTTCAGAGCGAGCGGCCTTCGCGCCGCTGCTCATTGGATGGCTGCCCGCGAAGGGCGGCAGGGGCGGCGGAACGGGGGGGGAAGACGGCGCGAGAGGATGGGGAGGAGCGGGGGGAGGAGGGGCGCGGGGGATTGGGGGGTTAGGAGCAGCAGGGGGATGGCTGACATGGAATGCGCGGCGAGGCTCAGGAAATGCGCGAGCGAAGGGCGACGACGAGCGGACGGGCGACGAGCAGAGCGAGTCGCAGGAAGAAGCGACGCAGGGGGGAGGGTCGCAGCGAGAAGAGTCGCAGAGGGAAGGGGCAGAGAAAGGCAAGCCGCAAAGTGTATTCGGCGTATCCTGGACTCAGGTACGACCGCGTCCCCTCTATACGCAGACTCGCTTTAGTGTATTGCACGTCGCCGTGTGGAAGCAAGCGCGCGTAACGCCGCACCCGCCCGTCGCCCCCCGCCCGCAGGTGGCGAGTGTCGCGGCGCGGGGAAGCACGGGGGCGCACGCAAGCGGAGAACGCCGCGAGGGGGGTGACAGTAACGAGTTGGAAGCTGTGGGGCCGGAGAACGGGGTCGTGAAGGGCAGCGCAGGATATTATAAAGGGAGTGCGAGTGGGAGTGCTACTGCGGGTGCGAGTATGAGCAACGCGTTGTGGCGTGTCTTCAGGGGCGCGCAGGAGAGCGGCGAGGAGTGTGCTTGTAACGAGGTGACTGTTGAGTCGATTGAGAAGTGTTCCAGTAACGAAGGGGCGGAATGCAAGGGCGCGTTGCACCGTGGCGGCGCGCAGCAGGGGAGCGGCGCGCAGCTGTGGGGCAGCGGCAGGTGGGGGCCGCGCGGGCGCGGAGGCGCGGCGGAGAGCTTGAAGGGCGCGGCTGACAGTTTCAAGGGCGGGGCGGAGAGCTCCGCTTCCGCGTTTCTCCGCGCCATAAAGGGCGCGGGCGCCCGGGAGAGTGGTGGTGCTGGCGGGGGCGGGGATGGCGGAGGTGGCGGCGGTGTGGTGGGCAGTTGGGGGAGGGCGAGCGGGGGGTCGGAGAGAGGGGCGCGGGCGCGGACGAGGGGATGCGGAGCAGGTGGGCGGGGAAGGCGGACAGGGAAGGGGTAGAAGGGAAAGACAGGCAAGTGTGTGGAGATGCGGAGAGTTCAGGGGAGCTTGTGGGGGCGGAAAGGCGGAGAGAGGCAGGGGCGGAGGAGGGGGGCAGTGAAAGTGGGGAAGGGGGGAAGGGAGTGGGGAGTGGGCAGGCGAGGGAAGGGGCCATAGGGACGGGGGAGGAGAGAAGGCGGAAGCAACAGGGGGATCAGCGAGTGGGGAGGGCGGGAGAGGGCGGAAGTGACGTGGGCAGTGTTGCTGACGCGGGCAGTGGTGCTGACGTGGACAGTGGGGCGCACAAGGCAGGGGGCGAGCAGGCAGGAGATACCAAGTCAGCCAGCGTAGTGGAGGGGACGCCATGGCGGGAGGAGGAGGAACCAGCTGCCAGCGAGGACAGCTGCTGCAGTGGCAACAGCAGGGGGAGCGAGGGGAATGGGGGGAGTGGGGGGAATGGGGGGAGTGGGGGAAGCGTTCAAGGCTGTGAGCAGCACGATTCTGTTGATGCTGTTGACTCGGTTGACTCGGCTGACTCAGGTGATTCGGTTGCCTCAGGGGACAGCGTTGACTCGGTTGACTCCACAGAGGACACAGCATGCTCCAGTGGTGGTGGCGCTGGTGACGGTGGTGCACTGCTGAGGTCATCTGCATCCATGCCCTCGCTGCAGTCCCGCCATCCATATCACCATCCCCATGCCCTCGTGCTTGCACACTCCCATCCGCACGCCCAAGCATCAGCCATGGTTCTGAATTCGCAAGATGCTGCTGCTCCTCTCATGCGACCGTCAGCCTCGTTCTCAGGGCCACTGGCGCTGTCAGGAGCACCACCACCACCATCACCACTAGCTGCGTTCAGCAGGCGGGGCGGGGCGGCAGCAGGAACATCAGCTAACCCTGGTGGTAACCGCAGCCGCAGCACCAGTGCTGGCAGCAGCAGTGGCAGTGGCAGTGGCAGCGGCAGTGGTAGTGGCAGCGGCAGCGGCAGCAGCGTGCAGCTGGCAGGCAAGGCAGAGGCTCTGATTCGGTTCATCGCCTCTCCTGCTGCTGCACCCCCTGCAGTACCCCACGGCATGCCTCGACTGTGGACCAACACCAGTAGCGCTGGCAGCAGCATTAGCAGCAGTGGTGGTGGCAGCGGCGGCAGCAGCAGCGGGTGGGTGATGGAGTGCACTCTGCTGGCAGGGCTGGGACGTACGGCGGGGCAGGGGGGCGGTGGAGAGGGAGGGAGTGGAGGGAACACAGGGCAGGCAGGCCAAGGCACAGAGCATTTTCGGAATGTGCAGCTGGTGGCGCATGTGGGTGGCGCTGCTGCTGTCCCTGCTGCTACTCATTTGTCTGGTGCTGCTGGTGTTGGTACTGCTGGTGTTGGTGGTGCCACTGCGGTTTTGGAGGTGCATCTGCGGGATAAAGGGGAAGGGGAGAGGGTGGGGGGTGGGGACGGGGCAGCAGGGGCGTGTGTGGTGCGGCTGGTGAGGATGAGGGGAGGACGAGGGGAAGGGGGCAGTGGGGGCGAGGGAGCAGGGCAGGACAGGAGGGTGAGTGCGCCTGGTGTGCTGGCCACTGCTGCAGCAGCAGCGACAGCAGGTGCAGCTGCAGTGAGTGCTGCAGTGGTTGCAGCGACAGGTTTAGCAGCAGGTGCAGCGACGGGTGCAAACGCAGCAGCAGGAGAGGCAGCAGCAGTGGTGGCAGGAGGGGGGGTGTATCTGCTGTCTCTGGATACCACAGCAGTCTCTCCCCTGCAGGCGCTGGGCATGTGTGTGGCATGGCTGGACAGCGCTGCTGCCAGGCGCCCTCTTCTGTAGCACTGCACCAGTGCTCCCCTCTGGGCGTACAGTCATCATCAGCATCAGCATCTGCGTGCACCAGTGCTCCCCTCACAGCTCTAGGCATGTGTGTGGCATGGCTTGACAGTGCTGCTGCCAGGCGCCCTCTCATCTAGGCAGCATGTAGCGCAAGGCCTCTCATGCGCACGCTGTGACTGCTCCTGTGCAAGTAGTGATATGCACCTTTTACAAGCCCTTGGAATGTGCGTGGCATGGCTGGACACCGCTGCTGCCAGGCGCCCTCTCATGCCCTAGTGCCTACTCTGCACCCCCTAGGCGTGCAGTCATCATCAGCATCTGCATGCACCAGTGCTCCCCTCACGAGCCCTTGGCATGTGCGTGGCATGGCTGGAGAGCGCTGCTGCCAGGCGCCCTGGCATGTACGGTAGGCAGCAAGTGACCGGCCGGTGGGGCTAGCCCTCGGTGTACTGCGGTAGTCACTCACCGCTGGTTACTCACCGCTGGTTACTCACCGCTGGTTACTCACCGCTGGTTACTCACCGCTGGTTACTCACCGCTGGTTACTCACCGCTGGTTGGTGAGAGCTCTCTAAGACTCGCACAGCATAGCACGCTCGTGTACACTCTATAACTGTTTCCTTGGATGTTGGTGGTGACTCTTAAACTAGGCTAGGAGAGAAGTATCGAAAGTGTGGTTCGAGTAGTGAGAGGCAAGGGATGCAAGTGTCGACCTAAAGTGTTGTACCCTTTAGAGGGCAACTCACTGTAGCCTAGACTAACAATATAAAGAATATATAACATTTGACAGTGACACACATGTATACACTTGACCTACCTACTATCGCAAGGGCGTTGCCCACGCCCACCCCCTCAACAGGGAGGATAGTCGATGAATGGCGCACATCCTAGGAATTCTGCTTGCCCTCTGCATTCTGCAGCCGGTTGTGTCGATGCCCCCACAGCACTCTCCCCTTCACCAGCCCTTGTGGAGCCTTGAGTCTTGATCTGTGGGGTGCTGAGCATTGTGGTGTGATACGGTAGTAGCGCAGCTACCAGCTGCCACATACGGTAGGCAGAACAGGCAGGCCCTTAGTCCTGCTCTCCCGCACAGGCTGCTGATGCTCTACAGTGAGCTTCCAGGGATGGATGGGCTGGGCAGCGTGGAGTGGAACAGCTAGGGGTGCGATGTTGGTGTTGCACTTAGACTCGATTGGTGTGTATTTGCTGTTGTGACTGACAGATATTGCTGTTTCTGGAGCGTGTGCTTTGAGTTTCTTGTTATTCCAGAGCTTCTTGCATGTGAGGCTCCTGCTTGCACTGAGATGCTGTGTGCCACACATACAGTGCTTAGCCAGTGCAAAAAGCTGCTTTAGCAGCAGCAGCAGCAGCAGCAGCAGTAGACGACGTACATGGCGGCACACTCCCTGCGATGGGAAAGCAGCCTAGTTTGGAGCCGGACGCTGCTTCAGTGCGCAACTCTCATGGGTATGGAATGCACTAGTGGCTGGACTAGAGATCCACAGTGCTGCAATGCTTCTGTGCTGCTTGTTTAGACACAGAGCACGTACCGTAATTACAGTTGAGATAGTGAGAGGGCGAGAGGGCAAGGGGAACACAGCAGCAGCCCGTCCTCACATACTTCCCTCGCCTCTCCTCCATCCATCCCTGCTGCCACCACCGCACTCTCACTCGCTCACTCGCCGCCGTACGAGAAGTTAGATCGCAAGAATTTGTTTTTCTGCCAACTGTTAAATATATTAAACAATTGCTTCGGGTACACACAAGTGTACCACTACAATTAAGGTTATCTTCTCCCGTAACCCTCCTACCCTGACCCTAACCATTAATAATCACTTCTCTCCTAGCGACCACACGTCCACGCGTCCCGCACAGGCGATGCGGGTTACCACGTGGTAACCCACATTTCGCCTAGGGAATGGGGATGGCGACCTTCATGTCGCGCTGGCAGTCGTCGCCAATGCTGCTGCCGAAGTAGAGAGTGGTGCCCTTGTCCGTGGGCTTCACTATGTAGCGGTAGAATCCGAAATAGGTGCCGGACGCGAGCGTCTTGGAGAGGAAGAAGCTGCACGTGCTATACCCGATGATCGTCGGGAACTGCCGCACGTCGTGCCGGCCCAGCCAGCGGAACACTGCATAACGGGGATTGATGGGCGGGGGAGGATGGATGAAACAGGGGATCAGAGAGGGAAAGGGACGGGCGACGAAGTGCAAACGGGGGGAGCTTCCTTTTTGCAAAGCACAAAGGCTGGCTCGATTGCGGTCGAACGGGAAAACGCCTTCTCAAAGAGCAGTGTTGATTGGGAAGCGCATATTCGTCACCCCAGTAAACCCAAGTCGCCGTGCGACGTGGCTTACGTATGATATCGCCGGGCTTGATGTTCCTCGGGGGAATCCAACCCACCACGTCCTGATTCCACGGACTGACGTAGCATATCGGTCTACTTTACAGGCCCGTTAAAGAGAGTGGGGCGTGGCTTACAAATGATATCGCCGGGCTTGATGTTCCGGGGGGGAATCCAGCCCACCACGCCCTGATTCCACGGACTGAAGTAGCGCAGTAGCCCCGACCCCACCTCGTATAGCTTCCCCTGTGTTTTCAGCTGCGCGGATGTAGGGCGATGGGAGAAGCGGGAAAGGCGAGAAGGAAGGAACGAATAGAAGAGGCACTATTGAGAAGAATAGCGATGGTTGAGGATGGGAGGGGTGGGTGAGGGGGGTTGGAGGTGTGGCGGGTGCGGACGAGCGGTGGGAGGAGATGGGGGGACGGTGGCCAGCGGATAATGCAGAAGAAACACAGCAAGGTGCGAGCTTTGCCTGGTAAATTGTACAGGAGAAGGAAGACGGGGGGCAGCAGCAGGGGGGCAGACACGAGGGGCAGAAGGGCGCGGAGGGCGATAGTGGGCGGAGAGGGAGGGAGTGGTACCTGTGCGTGGGCGAGCTCTGCGTGGAACGCGCACAGGAGGATGCACGCAGTCAGAACGGCTGTGAGCCTCGCCATGCCGGCGAGTGGCGCGGACTGCGAGAGCGAGAGGGTGAGGCACGAGCGTGCTGCTTGCGATCTGAATGTGCTGGTTGCGGTCTTAACGAGCTAGGTGCTACGACAGAACACGAGTGTGCGAGCGGTGCACTGGAAAGCTATGGCAGCGGGACCTTCTGTGAGTTGAATGAACAGCGTCGCAAAACAAGTGGCCGTTTTACCGACTCTGTGAGGGTCAAAGGAATTTATATCGGAACTGAGGTGCGGTACTCGCTTATCACCAGAGTGGTAGTATATGTTAACAAGAATGTAGGACGGTGAGCAAAGACCACCGCCACGGACGGTCGTGGCGCCTGTTGGGCCGACAAAATTCGTCCTCTTAACCTAGCCGCCAAAGCACACAATATACGGACGCGGAGTTCTGCAGCAAAGCAAGGCACAGGTTGTGTAAGGTTGAACTAGGAGGGAGGATGGCTGTGTGCAGGAGTCGCTAATCCGTTGTGGTGAATTGGAGAAATGGGCGCGGGAGGAAGGGCGCCACAAAGCACGCCAAACCTAGTGCCTCTGCGAAACGTTACTTGGAAGATGTCGGATGGGAAATTTTGAAACAAGCGAATGCGGTTCGAAGAATACGATTCGCTGAGGGACAGGGGGCGCAATCATCAGCGACTCGCAATTGGTAAGAGCCAATCAGGTGAAAACGCAGAGCATAACAGCTGTCGCGAACGGGTGTCAGATGCTCAACTAGCGACGATCGGATGGTATGCGACAGTAGCCAGCGAATTCAAAAACAGCAGATGTCGGTGGTTGGGTGATTGTTCTCAATGGAACTCCAGAACCAAGAAAAAGGAGACATAGCGCGCCAACAAGGGGTCGAACCTTGGACCTCTCGCTTAGGAAGCGAACACTCTATCCACTGAGTTACAGGCGCACGTTAAAAGTCCGACAAAATAATGTTTAAAACGTATACGATCGGCGGCGTACGAAGTCTTCCGCCTCTGGCTTGCTCACTCGCAACATTCATATGACTTTCTACAATACATATCGTCCCCAATTATCTATCACTGCGTTAGTGTATCATACTCCATTCTAATTGCATAAAAATGACCTCAGCCCTTTCAAGCCTCATCTCCTCAGGTCTCTCCGCGCCGACGCATCAATGCATGTCAACCTCTGCCTACTCACCAGCACCCGCCCAAGCCATCTCTCTGAAGTGGAACACACTTGATGCTACCTGACGGTATCTAGCCAAGGCGCTCACACTTGTGCTGCCATTGGTGGGACGATCTTGTTCGTCAATCGTTCCTGGCTTTTCCTCTGCTCGCACTTACGCCAAGTGATAAGCTTTACAATCAATCGAGTCGTTGCAAAGTACCCACACTCGTTTGCGCTTCGTCGTCCCCAATTCCCTTTCAGCCTCGTCTCCCGCGCGCTGCGTCCCACTCCCCATTCTGACCACGACCGCTTTTTCTCTCGATAAAAGCAGCCTCGTTTCCAGCATGGATCGGCCGTACCAGGGCGGCAGCGCGGCGGCATCGTGCGTGGAGGAGGGCGGCAGGAAAGGCGAGACCTTGGACGACGCGGCCGCGGAGGAACTCGCGGCGAAGCTTCGTCTGAAGTTCCGGACGGGCGAGACTCGGAACTTGGCGTGGCGCGAGCAGCAGCTGCGCAACCTGGTGCGCATGGCGGAGGAGCACGAGGAGGACATCATGACCGCGCTCAAGACCGATCTGGGGCGCGGCCGCATGGAAGCCCTCATTGAGGTGTGGCACTGGGTGTGGGGCGTTGATACAGAGAGAGTGCGAGGGTGCGGGTGCACGAGGAGGACATCATGACCGCGCTCAAGACCGATCTGGGGCGCGGGCGCATGGAGGCGCTCATCGAGGTGTGGCACTGGGTGTGGGGCGTTGATACAGAGAGAGTGCGAGGGTGCGGGTGGGATGCGCATGTGGTGCGCATGGCGGAGGAGCACGAGGACGACATCATGACCGCGCCATGGGGCGCGGCCGCATGGAGGCGCTTATCGAGGTATTGAGGGTTCTTTTACAGATTCATGTCATGTGCATTGCTTCTGGTTCTTGTGAGATGCATTTTTTTTTAGGGATTGGGAAGCGGTGTGCCGATGGCATCGAGAGGGCGAACAACGAAAGGCTGACGTTGAGAAACGGACATGGGGGAATGTCATTGGGGGAGTGGCATTGGGGGAGTGGCATTGGGGGAGTGGCATTGGGGGAGTGGCATTGGGGGAATGTCATTGGCGGAGTGGCATTGGGGGAGTGGCATTGGGGGAGTGGCATTGGGGGAGTGGCATTGGGGGAGTGGCATTGGGGGAATGTCATTGGGGGAGTGGCATTGGGGGAGTGGCATTGGGGGAGTGGCATTGGGGGAGTGGCATTAGGGGAGTGGCATTGGGGGAGTGGCATTGGGGGAGTGTGAGTCGGGGAGCAAGAATCGAGCAGTGAGAGGCGTGGGGCAGTGAGAGACGTGGGGCAGTGAGAGGCGTGGGGCAGTGAGAGGCGTGGGGCAGTGAGAGGCGTGGGGCAGTGAGAGGCGTGGGGCAGTGAGAGGCGTGGGGCAGTGAGAGGCGTGGGGCAGTGAGAGGCGTGGGGCAGTGAGAGGCGTGGGGCAGTGAGTGAGTGACATGCCGGTCGTCCCTCGCTTCCCGCTCTGCCACATGCAATCCAACTTCAGCCGCATGGGGCGCGGCAAGCCACATGCTGATGAGACACTGTCACACTGCAGTGCACGCCACATGTTTGGAGGGGCTTCTCTGCTGCAGTGCACGCCACATGTTTGGAGGGGCTTCTCTGCTGCAGTGCACGCCACATGTTTGGAGGGGCTTCTCTGCTGCAGTGCACGCCACATGTTTGAGGGGCTTCTCTGCTGCAGTGCACGCCACATGTTTGGAGGGGCTTCTCTGCTGCAGTGCACGCCACATGTTTGGAGGGGCTTCTCTGCTGCATTGCACGCCACATGTTTGGAGGGGCTTCTCTGCTGCAGTGCACGCCACATGTTTGGAGGGGCTTCTCTGCTGCATTGCACGCCACATGTTTGGAGGGGCTTCTCTGCTGCATTGCACGCCACATGTTTGGAGGGGCTTCTCTGCTGCAGTGCACGCCACATGTTTGGAGGGGCTTCTCTGCTGCAGTGCACGCCACATGTTTGGAGGGGCTTCTCTGCTGCAGTGCACGCCACATGTTTGGAGGGGCTTCTCTGCTGCAGTGCAGCGACACTGCATTGCATTGAACGTTGCCGCTCGTCCTCCTGCCCCCGCTCACCCCCAACCCGTTGCGCACGCAGGTGCTGGGCGTATGGAAGGCTGCGAGCCACATGCTGAAGCACTTCAAGAAGTGGGTCAAACCGCAAAAGGTGCGCCTGGTTGGGTGGGGTGAGGTGAGGGGGCTTGAGGGGCGGAGTGGGGGCAATGGGTGGGGAGAGGGCGTGGGGAAGGCTGCGAGTCACATGCTGAAGCACTTCAAGAAGCAAGGTTCAAAATTTCGGTTGGGGTAAAATACGCTTCGTTTAAAACGCTCGTTTTTTACGCTGTTTTTTCAAAATTTCGGCCGTTTTTTTGTTGGAGATTTTTGTGCCAAAAAAAAAAAAAACAGAAAGGGTTCATAGATGATTCCAGAACAGGGCAGCATACAAACGGAAAGTAACATGCTAAAAACTAGTCAGAAATGAGCAAACACAGTCAGGTCCCTCCTCCTTCCTCCTAACTACCTACTCCTACTCCTTCTACCCCCTCTTACCTAGTCCTTATCCTTCAGCCCCCTCCTCTGATCTAGTCCTTACCCTTCAGCCCCCTCCTCTTACCGATAAGTTATCCTTCAGCCCCCTCCTCCTACTTAGTCCTAATCCTCCTCCTCTTCCTCATCCTCCTCGTCATCCTCCTCCTCCCCGCTACTCCCGTCGCTACAATCCCACGCATTCACCCCCTTGTTCTTCCGCTTAGTTGGTTCATCCGGACCACTGTCATCATCACTGCTCCCATCCTCCGCCTCTTCTTCCTCTTCCTCACAAACCTTCTCCTTCCCCTTGCGGGACCCGCTGCCCTTGGAAGCACTCTTCTTCTTCTTCTTCAGATTTGCGCGCTTCCTTTTGGTCACCCGCTTGCCAATGTTCCCGAAGGTGTCCCAGTCAATGGTACACGGCTCCCCCCCCGCCTCCTCCTCCTCATCCACCTCCGCCTCCACCGGAAGAGAAAGAAGAACGCTTGTGCTGCCCTCCTGCAGCGATCCATTGCTCAACTCGCTGTAGAGCTTAGCACGGGCCTCTGTTTTTTTGTCATAGGACTCCCGAGCTCGCCGGCCAAATGCCACGAATGCCACGTCCGTCATGGACGTGGCATTCAGCCGGTTGCGGTCCCGCCTTTGGACCCTTGCGAGAGCGGACCAGTACCGCTCGACCTCGGATGAAGTCACGGGCTGGGAGAGCAACATCACCGCAATCTTTTGCAAAGCACGAACCTCACCCCCATACAGCGCCCACCACTCAGCCGCGGAGAGCCTCCCACTCTCCACCAAGATGGTGGCAGCCCACCGCGCATCCACAGACCCCAACTTCCCCTCTCCCTTGTGAAAAGCGGCTAGTCGCACCGCTAGCATCGTCCGCATCTCAACACTGCCCCCCCTTGCCTTAAACACCTCTTCAGCCCCCGCCCTCAGTTCCGCATCCTCCCGAATCTCGCCTACGTACTGATTCTTCGGGTTTAGAAGCCACCCCAAGGCGTGGAGGGGGTTGTGCAGCTGTCCGTCCCATCGGTTGGCTATGATAGCCTTAAACGCAGCAAGAAACGCGGCCTTCTTGTTTCCCGGAAGCAAACCGGTTTTCTTGGAGAGTTGGGCAGCTGCGCACGCGGTAAGAGCAACAAATTCATGGTGAGTAATAGCGTCGGAATGGCTGGTGTAGGGTAGGGACAGGATCGTTGAACTAATTGATTCATATGTTTAATACATTGAACTTACCCGCCTTCGTTGCCGCTTCGTTGGACTTGACCGTAGCCTCAAGCATGAGGCCGTAGACGCTCCCCATCACAAGGGACCGCCGGTCAACGATGCGTAGCACCTCGTAGATGGGCTTCATGAGGCCGAGAATGGCCGTGACGGAGTCCCAAAACGTCTCCTCTAAGAGGAGACCACGTACAGCGTGCCCCTCCTCCGTGTTCGCCACCGCTACACTTTTCCACTCCTCACTAATCACCATCTCCTTCAATGCCTTTTTAACCTCAAGGAAACGCTCGATCATGATCACTTGCGTTCCAAAACGAGTAGCACCAGGGCGGACAAGCGCTAGCTTGCTAAACAACTCACGGAAAAGTGTGACGGCCGATGCACTCCCCTTGACCATCATCACAACCCGATGCACCTGGTTGAGGACCCTCTTCACCGCCTTGACCTTCCCCATATAGTGAAGCATGAGGTCCAAGACGTGGGCCGCACAATTGGTGAAGAAGACTTGCGGGTACCCGTCCTTGAGCAAGTTTGCCGTGCGCTTGTTGTTAGCCGCGTTGTCCATGACGACTTGGACAACGTGGCTGTCCCCCACCTCGCAAATCGCATGTTGGATGAGCTTCGCGAGGTACTCTCCAGCTTTCTTCGCGGTTTTGGAGTCGACGCAGTCCACAATCACCGGCGCGGTGTCGTTTTGGGCGATGACGCAAATCATGCCCCGGCTTTTCAGGCACGTCCAACCGTCCATCGTGAGGGTGCATCCGCTTCTCGGCCAACTCTCTTTGATTGGCTTGATGAGCTCCTCTGTGTCGAGCTTCAACTTGACAAGAAGTGGGCCCGCCACCTTGTATGCCGAAGGTAAGGTGTAGGCCTTCCCGAATGCAGCGACTGCATCCACAAACGCTTGCATCGCCTTAGACGAAGACGTCCTAAACGCCAGGTCGTTTTCCGCCACAGCAGCCGCCCACAGGTAGTCCAAGCGTCCGCGCGCTGTCACGTCGGCCATCTCCCGAATGTCCCGCTGTCGTGAGCGCCGGGGTAACTGCACCTCCATAGTGGACGTAGACGCTTCATTAGAGCCGTCTTCGAAGGACGAACGCTCCTCGACGGACGACGCTCGCAGCTGCTTCGCATAATCTGATTCGCAGATCGCTATGTTCTTATGCTTGGAGCTTGGAGTGCCTAAAAGGTGCTCCCCAATTCTAGTTGCGTTTGGGGTTACCGGCAAATGGCAGTGAAGGCACACGCAGCTAGTGATTGTACCATCTTGCGCCGTCTCTTTCCTAACGTGCAGCCAATAGCGTGACTGCGGTTGAACCATGGTGCAAGGCTTGGGGTGGCTAATCTGATAGAGAGAGTGCTGGAATAGCCTCAGTGGCTATGAGTTAAGAGGCCCTGGACAGAGCCTCTTTGTACTTCGGGAGCTGAAGTGCATTGTCGAGTTGAGGATGAGCAACTCACTTCGGAAGATTGGGCTTGGGCTGCTGTGATTGGTTGCGACTCTCGAGTGGCATGCGCTTTGCGACACACCCCGCATGCGCGAAACATTTTCGCTTCTAACGCGAAAATTTGAAAAAAATAACGAAGCGGGTAGTGTCTTCAGTTCGCGATCGCGAAATGCTGCATTCGGGGCGACTCGACCAACACTGTAGGGGTGTTCTGATTGGTCGCGCTTTGCATTAGCATTGCGCGAAAATTGCGACACCCTCTGTATGCGAGAAAACACATTGTCAGCTGGCGCGAAAACGGTCCGCATGTGGCGAAATATGTAATCCTGTCGTCAAATGTTGAAATGCGCGACTCGGTTCAGACTGAATTCGCGGCTCGAGAAAATTCAACGGGCCGCATGTCGGAAATCGACAGTGAAAACGGCAAGCAATTCCTATCCCCTTTAAAAATCCACTAATTATGAGTTACAACGATGGTTTCAAAGTTTCGGTCGAAAAAAACGGCCGTTTTTTTGCACCAGCACAAAATGACATGGTTTTACCGTTTTAAACCGTTTTTTACGACCGAAAACTACGATGCCGTTTTTTACGCCGAAATTTCAAAGTTTCGGCCGTTTTTTTGCACCTTGTCAAGAAGTGGGTCAAACCGCAAAAGGTGCGCCTGGTTGGGTGGGGTGAGGTGAGGGGGCTTGAGGGGCGGAGTGGGGGCAATGGGTGGGGAGAGGGCATGGGGAAGGCTGCGAGTCACATGCTGAAGCACTTCAAGAAGTGGGTCAAACCGCAAAAGGTGCGCCTGGTTGGGTGGGGTGAGGTGAGGGGGCTTGAGGGGCGGAGTGGGGGCAATGGGTGGGGAGAGGGCGTGGGGAAGGCTGCGAGTCACATGCTGAAGCACTTCAAGAAGTGGGTCAAACCGCAAAAGGTGCGCCTGGTTGGGTGGGGTGAGGTGAGGGGGCTTGAGGGGCGGAGTGGGGGCAATGGGTGGGGAGAGGGCGTGGGGAAGGCTGCGAGTCACATGCTTAAGCACTTCAAGAAATGGGTGCAGCCACAAAAGGTGCGCCTGGGTGGGTAGAACTGATGGGGTGAAACTGATGGGTGAACCTGATGGGTGAAACTGATGGGGGAAACTGATGGGGGAAACTGATGGGGGAAACTGATGGGTGAAACTGATGGGTGAAACTGATGGGGGAAACTGATGGGTGAAACTGATGGGTGAAACTGATGGGTGAAACTGATGGGGGAAACTGATGGGGGAAACTGATGGGGGAAACTGATGGGTGAAACTGATGGGTGAAACTGATGGGGGAAACTGATGGGTGAAACTGATGGGTGAAACTGATGGGGGAAACTGATGGGTGAAACTGATGGGTGAAACTGATGGGTGAAACTGATGGGGGAAACTGATGGGGGAAACTGATGGGGGAAACTGATGGGTGAAACTGATGGGTGAAACTGATGGGGGAAACTGATGGGTGAAACTGATGGGTGAAACTGATGGGTGAAACTGATGGGGGAAACTGATGGGGGAAACTGATGGGTGAAACTGATGGGTGGCACATAGGTAGGTCGCCTAAAAAGTCGCCTCCAAAGTCGGATATAAAGTCCCCCCCCCCCCCCCCCTCTCCACCAGGTAAGCACACCCCTGTCGTTGAGGCCAGGCGAGGCCACTCAGAGGTGGTGTATGAGCCGCTGGGTGTGTTGTGAGGCGCCTCAACAAGTTGCCTCAGTAGCCTCTCCCCCTCCAGCCCCCCCCTCCACGTACCACACCAGGTGGGCACGCCCCTGACGTTGAGGCCAGGCCACTCAGAGGTGGTGTACGAGCCGCTGGGTGTGGTGCTCATCATCGCGCCCTGGAACTTCCCCTTCCGTACGTCCCCTGTCCTTCACCTCTCCTTACAACTTCCCTGGACCGGGCACCAAGCGTAAAGGTCATGAAACCTCACTGCTGTTCCACTGCCCGTGCTGCTCATCATCGCGCCCTGGAATTTCCCCTTCTGTACGTCCCTTCCTACCGCCTCTCCTCTTTTTTTTTTACTTTTCCTCTGTATCGAAATTGGTTTTCTTTCTCTCCGTTCTGTACGTGCTGGTTACTGTGCTATGTGCTGGTTACTGTGCTATGTGCTGGTTACTGTGCTATGTGCTGGTGACTGTGCTATGTGCTGGTGACTGGGCTATGTGCTGGTGACTGTGCTATGTGCTGGTGACTGGGCTATGTGCTGGTGACTGTGCTATGTGCTGGTGACTGGGCTATGTGCTGGTGACTGTGCTATGTGCTGGTGACTGTGCTATGTGCTGGTGACTGGGCTATGTGCTGGTGACTGTGCTATGTGCTGGTGACTGTGCTATGTGCTGGTGACTGTGCTATGTGCTGGTGACTGTGCTATGTGCTGGTGACTGTGCTATGTGCTGGTGACTGTGCTATGTGCTGGTGACTGTGCTATGTGCTGGTGACTGGGCTATGTGCTGGTGACTGTGCTATGTGCTGGTGACTGTGCTATGTGCTGGTGACTGGGCTATGTGCTGGTGACTGTGCTATGTGCTGGTGACTGTGCTATGTGCTGGTGACTGTGCTATGTGCTGGTGACTGGGCTATGTGCTGGTGACTGTGCTATGTGCTGGTGACTGGGCTATGTGCTGGTGACTGTGCTATGTGCTGGTGACTGGGCTATGTGCTGGTGACTGTGCTATGTGCTGGTGACTGTGCTATGTGCTGGTGACTGTGCTATGTGCTGGTGACTGTGCTATGTGCTGGTGACAGTGCTATGTGCTGGTGACTGGGCTATGTGCTGGTGACTGGGCTATGTGCTGGTGACTGTGCTATGTGCTGGTGACTGTGCTATGTGCTGGTGACTGTGCTATGTGCTGGTGACTGTACTATGTGCTGGTGACTGTGCTATGTGCTGGTGACTGTGCTATGTGCTGGTGACTGTGCTATGTGCTGGTGACTGTGCTATGTGCTGGTGACTGTGCTATGTGCTGGTGACTGGGCTATGTGCTGGTGACTGGGCTATGTGCTGGTGACTGTGCTATGTGCTGGTGACTGTGCTATGTGCTGGTGACTGTGCTATGTGCTGGTGACTGGGCTATGTGCTGGTGACTGGGCTATGTGCTGGTGACTGTGCTATGTGCTGGTGACTGGGCTATGTGCTGGTGACTGGGCTATGTGCTGGTGACTGGGCTATGTGCTGGTGACTGTGCTATGTGCTGGTGACTGTGCTATGTGCTGGTGACTGTGCTATGTGCTGGTGACTGTGCTATGTGCTGGTGACTGTGCTATGTGCTGGTGACTGTGCTATGTGCTGGTGACTGGGCTATGTGCTGGTGACTGTGCTATGTGCTGGTGACTGTGCTATGTGCTGGTGACTGGGCTATGTGCTGGTGACTGGGCTATGTGCTGGTGACTGTGCTATGTGCTGGTGACTGTGCTATGTGCTGGTGACTGTGCTATGTGCTGGTGACTGTGCTATGTGCTGGTGACTGTGCTATGTGCTGGTGACTGTGCTATGTGCTGGTGACTGTGCTATGTGCTGGTGACTGTGCTATGTGCTGGTGACTGTGCTATGTGCTGGTGACTGTGCTATGTGCTGGTGACTGTGCTATGTGCTGGTGACTGTGCTATGTGCTGGTGACTGTGCTATGTGCTGGTGACTGTGCTATGTGCTGGTGACTGTGCTATGTGCTGGTGACTGTGCTATGTGCTGGTGACTGTGCTATGTGCTGGTGACTGTGCTATGTGCTGGTGACTGGGCTATGTGCTGGTGACTGTGCTATGTGCTGGTGACTGTGCTATGTGCTGGTGACTGGGCTATGTGCTGGTGACTGTGCTATGTGCTGGTGACTGTGCTATGTGCTGGTGACTGTGCTATGTGCTGGTGACTGTGCTATGTGCTGGTGACTGTGCTATGTGCTGGTGACTGTGCTATGTGCTGGTGACTGTGCTATGTGCTGGTGACTGTGCTATGTGCTGGTGACTGTGCTATGTGCTGGTGACTGTGCTATGTGCTGGTGACTGTGCTATGTGCTGGTGACTGTGCTATGTGCTGGTGACTGGGCTATGTGCTGGTGACTGTGCTATGTGCTGGTGACTGTGCTATGTGCTGGTGACTGTGCTATGTGCTGGTGACTGTGCTATGTGCTGGTGACTGTGCTATGTGCTGGTGACTGTGCTATGTGCTGGTGACTGTGCTATGTGCTGGTGACTGTGCTATGTGCTGGTGACTGTGCTATGTGCTGGTGACTGTGCTATGTGCTGGTGACTGTGCTATGTGCTGGTGACTGTGCTATGTGCTGGTGACTGTGCTATGTGCTGGTGACTGTGCTATGTGCTGGTGACTGTGCTATGTGCTGGTGACTGTGCTATGTGCTGGTGACTGTGCTATGTGCTGGTGACTGTGCTATGTGCTGGTGACTGTGCTATGTGCTGGTGACTGTGCTATGTGCTGGTGACTGTGCTATGTGCTGGTGACTGTGCTATGTGCTGGTGACTGTGCTATGTGCTGGTGACTGTGCTATGTGCTGGTGACTGTGCTATGTGCTGGTGACTGTGCTATGTGCTGGTGACTGTGCTATGTGCTGGTGACTGTGCTATGTGCTGGTGACTGTGCTATGTGCTGGTGACTGTGCTATGTGCTGGTGACTGTGCTATGTGCTGGTGACTGGGCTATGTGCTGGTGACTGTGCTATGTGCTGGTGACTGTGCTATGTGCTGGTGACTGTGCTATGTGCTGGTGACTGTGCTATGTGCTGGTGACTGTGCTATGTGCTGGTGACTGTGCTATGTGCTGGTGACTGTGCTATGTGCTGGTGACTGGGCTATGTGCTGGTGACTGTGCTATGTGCTGGTGACTGTGCTATGTGCTGGTGACTGTGCTATGTGCTGGTGACTGTGCTATGTGCTGGTGACTGTGCTATGTGCTGGTGACTGTGCTATGTGCTGGTGACTGTGCTATGTGCTGGTGACTGTGCTATGTGCTGGTGACTGTGCTATGTGCTGGTGACTGTGCTATGTGCTGGTGACTGTGCTATGTGCTGGTGACTGTGCTATGTGCTGGTGACTGTGCTATGTGCTGGTGACTGTGCTATGTGCTGGTGACTGTGCTATGTGCTGGTGACTGTGCTATGTGCTGGTGACTGTGCTATGTGCTGGTGACTGTGCTATGTGCTGGTGACTGTGCTATGTGCTGGTGACTGTGCTATGTGCTGGTGACTGTGCTATGTGCTGGTGACTGTGCTATGTGCTGGTGACTGTGCTATGTGCTGGTGACTGTGCTATGTGCTGGTGACTGTGCTATGTGCTGGTGACTGTGCTATGTGCTGGTGACTGTGCTATGTGCTGGTGACTGTGCTATGTGCTGGTGACTGTGCTATGTGCTGGTGACTGTGCTATGTGCTGGTGACTGTGCTATGTGCTGGTGACTGTGCTATGTGCTGGTGACTGTGCTATGTGCTGGTGACTGTGCTATGTGCTGGTGACTGTGCTATGTGCTGGTGACTGTGCTATGTGCTGGTGACTGTGCTATGTGCTGGTGACTGTGCTATGTGCTGGTGACTGTGCTATGTGCTGGTGACTGTGCTATGTGCTGGTGACTGTGCTATGTGCTGGTGACTGTGCTATGTGCTGGTGACTGTGCTATGTGCTGGTGACTGTGCTATGTGCTGGTGACTGGGCTATGTGCCTTGACAGAACAGCATTGGCATTCACATGTCCCTCCCTCCCCCCTCACCCACTGCCGTGCCGTGCCGGGACTCATGAGTGGGTGGGGTGCGGGTCCTGGCAGGCAGCGGGCAGCGCGGTGGTGCTCAAGCCCTCACTCGCCTCATCCGCTCAAGTCTTTACCATCGCATATTCCTCTGCCTTCCCCCGTTCTCCACCCCCCATTTCCCCAGTGCTGTCTCTGGAGCCACTGATGGGGGCGCTAGCAGCGGGTAACATGGTGGGGTTCTAGCCCCCCACACCACTCCCCCCACACCACTCCCCCCACACCACTCCCCCCACACCACTCCCCCCACACCACACCCCCCACACCACACCCCCCACACCACACCCCCCACACCCCTCCCCCCACACCACACCCCCCACACCCCTCCCCCCCATTCCCACAGTGCTGTCTCTGGAGCCACTAGTGGGAGCCCTGGCAGCGGGCAACGCGGTGGTGCTCAAGCCCTCAGAGCACTCCCCCGCCTCCGCGCACCTGCTCTCTCGCCTCCTGCCCCTCTACCTCGACTCGCAGGCCGTGCAGGCAGGTGCTATCCCACGCAGGTGCTATCCCACGCAGGTGCTATCCCACGCAGGTGCTATCCCACGCAGGTGCTATCCCACGCAGGTGCTATCCCATGCAGGTGCTATCCCATGCAGGTGCTATCCCAGGCGCAGGTGCTATCCCACGCAGGTGCTATCCCACGCAGGTGCTATCCCATGCAGGTGCTATCCCATGCAGGTGCTATCCCACGCAGGTGCTATCCCACGCAGGTGCTATCCCAGGTAGGTGCTATCCCATGCAGGTGCTATCCCACGCAGGTGATTTCTGAAGCACACAGAGCTCTCCTGCTCCTCCCCTCACCTCCTCTCGCGCCTCCTCCCTCTCTACCTCGACTCACAGGCCGTGCAGGCAGGTGCTATCCCTATCTGAGGCAAGTAGATGCAATGCCAGGCAGGTGCTATCCCAGGCAGGTGCTATCCTCTCCCCGAGATCCTCGTCCCCTGCTGCCTTTCCCCCTGCCTTGCAATGATCAGGCGTTGGGCCAGGCACAGGGCGCTGCTAGGGCGCCTCACAAGGTCACCCATTCCTCTTCCCTTGCTCCTTGTCAACCCTCTGCCCTTGCCCTGCCCTTGCCCTGCCCTTGCCCTGCCCTTGCCCTTGCCCTGCCCTTGCCCTTGCCCTTGCCCTTGCCCTTGCCCTGCCCTGCCGTGCCCTGCCCTGCCGTGCCCTGCCCTGCCCTTGCCCTTGCCCTGCCCTGCCGTGCCCTGCCGTGCCGTGCCGTGCCGTGCCCTGCCGTGCCCTGCCGTGCCGTGCCGTGCCGTGCCGCACAATCATCAGGTGGTGGAGGGCGGGCCAGAGACAGGCAAGGCACTGCTGGGGCGGCGGTGGGATAAGATCTTTTTCACGGGCGGCACTGCGCTGGGGCGCATTGTGATGGAGGCGGCCAGTAAGCATCTGACACCTGTCACTCTGGAGCTGGGCGGCAAGAATCCACTGTTCATCGACGAGTCTGCTGACCTGGAGGTGTGTGCTGCTGACCTGGAGGTGTGTGCTGCTGACCTGGAGGTGTGTGCTGCTGACCTGGAGGTGTGTGCTGCTGACCTGGAGGTGTGCGCTGCTGTCTCGAGTGCAATGTGCATGTCCCGTCACACATGGCCATCCCAAGACACACCCCTTTTCCTTTGCCTCCCACCCCTTCTCCGATGCCCCATACCCCATACCCCACCTTCCTGCCCCATGCCCCTTGACACGCTCTCAACCCCGTTGCACCGCTCCAGATCTCAGCGAAGCGGATCGTATCGGGCAAGTGCACGAACGCGGGGCAGGTGTGCCTCGTGCCCGACTATATCCTTGCCTCCAAGGACGTGGCTGCGAGACTGGTGCGTCTAGGGGCTGGTATAAGGAGGTAGAAAGAGGTACAGAATGGTAAGAGGAATAGAAGGAGAAGGCAGGTGTGCCTGGTGCCCGACTATATCCTCGCCACCAAGGACGTGGCTGCGAGACTGGTGCGTGGGGGAGGAGGGGCAGAGCGACGGGCACAAGGTGCATGGATAGGGTATTGGGGCAGGGGAAGGGAGAAAGCAAGGGAGGGCAGGTGTGCCTCGTGCCCGACTATATCCTGGCCACCCAGGACGTGGCTGAGAGGGGGGGGATGGGGTGAAAGGGGCAGAGTGTGGGGCGACGTGCGCGCAGGTATGGGTGCTAGGGAAGGAGGGAAGCAAAGGGTGGGCAGGTGGGCTGCGAGAATGGTGCGCACGGGTGTAGGGATAGAGCAGCAGAAGGGGTACAGATTAGGGCAGAAGCTCCAGCGATATGGACAGGGATAGGGGCAGAATGAGCAGGGATAGAGAGAAAGGAGGTTGGGACAAGGGCAAGGTAAGGGGGGAATTAGGGAAGGGTAAATTTGCTGCTGGGCTCTAACCCACCTCTCGGTCCTCACCTGCTCCTCTCCCTGGCTCTTCTTTCTCTCTCTGCGTCCCTCTCTGTCACATCTGCAGCTGCCCCATCTCAAGGCGGCCATCGAGCAGTTCTACGGCACCAACCCCGCTCTCTGCCCTGACCTCGCCCGCATCATCAACGCCTCTCATGTGCTCCGCCTGCAGAAGCTGCTCCAGCACCCTGCTACAGCCTCCTGTGTCGTGCACGGGGGGCAGAGCGATGTTGAGTCGAGGTGAGTCAAGCAGAGTCAATGAGGGTCAACGCTGGTCACTCTTTGAGCCTGCAGAAGCTGCTCGAGCACCCTGCTACAGCCTCCTGTGTCGTGCACGGGGGGCAGAGCGATGTTGAGTCGAGGTGAGTCAAGCAGAGTCAATGAGGGTCAACGCTGGTCACTCTTTGAGCCTGCAGAAGCTGCTCGAGCACCCTGCCACCGCCTCCTGTGTCGTGCACGGGGGGCAGAGCGATGTTGAGTCGAGGTGAGTCAAGCAGAGTCAATGAGGGTCAACGCTGGTCACTCTTTGAGCCTGCAGAAGCTGCTCGAGCACCCTGCTACAGCCTCCTGTGTCGTGCACGGGGGGCAGAGCGATGTTGAGTCGAGGTGAGTCAAGCAGAGTCAATGAGGGTCAACGCTGGTCACTCTTTGAGCCTGCAGAAGCTGCTCGAGCACCCTGCCACCGCCTCCTGTGTCGTGCATGGGGGGCAGAGCGACGTTGAGTCAAGGTGAGTCAAGGTGAGTCAAGGTGAGTCAAGGTGAGTCAAGGTGAGTCAAGGTGAGTCAAGGTGAATCGAAGCAGGTCAATGCAATTCAACGCAGCTCAATGCGGTTTCCCAGTTTCCCCTCACTCCTGCCACTAATTGTGAAGGAAACAAAAACAAAAACAGAAACAAAGATGAAAAAAAAAGACAAACAAACAAACAAAGAAAGAAAAAAGCAACAAAGCCACCTTCCTATTATGCTATCCCATCCCTTCCTATTAGGCACCGCCTTCCAGGCCTTGGAGATCCACTTGAGCGTCAGCTATGGCGGTGGCTTGCGGATGTTGCCTGCCACACATGGAAAGATCCAGTAGTTAGAACAGGGTAAACAGTTGAAAAACAATCAGGCCTTCAATTGAGTCGACTCAAAAGTCACCTCAGGGTAAAGAGTTGAAGAACAATCAGGCCTTCAATTAAATCTCACCTCTTTCGGCCAGGCAGTCAACATCCTCGCTCTCAAACCATTCCTGGTACAGTTGTCGCACAGCTGCTTTGAAGGAGCGGTTCACCGCGACGTCCAGGGGCTGAACCTCCGATGTGCAGCCAGCTTTTGAGTCGACTCAAAAGGGCTGAACCTCCGATGTGCAGCCAGCTGGTATGACGGCAGGGACGATATGCAGCTCGCCGAATTTCGCCCTCACTTGATCAGTCAGGTGCCCGCGGTAGGAGTCAAGCACCAGCAACGCCCTCCTGCTGCACACTCCGAACCTCCACCACATCACCCCTCTCCTCCTCCACTCTGCTCACCCCACCCACCCTACCCCACTCCTCTCCCCACCCACGCCACGTAACCTTCCCGCGTTTCCCGCCCTCCACCAACCCCCCAGGTACTTAGTGCCAACGCTAGTCAACGTGACCTGGGATGCGACATATGATTCGACAGAAAGAAAACTCTTCCACCTTCCCAACCATCCCTCTCCCCCCCCCGCCCCCTGTCTCCCCCAGGTACTTTGCACCAACACTGCTGCTCAACGTGCCCTGGGATGCCCCCATCATGCAGTCCGAGGTCTTTGGACCCATCCTGGCCATCCAAACTGTGAGACCCCTCATCCTGGCCATCCAAACTGTGAGACCCCTCATCCTGGCCATCCAAACTGTGAGGTCTTTGGACTCATCCTAGCCGTCTAGTATCCCTGCCTTCCTCGTTTCCCTTCTCCCCACCTCCCACCACAAGCTGCCTTCTATACACCGTGCCTCAGGCCTCTATTCCGCTCTCACCAAGCCCCTGAGGCCCCGATGGTAGCCGCTTCCTGTCCGCCCATACTGCACCACTGCCCCTCTCTCTCCCCCCCATCAGGTGTCGGGCATCGATGAAGCAATTGACATCATCAACGCGCGCCCCAAGCCGCTGGTGGTGATGGTGTTCTGCCGTCCCATGTGCTTCCTCTGCTATCCTTTCCCGCTGTCATACCCATCAGGTGTCCGGCATTGATGAGGCCATTGACATCATCAACGTGCGCCCCAAGCTGCTGGTGGTGATGGTGTTCTGTCGTCCCATGTGCTTCCTCTGCTATCCTTTCCCGCTGTCATACCCATCAGGTGTCGGGAATCGACGAGGCCATTGACATCATCAACGCGCGCCCCAAGCCGCTGGTGGTGATGGTGTTCTCGTCCCGGGAGGACACGAGGCAGCGCTTCCTCAAGGAGACCAGCTCGGGGGCTGTCGTGGCCAACGAGCTCATCCTGCAGGTGTGGTGAGGGGCGGAGAGGGACTAGTGAGTGTGTTTGTGACCCAAGGGGGTGCAGGAGTGCTTCCTCAAGGAGACCAGCTCGGGGGCTGTCGTGGCCAACAAGCTCATCCTGCAGGTGCGGTTGAGGGAGGGGAAGGGAAGGAGGAGGGAGGAGGACAGAGAGAGGAGGCCAGAGGGAGCTGTGCAGAGGGAGAGGCAGGGAGAGGCAAGAGAGTGGTGATGGCCTTCACGCCTTGAGAGGACGTGAGGCAGCGGTTCCTCCAGGAGAGCAGCTCGGGGGCTGTGGTGACCAATGAGCTCATCCTGCAGGTGCGGCGAGGGTAGAGGGGACTGAGGTAAGGGGAGGAAAGGAGAGGAGGGGAAGGGAGAGGCATGCGGTTAGTGAGTGTGTTTTGACCAGAGAGAGCAGGTGGGGTGCTCCGGTTAAATGAAAGAAGGAGTGTTTTGAGACGTCTTTCACGTCACCAGAGAGAGCAGGTGGGGTGCTCTGGTTGCCTGTGAACCCATCCTGTAGGTGTACAAGGGGGAGGGGAGAGGGGTGGGGGGAAGGGGAAGGGGGAGCGAGGAGGGGCAGGGAGAAGAAAGGGGGTGGTAAGTCTGTCCTCAAAACGAGAGTGTAAGGGAAGCACCTGGGGCATTAAAGGAAGGTGCAGCTGGGGCATGGAATGTGGAGTGTCAATACCCACAGGGGGTGTCACCCCCTTCTCATGCTCACGACTGAATCACCTCTCCTTCTCACGCCACCACCCATCTCTACCTTCTTCCCTCCCCAATCTCTCCCTTTGTCTGTCCCATATCTCTCCCTTCTTTCCACTCCGGGGCAGGCGGGCAACCTGGAGCTACCATTCGGGGGAGTGGGCGACAGCGGCATGGGGCGGTACAAGGGGCGCTGGTCCATGGACTGCTTCAGCCACTGCAAGGCCGCCTACACCAAACCCCTCTCTAGGGACCTGGCGGCACGCTTCCCTCCCAGCACACGGCGCGGAGAGATGATTGTGAAGGCGGTGATCAAAGGGGCGTACTGGACGCTGCTGCTGCTGCTGCTGGGGCTCAAGAAGCATTAGTGCAGGGCTTGTGTCTTATTGAGACGTCGAGATGATTGTGAAGGCGGTGATCAAAGGGGCTTACTGGATGCTGCTGCTGCTTTTGGGACTTGAGAAGTGCTAGGCCTGGTGCATGGCCCGTGGGTTGTGACCGCTACAAGTACTGCGACAAAGTGCCAATGTTGGTGAAGGGCCTTTGTGACTAGGTAGACCAGTAAGGCAACCCTTAACCAAAAGCCGGGCTCACTGGAAACTCAACAAGGCAATGTAATTATGAGTAGAAGTTACACATGTTCCGACCACTGCTAACCACTACTTTACGGAAGTACCTCGCAAAGACGTACATCGTTGTCGATGTTTGTTAAGCTGAACTCTACAAAGCTGTACAAAACCATACAAAGCTGCACACATACTTAAATGCATCAACGGGTTTTGTCGTGTTGCTTTAGAACAGTCAACACTAGAGAGGGCACCACACCATGCACACACAGGAGAAGTTATGTACTGTACGCAAGAGCCACTATGGATCCCTCTACTCTGGTCAGCCTTTGGACCATGTGAGAATGTAACCACATAGACGCATCAATGCTAGCTAAAGCAGCACCAAACACACACTCAGCTAAGATGCTCGCACCCTCAGCTACGGTGCTCGCACCCTCAGCTGCGTTGCTCGCCCCCTCTGTTGCGTTGTTCGCAGGATATCCGCTCGAGGATATCCGCTCAAGGATATCCGCCCGAGGATGGCCACTCGTGGATATCCGCGCGAGGATATCCCTGCAAGGATATCCGCTGCAAGGATATCTGCTCGACGATATCCGCTGCAAGGACATCTGCTCGAGGATATCTGCTCGAGGATACCCGCTCGAGGATATCGACTGCGAGGACATCTGCTCGAGGATACCGTCATACCCCGGATAAACCCCCATGGGGGGCACTAATAAAACATGTTTTTTTTAGGGGGTGGGCTTATAATATAGTAAAATTATAAGCGCCGGCGTTTATGTTATGTCAAAAATGAAATTTGTTTTTAAATATATCAAATCGAAGCATTCTCAAAGGCGAATTCACCTGAGTCGAGAACGTTCGAAATTGTGCATGCTTTGCGCGTGAAACGGCCAACAAGGCGTGGCATGACGCCTTCCACGCCTTGTTGGTCAGGCCAGGTTCATCGAATGTGAACCTGGCCCATGCCAGCGCACACGTACTTCGCATCACAGCGGCCCAATCATGGTTGCATGCGATCGTGGGCACGTCGTGGTTCAGCCACGACGTGCCCATCAACATCAAGATTCCCTGCCACTAAGGCAAAGAGCTTCCCAGCTCAGCTCCTCTGCGTGGAATCTTGACTGTGGCTGGACTTTCCCCGCAGAGGAAGCCGGGCCGCAAAACTGAAGGGGTCTCGGGCGAGGGCTTCATACGGCCCTCATTCTCAACTTTTGATTCAGTTTTCTTTGTTCGCTTGGCCTGCCGTGGCCATGGCGGACCTTCCAGGCACGCATTTCTTGTTCCGCCGCCGACCTGCTGCTAGAGAAAGTACCTGCAGAGACACCCGTGACTACTCTCAACGGCAGTCGCGCCCTGCGCCCGTCCCTCCATCACAACCAGTAGTGCCTCCCGTTCCTCCCACTCCTCCTACGCCTCCTACCCCTCCCGCTCCCCCGGCGCCTCCTATTCCTCCCGTTCCTCCGGCCCCTCCTGTCCCGCCTGCTGTTTGTGTTCCGGGACAGGGGGTTCTGCAGCTTCTCCTCCCGCCTGGCTACTCGGCGTTCGACGCCTTCCTGTCCGAGCCTGAACGCAGCGGCGGCGAAGGATCTTCCTCCGCACCGGAGCAACGGTGGGGAGCGCCGGCTGCTTGCCCGTTGGACGAATCCGCAACCGGTGCAGACGACGACGTGGAGTTCTGGGCTGCTGACGGTCTCCCCGAGCACCTTCCAATTCCCTCCTTCCCCCCTCCGAATAAAAAAAGGCCCCACCCATCTCGCGATAATCGTGATGCCCGTCCTCCCTCCCCCAGGCACAAGCCAACAAAGCACAGGCGCAATTCCTACACCTCGCATGAGAAGCTGCAATGGATTCTGAAGCTCGAAAACGGAGAGATGAGTGTGCGGCGCATGTCTCGCGAATCCGGCATCTCCCGAAGGTGTCTCACGGAGTGGAAGAGCCGGAAGGCTGAGCTTGAGGGCGCGCACGGTGCACGCTGTCGCCTGCACGGCCGCGGAAGGAGCTCGTGGTATCGCGACATGGAAGCGGAGGTGTACCGGAGGTTTCTTGCCCACCGCAAGAAGTGCCTCGCCGTCTCGATCGCATGACTGCAGAAGTGGTCGCACGAGGTGATGAAAGAGTTACACCCAGGTGAAAAGTGGGCCGGCTCTCAGCGGTGGACTCAGCGCTTTCGCCGCCGCTGGAACCTGACGACCAGAGCGAAGACCCGGGTCGGCCAGAAGCTCTCGTCCAGTGAGTTGTTATTTGGTGGTATTGTTGTTTGTCTGTTCCCATCTATTCACGGCTCTCACTATGTGTTTGTGCTTTCTGTTCCTCCCATCCCGTGTCCCAGACTGCGAGACTGATGTCAAGAACTTCTGGACGTATGTGCGTCACTCCCGCCGCCAGTACAAGATCGACCTGCCGTGGATCATAAACGCGGACCAGACGCCCCTCTGGCTTGAGATGTCATCCGAACGCACCGTTGAAGAGGTTGGCTCGCGCTCCGTGCCCGTCCGCAGCGGCGGCTACCAGAAAGAGCGGGTTACCGTGATGCTCGCCTGCACCGCCAGCGGGGAGAAGTTGAAGCCGTGGGTCTTCTTCAAAAGGAAGACCGTCCCCAAAGGAGATTTTCCTTCAGGTATGAAGCACACGTCGATTACGCGGTGGCATGTTCATGTCAGGTGTTAAACGTACGGTAACTAACATCGTGGTTTTTATGTTGTGCAGATATCCACGTGGGGGTCCATCCCAACGGTTGGATGGACGCGGACGGGGTCATCGAGTGGCTGGACGGGGCGGTGAAGCCGTACATCAACCCCAAGTTCGGAGTCCGTCCCCGCAAGGCTCTGCTCGTCCTCGATTCGTACCGCGGGCACCTGACCCCGGAGGTGAAGAAGAAGTTTGGCGAGCTCAACCTGGTCCCTGCGGTTATCCCTGCTGGCTGCACCTCGGAGATTCAACCCCTCGATGTCGCGGTTAACCGCTCCTTCAAGGCCGCCGTTCGCCAGCTCTACCAGGAGTGGTTTGAGCGTGAGGGGGTCAACACCTTGACGAAGAAAGGTGAGAGGTGCAGCACTGATAACGCTTTTATTTCTTTAACCCGTGCTGACCCGGTTAGTGGATTTGCGTGGCAGGCAACATCAAGAAGCCTCCTGTCGAGCTGACGCTCAAGTGGATCTCGACGGCCTGGAAGTCCGTGCCCAAGGAGCTCATTCAACGAGCGTTCCTCACCTGCGGCATCAGCAACGCCCTGGATGGGTCCCAGGACAAGCTCTGCCTGCAACACAGGCGAGACGAGCTCGAGGGCGAGGAGGTTGACATGGATGATGAAATTGCAGCTGACGGTTTCTTCTGCAACAACGTAGAGGAACCTGAGTCGGACTCTGAGGCCGACCCAGATGACCCCACTGTAGCTGATGATTAGAGTAGGGTAGAATTCTAGAAAATGGTGAAGCCTGTGTGAAGCTCGTAGGTACAATTAGATTAACTAGAAGTAGATAAACTAGTTGTAGATTAACTAACATGATATGCTAGTGGATAAAATGTATAAAATGTCTTCAAATTAAAAAAACAACAAAAAACCAGGGTGGCAGTTATAATGTGTTCGGTATAGGTATGCGGTTATAATCTGTAAGCCTTTTAGGTATGCGCTTATAATCGAGCACCGGATATAAGCGCCACACGCCAATCAAAAGCGCCAGGCGCTTATCCGCGGGTGGCGCTTATATCCGGGGTATGACGGTATCCGCGCGGATATCCGCTGCGAGGACATCTCCTCGAGGATATCAGGGCGTATTCCTACGACCTCCTATCAAGAAACCTCCTATCAAGATTGTACCTTTTGCCTGGTAAAAGTAGCGAGAAATTTTGGGTTTAGGGAATTTTCCAGTGAGAGCTTGATAGGAGGATAGGAATACGCCCTCACTGCAAGGATATCCGCTGCAAGGATATCTGCTCGAGAATATCCGCTGCAAGGATATCTGCTCGAGGATATCCGCTCGAGGATATCTGCTCGAGGATATCCGCTGCGATGATATCTGCTGCGAGGACATCTCCTCGACCGGATATCCTCATGCCGGATATCCTCGAACGGATATCCTTGCAGTGGATATCCTCGCGCGGTTATCCTCGAGCGGATATCCTCGCAGCGGATATTCTCGAGCGGATATCCTCGAGCAGATATCATTGCAGCGGATATCCTCGCAGCGGATATCCTCGAGCGGATATCCTCGAGCGGATATCCTCGAGCGGATATCCTCGAGCGGATATCCTCGAGCGGATATCCTCGAGTGGATATCCTCGAGAGGATATCCTAGTAGTGGATATCCTCGAGCAGATATCCTCGAGCGGATATCCTTGCGGGGATATCCTCGCGCGGATATCCTCTCGCGAATGTCCTCGAGCGGATATCTTTACAGCGGATATCCTCGAGCAGATATCCTTGAGCATATATCAATGCGGGGATATCCTCGCCCAGATATTCTCTCGCAGATATCCTCGAGGGGATATTCTCGAGCTCTCCTCGAGCGGATATCATTGCACTGATATCCTTGTTGCGGATATCCTTGTAGAAATATCCTCGCGCGAATATCCTCTCGTGGATATCCTCGCGCAGATATCCTCGCGTGAATATCCTTGCGCGGATATCTTCGCGCGGATAACCTCGAGCGGATATCCTCGCAACAGATATCCTTGCAGCGGATATCTTCGCAACAGATATCCTTGCAGCGGATATCCTCGAGCGGATATCCTTGCAGCGGATATCCTCGAGCGGATATCCTCTCCATGACATCCTCTCGCGGATATCCTCGCACGGACATCCTCGAGCGGATATCCTTGCAGCAGATATCCTCGAGCAGATATCCTCGAGCGGATATCATTCCGGGGATATCCTCGAGCAGATATCCTCGAGCGGATATCATTCCGGGGATATCCTCGAGCGGATATCCTTGCAGCGGATATCCTCGAGCAGAGGATATCCTGGTGGGCATGGCATGCCTGGTGTAGCTGTGCTGTGGTGGATGGCACTTGTCTGTCTGTGGCCCAGCAGACCATGATGGTGCCTCACCATTGCGTTGTCACTACTATCCTCGTGCTCTATGGGCTGCCCAGGTGTGAATGGCATGGCAGGGCATAGCATGGCATGGCCACCATAGTGTCACCATCATCCTCATGCTGGATGGGCCGCCCAACTGTGATTGGCATGCCCGCAACAGAATACACAATGCCAGTTTCTCTCTGTCTGCATCTGCCCCTCCACTTGACCCTCAAAAGCACCCCTCTGCCTCACCCAACCCCAGCTGCCCGTTTGTTGGACGTGGCAACGGCGAGAGCGCGGCAGGCGGGAGGTGAGGTCTTGGTCCAAGTGACGACTTGGACTTGGTCCAAGTGAGCACTTGGTTCAAGTGACGACTTGCAGGCTCACGGGCTTGGAAAGATCCAAGCTCTTGACCTTATCCCACTAAGCTACGGGTGCCTTCAATAAAAATCGATATCCCCAGTTCTCTGTTCTCTGTTCCAACATAAATAGCTTCAGTGTAAAGAGAGAATCACCATCATAAAAACATTAGTATGTATACACAATCGCATGCAAGCCCTACACTTGGTCTGGACTCTAGAGTTTACGCAGTGCTCTGTGTGTGCGATTGTGCTCAATGGCAGGAAGCAGCCCGTTTTTTAGCACAGCGGCGTGGGCGGCACGGAACCCAACGCCGTACACGGGGGAGGCATCAGTGGCGATGGAGTGCAGGCAGAGCAGCCCTGTGCCTTCATCCTCTGCCGAGCAGTCAACCTATCTGGGCAGTGTTCTGTTTGCGCGAATGTGCTCGATACGGTACTAGGCAGCAGCCCGTGCTTGAGCACAGCAGCATGGGCGGCACAAACAATATCAAGCACAAACACATGCAAGCCCTCCACTTGACCTACACTCTAGGCAGTGCTCTGTATGCGCGAATGTGCTCGAGAGTAGGCAGCAGTCCATGTTTCAGCACAGCAGCATGGGCAGCACGAAACCCATCGCCGTACACGGGGGAGGCATCAGTAGCAATGGAGTGCAGGCAGAACGCTGCAAAGCGCTGCTGGAAGCTGCTGTGCGCCTCGTGAGCTAGTGGAGCAGCGGAGGAGGCTTGTTGTGATGGGGCTTGTGATGGGGCGTGTGGGGCTGGAGGGGCCTGGGTTTGCAGCCATAAATACGCCATGACCTGGCACATGCCCTCCTCTAGCTCTGGGGGCAAATGGCGGAAACCCCCTGCAGGTGTGGAAAGATAGGGGAGAGAGGAGAAACAGGAACAATGGCTTTAGAGGCGACTCAGGAGTCAACGGTATGCCACGGCCTGGCACACGCCCTCCTTTAGCTCAAGGGGGGGATGGTGGAAGGAAGCACTATGCAGGCGTGGAAAGGCAGGGGAGGTGGGGGACAAAGACATGTGCTCTGAAGCTAGCTCAGTGGGGACGTGGAAAGCATCCCCCAGGTGAAAAGGCAGGGGAGGTGGGAATGATGGGGTGCTGTGCGGTGTGATGGAGGGGGAAGAGGGGAGCAAGCTGACCGACGCATGGCATCAGAGAACGACAGAAGAAGTCTGTTACATGCCACTTGAGTCATGGTGGGCATACGGATGGCGCGATGGGGGATGGCATGCGCGATGGGGGATGGCATGCGCAGTGGAGGGGGCACACGTACCGTCGAGCTTGAACCATGCGTGCATGAGCTCGTGCGCTAGGATGGACGCGGTCAGTACTCTGATGGGGAGTGGGAGGGGCAGAGGGGCGGATGAAGGCAGGTGGAGAGAAGAAGCAGGCAGAGGGGTGCTTTTGAGGGTCAAGTGGAGGGGCAGATGCAGACAGAGAGAAACTGGCATTGTGTATTCTGTTGCGGGCATGCCAATCACAGTTGGGCGGCCCATCCAGCATGAGGATGATGGTGACACTATGGTGGCCATGCCATGCTATGCCCTGCCATGCCATTCACACCAGGGCAGCCCATAGAGCACGAGGATAGTAGTGACAGCGCAATGGTGAGGCACCATCATGGTCTGCTGGGCCACAGACAGACAAGTGCCATCCACCACAGCACAGCTACACCAGGCATGCCATGCGCACCAGGCATGCCATGCGCACCAGGCATGCCATGCTCACCAGGCATGCCATGCGCACCAGGCTTGCCATGCGCACCAGGCGTACCATGCGCATCAGGCGTACACACATGCCCACTATTGCTGCCCACCCGTGTAGCCCGTGAGCCCATGGAGCACACCCATGCCATGCCTACCTGGGCAACCCATAGAGCACGAGGATAGCAGTGACCGCGCAGTGGCGGGACACTGTCATGGTCTGCTGCCCCACTGCCGAGAAGGAGGAGGCGTGGGTGAGTGAGCCGGGCAAACGCACCACCTGATTTCAGCAGGATGGGGCAGGGGAATCAGCAGAAGAGGAGTTTTGAGATGTGTCAATGACAGGCAACGGCAAAACAGGAGGGCAAAAACTACCTGGTTCCACAGAAAGGGGGTGGGTGGGGAACAAAGGAGAATGAACAGAGGGGAAGGGACGAGAAAGCAAGAGAGGGAGGAGTGCATAGAGCGGTGCTGTGCAGTTGCGGAGTGGATGCGGTTGCATTGTAGGAGGGCTGGTTGAAGGGTGGGAAAGGAGGAACCTATGGTGCCTGTAGGCTATGTCTCAAGATCGTCTACACCACAGGTGATGGAACGAGGGGTTAGAGAGAGGCGATGAGGCAACTCACCATCTGAATGGTCTGCTCCTCTGACAGGCAGAGGCCCCGCGTGAGAGACCCGTGCTCATGGCCCTGTCAAGAGGGTGGTGATGGGCAGAGAGAACGGATGGGGAGGCATGGACAGGAGCGGGAGATGACGTGAATGCGGTGAGAATGCTAGTGTGAAAGCAGCTCGTGGGCCTGAGGTGGCGGCGCTAGTGGTATCTGCTGCTTCACTGTCATTTCCTGTTGTGCCACAGATCCAAGCAACTCGAATCGGATCGACCACCCTGTGCAGTCGGGGGCACCTCCAGCTCGATAGACCATCACACCCACTCACCTCCCTTTCCGCCCTCTGAGCCTCATTCAGCGCCGGCTGCTCCACTGCCATCACCGGATGTGCTGTCTCACTGGCATCCCCTGTTGTGCCAGAGCCCATGTTCCCAGCTGTGCATTTTCAAGCCCGATGTACCATCAGCCGTCCCCCTCACCTCCCTCTTCACCTCCCTCTCACCCGCTCACCTCCCTTAAAGCCCTCTGAGCATCGTACAGCACCTGCTGCTCCACTGCCAGCACCGGATTCTGCTGCCTCACTGGCATCCCCTGATGTGCTAGAAAGCATATATTCACCTGTGCGTCACACGCCGGATTTACCATCACACCCACGCACCTCCCTCTCCGCCCTCTGTGCGTCATTCAATGCCTGCTGCTCCACTGCCAGCACCGGAATCTGCTGCCTCACTGGCATCCCCAGCTGAGCAAAGAAGGCACTAACGGACGAAAAAAGCGGGCGGCAGTCTGCGGAGTCTAGCACGGCGGAGTCAACGCAGTCAAGGCAGAGGTGCCGCCCATCTGGCAGATCAATAAATGGGGGGGAACCGCGGGACTGCAAGCCAAGCCAAGGTAAGCAGCAGGGAAGCAGGACGAGGAGAAGGGAAGAGGGAATGCAATTCTGAGTTGACTCAAACACTGCCTGTCTGGCAGGCCTATGAAGGGGGGGAAAGTGCAGGACTGCAAGCCAAGGGGAGCAGCAGGGAGGTAGGACGAGGAGGAGGGTAAAGACGAGGTAGTGCACTGGAGCAGGCTTCAAAACCTCTCAAGACACAACTGAGGGGTGCAAAGAGCGTGAAGTTAGGGGTGTGAAGTGATGTAGGAGAACATACAAGGGCAGGTGGAACAGGGGAGGGGTGGCGCTGGGGCAGGCAGAACAGAAGCAGCAACTGCGCAGTCTCAGCACCACACCCTCACCTGCAGGCGGGAGCAGGAGGTGCAGGAGGGCGTGCTGTCAGTCATTTGGGCGGGTCGATGCAACCAGTGCAGCTCTTGTCACCCTCTCACACACACTCACACGCATGCAGCACAGCTGAGAGCAACCCATGCTATATCAGCCTCAACGCATTGCCCTCACCTGCAGGCGGGAGCAGGAGGTGCAGGAGGGCGTGCTGTCAGTCATGTGGGCGGGGCACCACTTGTCGCCCCAGAAGGGGTGCGAGCGGAAGTTGATCATGCCTGCTGGGTTAGGGCGGATCTGGAGGGGCGGGTTGAAAGAGAGAAGGAGGGGAAGAGGTTGGGGGGAGGGGAAGGATGGGATATATATGATATCGAGAGCTGAGAATAAAGAGGGCTTTTGTGTGGATTCTGATAGGCGGAATGGAAGCACGCATTGCAAGGTGGCTCTCAATTGGCACGCATTGCAAGGTGGCTCTCAATTGGCACGCATTGCAAGGTGGCTCTCAATTGGCACGCATTGCAAGGTGGCTCTCAATTGGCACGCATTGCAAGGTGGCTCTCAATTGGCACGCATTGCAAGGTGGCTCTCAATTGGCACGCATTGCAAGGTGGCTCTCAATTGGCACGCATTGCAAGGTGGCTCTCAATTGGCCCGCATTGCAAGGTGGCTCTCAATTGGCCCGCATTGCAAGGTGGCTCTCAATTGGCACGCATTGCAAGGTGGCTCTCAATTGGCACGCATTGCAAGGTGGCTCTCAATTGGCCCGCATTGCAAGGTGGCTCTCAATTGGCACGCATTGCAAGGTGGCTCTCAATTGGCCCGCATTGCAAGGTGGCTCTCAATTGGCCCGCATTGCAAGGTGGCTCTCAATTGGCTTGGCTGCTCCCTTGACGTGCTTCGTAACCGGGAAGCAACGGGTGGGAGCATCTACTCACGAAGTCCTGGCAGACGGTGCACTTGGGGTGGAAGAGCTGTCGGTGGCATGCTGCATGGTATGGCTTGCCGTCCTTGATGTTGAACTGGTGGAGGGGGGAGAGAAGAGCAAGGAGAGACGAAACAAGGTGTGATGGATGGTGTGATGGCATGAAGGCATGCTGCATGGTAGGGCTTGCCTTGGGGGTGGATAGCGAGAAGAAGGGAGGAGGAATTAACACAAGGGAGGGGGCGATGACGACATGATGGCATGATGCCATGGCGTGCTGCCGTGGAGAGGCATGTGTGTACCAGCCAAGGCAGAATGCATCTATACCTCATCTCCCCCACAACACACACGGCTAAAACCTTTTGCGACATACTTGTTTCTCTGAGATGGTCTGCTTGCACGCGTGGCATGTGAAGCAGTGCGGGTGCCACAACCCTCCCATGGACGAGAGGGCCGGGGAGAAGCCCAAGGGCCCATTGCACCCCGCACACACGGCCGGCACCAGCGCCGACCACACAGGGTGCTGCTGCCCTCCGCCCGCTGCCCTCCCTGCTCCCGCGCTTCCCACCCCACCGCTGCTGCTGCTGCTGCTGTTGTTGCTGCCAACAGGAGGTGCTGAAGGCAAATGCGAGAGCCCGCCCTGGGGAAACCGGGAGGGATGGGTGAGGGGAGGGAAAGGGCCGTGGGCAGATAAGGTGGAGCAGGTAAGTGTGGGGCCAAGGGGTCATCACTTCTCCCGTTGGACCTCTCATCCTCCTCACATCGTGGTCTTCACAATTCATCTCCTTCCAATTTCACAACCCTCGTTTCCCTCGCCTCCTCCAGCCTCACCTCCCCCAGCCTCACCTCTTCGAGGCTCAGCTCCTGCTGCAGCAACCGCGCTATCTCCTCATCGTTGCTCGTGTCTGGCGCCCCCTCACCACCCCCACCCCCACCTCGCCCCACTCCGCCTGGCTCTGCGCTGCCCTGTCCCGCTCCACCCATGCCCACATGCCGAGAACTGCCCGCACCACCTGCTGCTCCTCCTGCTCCTGCTCCAGTTCCTACTCTTGCTGCTGCTGTGGCTGACCAGTGACGATTCATGGCTTCTCGTTGCGCTGCCGCCGCAGCTGCAGCTGCAGCAACTGTTGCAGGTGTCCTGCCAGCACCCTGGCCTCCTCTAACGGCTGGGAAAGCATGGCAAGAGACGGAGGGAGGGAAGGGATCAGCACATGCAGGCAATCCGTCTGTGACATGCGTAGCCAGCCAGTGCCAGAGACAGGTCGACACACAAACCAGCACACGGGTTGACACACACGGATGGACGCACATACACTTACCTTGAGCTGCCTCCTCTGCCTCTCGTCTCGAAATCTCCAACGCTAGTTGAAGGGCCCTGTCCTCCTCCTCCGCCTCCCCACCCCTCTGAACCGCCTCCCCCCTCCCCACTGCCTCCCCTCTCCCTGTATTCCCGCCCCATCCTGCACCCTGCTGCTCTGGTTGACTGCTCCTCCCTGGAGGCCAACCCCCCTGCTGCTGGTGTCTCGGAGCCTGTTGGTGGTGGTTTGGCACTTGATGCTGCTGTTGGCTCGGGACTTGATGCTGGTGCTTCGGAACTTGATGCTGTTGGCTCGGCACCCATGGCTGATGGCTCGGCACGTGCTGCTGCTCCTGGTAAACCAGGCCAAGGTTGCGTTGAGGGGGAAACGAGACGGATAGGGCAGAGCGGGAGATTGGAGAGGATTGATAAGTCGATAACACGCGTGAGTAGCAGAAAAACGCAGGGTGAATGAGTGGGGCATGTGAGATGGGATCTGTGTTACACACCTGCAAGGAGAGCCTGAGTGCCTCTTCCAGCTGCCGCTGCTCCTCCTCCCTCAACTGCTGCTCCCTCTGCTGCTGCTGCATCGCTGGGTGGTGACTCGCCAAGGCTGGGGGCTGCGACAGATATGGGGATGAAGAGATGAAAAGAAGGGGAGGCGATGGACAGTAAGGAGATGTGGGGTGGTATGACAGGTAAGCTCATCGTCTCATTACTAAACGTTCATCACCATCATACTAATGTTCAGCACCTTATCTCTCAACGTTGTAAGAAATTGGTTAGACACATTGAAGCGTACCACTTGGTGCAGAGACTGCGTCGAGCTGCTGCTGCGATTAGGCTCGTCTGAACCGCCGGCTACAGCCCTGCATGGACCAGGCGTGAGAAGCGACAGGCTCAGACAAGGAAGCATATACCACCTCCTATGCGTTTCATATGCATAGGAAACGCATAATTGTACTACGAAGGGATAACTTCAACACATCCGTCCAATAAACGTGCTACTTGAAACAGAGGAATCGGCAGCAGCAGCAGCAACAGCGGCTAGACGTGGTGGTGGGAAAGGCAGCGGAGATGAGACGAGAGCGTGTGCGTGCAAGTAAGGCGAGCGCATGCCCCAGTGAAACGAGAAAATATAAGGCGGAGGAAACGGCAGCGGAACCTCTTGCTGGAGCCGACCAGGTGATAGGGGAGGGTTCAGACGGACAACGCGTGACGCTCCAAGAAGCGAGACGCAGAGAATTTGGTCGGATATTTCCGTGACTAGGACAGCGACCTAAAGATGGACGATGATCCTAGCGGAAACCGAAAAGGGTTACCTGCGAAACCATGACGTCACGTTCCCGACGACGTTATCCATCCAGGCCCAGAGTTAGAAAAGAATCTACAATTATTGCTCCTTAAAGCGGTAAGCGGCTAGCGACGAGTGTTGTGGCAAAGTGGAGTTCGGACGCCCTAATACGATCCTTGCCGTCGCATGCTATATCAAGTAAGTCAAGGGGTCACCCCCATGTGCTCTAGGTCGAAAACTACCATCCTAATTCTTCGTCCGTCTGCCGAATATATGCTGCAGAGCTCAGATTTAGGTGTGGAGAGTGAAATATAGGTGGACACGGCACCCAGAAGCTATGGGGAAATTGGTACTTGCTGCCTGGCAGCTGCCGTTGCGGGATGTTCTGGAACTGGAGGGCCTTCGGGAGTCTCGAGGACCTGTGAAGCCACGCTCGTGTCGGTGTGTTCCTGTGAAGCTGCAAAAGTTGCGGTGGACTCCGTGAGTATGCGTGTCGTGAATTTGATCACGAACGGGACACTCTTAGGGCGTATTCCCGTACTTCGGGTCATCAGCACTTCGGGTCATCCGAGATTGTGGGATCCAATCGGAAAATCGGAATGCACCCCAATCTCTTGATTCCAAATTTCCGATTGGATCCCACAATTTCGGATGGCCCGAAGTGCTGATGACCCGAAGTGCAGGAATACGCCCTTATCCTGGTTGTTGGCCCAGATACGTTATTGAATATTCTTATACAGTTTCTGGCACAGCTGGACAGCAATAGAAACGACGATTTCAGCGTTATTTGTATCTAATTTAGCATATTCAAATGCTGGGCACTTATTCTTGGATTCATGGCGCCTAACATACACAGCATCAGACCTACGCTATCACACGGGTCAACAAAATCGTAGAAGAAGACTCGGCCTTCAACTCTTTGCAGCTCTATTCCGCCTTGACTTTCCTTTGAGCCGGCGCCTTGTGCATCTCCCTGCCAATCTTCTTAAGCACCTCGTCTATCAAGATGACCGGGAGCGACGTCACGAGCACGAGCAGCCACTCATTGAAGCTCAGCGGCACGATCCCAAACACGTTAGCGAGGAACGGCACATAGAGGATGAGAAAGTGCAGCGAGAAGGAGAGGGTCATCGCCACGAGCAGCCAGGGATTCACCCACGGAGGCATCCTCGTCAGACTCACATCCTCTGACAGCGCATTCAGCGAGTTAAACATCTCAATCGCCACCAGCACCGACAGCGACAGCGTCGTCGCCTTCACCTTGCCCGACTCGAAATAGTCACACGGGTCGTGATTAAAAGAGAAGGTCTGCGCGCCGGCGGTGAAGGGCGCGGCGGAGAAGTCTTGCCAGGAGCGGCACTGGTCCCAGTGGCGCAGCTGGTGTAAGGAGACCAGAGAGTGGCCGTCCTGAGAGAGGTCGATGCCGAGGAAGGAGGAGTGCGTGTACCAGATGGCGAATACTCCCACTGTTGCGATTCCCACGTACATGCCTATGATCTGCATGGCAAGGGGAAACGAGGGGTAACATGGAGGGCATAGTGAGAGGTTTGAGAGGTCGATGCCGAGGAAGGAGGAGTGCGTGTACCAGATGGCGAATACTCCCACCGTTGTGATGCCCACGCACATGCCTATGATCTGCATGGCTGGGAGTGAAGAAGGGGAGCATGGACGAGGGAGTGGGGAGAGGCGACGCAGAGGACAATGTTGCACACACTTGCTACTTACCTTACAGCAAAATGCATGCACCACACATTGCAGCAGCCCAAACCCACTACCGCCCCCCTACCATCCACCCACCACATACGTACCACAGCAGCACAACCCCATAACCACCACCCCCCCCCTCCCATGCACTCACCACATATCGCAGCAGCACCCAGGCGGTGACCAGAGCATCATCGCTCCTGCGGGGCTGCTGCCGCATCACATTCTCATCGGGCGGGTTGAACCCCAGTGCTGTGGCAGGCGGTCCGTCCGTGACGAGGTTGACCCACAGCAGCTGCACGGGAATGAGGTTCTCTGGCAGGCCCAGGGCGGCAGTGAGGAAGATGGATGCCACCTCGCCCATGTTGCTCGATATCATGTAGCTGTGAGGGAATGGGGGGGGAGGCGGGGGGGGCGGGGAGGGGGGAGAGGAGAGGAAAGAGCAGGGGATACAGTGCATGAGATAGTGTGTGACGAGGTTGACCCACAGCAGTTGCACCGGAATCAGATTCTCAGGTAGACTGAGGGCGGCAGTGAGGAAGATGGATGCCACGTCGCCCATGTTGCTCGATATCATGTAGCTGTGAGGCATTGAAACGGGAGGGAGAGGTGGGAGGGGGAGAAGACGAGCTGGGTTTAGAGTGCATGAGATTGTGCGTGACCAGGCTGACCCACAACAGAATCAGGATCTCAAGCGTGGTGGCAGACATGATGGTGCCTGGGAGGAAGATGAGCAGCGCCTCACCCAGCCCAACTATGTTGACGTGACTTTTGAGAATTCTCAAAACTCAAGCGTGGTGGCAGACATGATGGTGGCTGGGAGGAAGATGAGCCTCGCCTCACCCAGCGAGTTGACTTTTGAGTCGACTCAAAAGTCAACTCGGAAGATGAGCCTCGCCTCACCCAACCCAAGTAGCTCGAAATGATGGAGCGGAGAAGCTAAGAAGCGGTGTGTTGGGGAGACACTTGAATGGTGACGCGGCCATGTTCAGATGGCATCGGGCTGTGTGTCACAGACAGTGATTCACACGCATGAGCGTCCTCACTGGATGCCTGCGCTCACCGGATGAATGCCTTCATGTTGTTGTAGATGGACCGCCCCTCCGCCACTGCAGCCACGATGGTGCTGAAGTTGTCGTCCGCCAGTACCATATCTGATGCCTCCTTCGCCACCTGAGGATGGGGTATGGCGGGTGGGGGAGCTCAGATGAATGGAGCCACTGCAGCCACGATGGTGCTAAAAGTTGTCGTCCGCCAGGACCATGTCCGACGCCTGCTTTGCCACCTGCAGGTGCATGGAAAGGGGGTGTAGAAAGAAGGTAGGTAGGTCGGACCATCGACGAGTGAAAGCAGCCACGATGGTGCTGAAAATGTCATACGCAAGGGCCATGTCCGATGCCTGCTTCGCCACCTGCAGGGGATGGGAAGTGGGCGTAGGAAGAGGGTAGGTAAGTCGGACCAACAGCGCGTCAACGCATGCAGCCACGATGGTCCGCAAGGGCCATGTCCGATGCCTGCTTCGCCACCTCAAGGAGGAGCGGGTCAGCGGAGGGTAAGAAGGACGAGAGGGTTTAACAGACGAGGGTCCAAGCGAGTGCGGGTGTAAGGTGCAGGTTTGAGGTGCATGTTTGAGGTGCAGGTTTGAGGTGCAGGTTTGAGGTGCAGGTTTGAGGTGCAGGTTTGAGGTGCAGGTTTTAGGTGCAGATTTAAGGTGCAGGTTTGAGGTGCAGGTTTGAGGTGCAATGCCCACCTCAGTTCCTGCAATGCCCATGGCAATGCCAATATCAGCCAGCTTGAGAACAGGGGTGTCGCTCACCCCATCGCCTGGCATGACTCTCTTTGTCGACTCAAAATCCAGTATCACCCACCTCAGTGCCGGCGATGCCCATGGCAATGCCGATATCCGCCAGCTTGAGCGCAGGGGCGTCGTTCACCCCATCCCCCGTCATGGCCACCACCTCGCCCTGCTCCTTGAGCATGCGCACTATCTCCTGCTTGTGCCTCGGCTCCGCACGGGAAAACACCTTGCCACCAGGCACCTGCAGGGAACGAGAACACCCAACGGGATGGGGGAACAGTCGTGTAAATATCAGGGGTATCTCTAACAGAGGCACCACTAGTAACCACCACCACCTCGCCCTGCTCTGCTCCTTGAGCATGCGCACTATCTCCCGCTTGTGCCGCGGCTCCACACGCAAGAACACCTTCCCCCCAGGATTTGAAGGGAACGAAAAGGTTTTTGAGGATTCTCAAACACCAGAACACCTTGCCCCCAGGCACCTGCAGGGAACGGAAACACACAAGGGATGTAACAAGTTTGAGAAAAACAGGGGGTGAATCATCATTACCGTTACCCCTATATGCCAGTTGGCGATGCATGCCAGCACAATCAACCTCTAGAGAAATGCCCCACCCATCCGTACCTTAAGAATCTCCATCCTGGTGGCAGCAGGCAAATCCATGAAGTCCTTGCCCGTGAAGCTGCAACAGCTGAGATCGTCCGATGGGCCCAGCACGCCGATCTCACGGCAGATAGCCTCCGCTGTGTTCTTGTTGTCGCCTGTTATCACCATCACTCTTATGCCCGCCGCCCGGCAATCCTCCACTGCTGCCGGCACTTCTTCTCTAGGTGGGTCCTGCGGGATGGAAGACAGGAGCAAGGAAATGTCCCTCTTAGATCCTCCCATCAATTTTTCTGTCCAGCAACAAGTGATGGCATGCCAGCACAGCATCAGTCCAGTACACAGAGCCTCACTCCCACTCACCCTCATCCCTGCACTCACCCTCATCCCTGCACTCACCCTCATCCCTGCACTCACCCTCATCCCTGCACTCACCCTCATCCCTGCACTCACCCTCATCCCTGCACTCACCCTCATCCCTGCACTCACCCTCATCCCTGCACTCACCCTCATCCCTGCACTCACCCTCATCCCTGCACTCATCCTCATCCCTGCACTCACCCTCATCCCTGCACTCACCCTCATCCCTGCACTCACCCTCATCCCTGCACTCACCCTCATCCCTGCACTCACCCTCATCCCTGCACTCACCCTCATCCCTGCACTCACCCGGAGTCCCACCATCCCGCAAAACACCAGACCCTGCTCGATCCGCTCGTAATTCCCCGGATCCAGCAGCACCTTGTGCCCCTCATGCTGCTCCCCGCTGTACCCCTGCAGTGCCCCCATCGCCTGCCCCTCCTTGCACGCGAACGCCAGGCACCGGAGGGCCTTGGAGGCCATGTCGGTCAGGACGGCCTCTGTGGCTCTGCGGCCCTCGGAAGTGAGCGGCACTATGGAGCCGTCCGCTAGTTGGATGGATGTGCAGCGCTCCAACACTGATTCCACCGCTCCCTGTGGACAGGCAGATGGGGAGGGGGAGAGGAGGGCACACCAATGGACATGGTTTTCAGGGCTCCGAGGTGAGCGGGACTATGGAGCCATCTGCGAGTTGGATGGATGTGCAGCGCTCCACCACTGATTCCACTGCTCCCTGTGGATAGGGAGGCATGTAGAGGGGGCACAGAGAGACAAGGAGGGACAACACTGCCTCGTTGGTTGGTTGGTTGGTTGGTTCGTTCGTTCGTTCGTTCGTTGGTGGCTATGGGCAAACTCCAGCACCGCCTTCCCTCCCACGGCCGACTGTATGCATTCATGATAGCTGCATGAGTCAAGATTCCTAACGCCAATACTCACCTTCACAAGTAGGCGAGTCTTCCCTTGGCTGCTCCTCACAATCACACTCATGGACTTGCGGCTCCGATCAAACTCCAGCACCGCCTTCCTCTCCCACTGCTTGCCCCACCACTCGTTGGCGTCTGCCATGGGACAAGGCGGGAGGGATGAGGCGAGTCGTAGTGAAAGGAGAGATGGGTGATGGCAGTGGGAGAGAAAACACAGAGGGATGGGATGGGATGATGGTTGGGTAAATTCCCCAGCACCGCCTTCCTCTCCCACTGCCTGGCCCACCAATCGTTGGCGTCTGCCATGGGACGAGTCAGGAGTAAGGGAAGGGATAGATGGGTGATGGAAGTGGGAGAGAAGAAGCCATGCGATGATGGTTCCGGCTGGGTCAGCGCCACCCCACAATGCACGCTCACTCCTAACACGTGACCAGCAGGCATGCTCTCTGCGCGTGTAGCTCTTGAGAATTCTCAAAAGCCATGCGATGATGGTTCCGGCTGGGTCAGCAGCGCCACCCACGAGGCGCGCTCACTCCTAACACGTGACCAGGACGCATGCTCTCTGCGCGTGCAGCTCTCTCACCTTGCAAGTGTGACGCAGGCGCACCCTTCCGCTTATTCCGGATGCTCAGCTGCAGCGTGTCATCCGGCACACCAATCTTCTCCACCAGCACTCGCAGCGCCGCCTCTGTGGGCAGCCCCGACGCCCTGTACGCGCCTCCCTTGAGTGATATGCTCGCGTCGTTGCACAGGACAGCTGCTTGTGTGAGAGATTGCGTGTTGGGAAAGGTGACTGAGCGCCCCCAGTTGAGGATTTCCCCGTCGGCTGGATTGTAGGAGGTTCCGTCGACGGCGAAGGAGAGGAAGGTGGAGGGGAGCGTGCCTGGGAGGACCAGGGCGGACACTGCCATCTGATGGGATGAGTGGGTTAAGCAGATGGGAAGGCAGAGGTAAGCCAAACACCCGGTTAATGATTTCCCAGCTGCCAGGTTCCGTCGACGGCAAAGGAGAGGAAGATGGAGGGGAGCGTGCTGGGAGGACCAGGGTTGACACAGCCATCTGATGGGGGTTGGGGAAGGTCATATGGGAGTTAAGACGGTGGGAAGACGAGGTAAGAAGATCTTTTATACTTGGACTATGGAGCTCAAAGATTCTTGATGGCTTCTATCCAAACAAACAGCTAGTCAGATCTGTTTTGGAGAAGGCATTCCATTCAAACGTCTGGCCATCCTCGTTATAAGCCTCACCTGGTTAGTGGTGAGTGTGCCAGTCTTATCGGAGCAGATCACAGTGGTACAACCCAGCGTCTCCACAGAAGGAAGCTTCCTCACAATCGCATTCTTCTGCGCCATCTTCCTCGTACCCAGAGCCAGGCAAGTGGTAATCACCGCAGGCAGCCCCTCGGGAATCGCCGCCACCGCCAGCGCCACCGCAATCTTAAAATAGTAAGTGCACTTCTGGAAAGAAAAGGAAAATCTCAGCCCCCCTGTCCACCAGGCGGCCGGATCTTCCTTCCAGGAGAGGAAGAACTTGTAGTTGATGAGCCAGACGAGGAGGCAGATCACCCCGATGACTGTGGTCAGCCGCTCTCCGAATTCATCTAGTTTTTTCTTCAGGGGTGTGTCGTCCTCTTCGGCTGCTGCTGCTGCGATCTGCTGCTGAATCTTGCCGATTTCTGTGTTCATGCCTGTCGCAATGACCAGGTTGCGGCTGGAGCCGTTGACCACTGTGGTGCCCGCGAACACCATGCTCTCCTTGGCCTGGCGGGATGGGAGGGTGAACAAAAGCGAGGTGTACGGGAAAGTGTAAGATTGGGCATGTTGTGAGCCAACCCAGACACGCGTGTTCACGCCCGTGACCACTGTGGTGCCCGCGAACACCATGCTCTTCTTGACCTGGCAAGGGGGGGGAGGAGAGAATCGGGGATGTGCATGGTGTGAGACTAGGTACGAGGGAGCAGGAACGAGGTGCACGCACATGTGCCCTTGGTGATCCCTGTGGTAAAGGCCAACATCATGGTCTCCCTTTTCGGACTCACTTGCTCTCTAAGGCTCATAGTCCTGCTGCTTACATACCACGAACCCTTCAATAGCCATGTGATAGAAGTTGAGTTTTGAGACGTCTCAAAACTCAACTTTTATCACGTGCTGCTTACCTAACGAACCCTTAACCTAGCTAATGACCCCTTGACCGAGTCATTGCTCTCTTGGCTGAGTCATTGCTCTCTTGGCCGAGTCATTGCTCTCTTGACCGAGTCATTGCTCTCTTGATCGAGTCATTGCTCTCTTGACCGAGTCATTGCTCTCTTGGCCGAGTCATTGCTCTCTTGGCGGAGTTGAGCTAGTGCATTGACAAGGTCCTTTCCACTCCTTTCTCCCCTCTGCCAGCACACAGAATCCCCCTCCATCAGCTCACAGCCTAAACCACATCCCTGCGCTCGCCCTCACCTGCAGCTCGCAGTCCTGCTGCTGAACCTCATCTGCTGACTTCTGTGCTTGCATTAGCTTTGAATATCTTAAAGGTGATACCGCTGCTGCATAGACCCCTTTTCTCCTCACCTGCAGCTCGCAGTCATGCTACTGAACCTCATTTACCGACTTCTGTGCTTGTTTCACTTTGATAAGCTTAGGCTGTATACCCCCCCTTCGCCCTCACCTGCAGCTCACAGTCCGCCTGCTGAACCTCATTCGCCGACTTCTGCACGGCCATGCTCTCGCCCGTCAGCGACGCCTGCTCCAGCCTCAGCGTGGAAGTGAGGAGGCTTATAACGCGCATGTCTGCGGGCACCTTGTCCCCCACCCGCAGCTCCACTATATCGCCCGGTACTAGCTCCCGCGCTGGCAGATCGTCCATGTGCTCGCCCGCCCTCACCACCTTGGCTGTCTCGGACTGAGAGGAGGGGGGCAGGGGAATTGGGAACGATGTAAGGGTTGAAAAGGGTTGAGCAGGGTCGAACAGGGTTGAAAAGGCTGACTCATCGCAGCTCCACTATATCGCCCGGTACCAATTCCCGAGCTGGCAGGTTGTCCATGTGCTCGCCCGCCCTCACCACCTTGGCTGTCTCGGACTGGGAGGGAGAAGCCAGGGGGGTGGGAAAGGATGGGAAGGGTGGAAAACAGAGCGGCTTGACTGAATATCTACGCGCTGTCATGCTGCCCTGTTGCCCCGCCACCTCAGCTGCCTCGGGCTGAGGATAAGGGGATGGAAGCAAGAAGAAGAGGGTAAGATAGACAAAAAAACAGATGGATGAGACGAGGGTTAGCCTAAACCCAGAACCGTCCAGGATTGAACTACCTTCAAACTCAGGGTTTACCGCAGCGTGCTCGTGGTAATATCGACCATACAGTTATAAGGCGCATGTCGTAGACTATCTACCTGCATGTCTTTAAGAGCCTCTAGCGCGCGCTCGGCGTTGCTCTCCTGCCACACGCCCACGCAGGCGTTGAGCACGAGAATAAGCAGAATGACCAGCGGCTCCACATACGCCGTTATCCCGCCGTCCTCCTGAGAATTGACATGAAAAATCGCGCAGGCAGGGAAGGACGCAAGAGAAGGAAGCAGCGGGGGATGCAGGTAAAAAAAAACGAAAAACGCGAGGACAGATACCGTAGCAAGAGGCTTTAATGGAGGCCAAGGGACAACAGCAGGTAGAGAACACGTTGAGAACTGAAATTCTCTCACTCCACAACTCGACGGCCGAAAGCTGGGAGAGGACAGAACCGTGAGAGACACAGGGTAAGGCCGAGGGGAGCACGGAAGGAGGGATGCACGGAGCAACGGACAGCACAAGAGCATGGAACGTCAGCAACGACCAGAAGACGGAAACTCGGCAAAATTCCCGCGAAAGAGAACCAACGGGGTGTCGGTCCGTAGAGCTACGGACGGGTCGCGTGAAGTGAGATTGGACCCGCAAAGGACGAAGCCGATCTGATCGCAATCAGATGACACATCCAGTCCGCTCGGCCGACTATGTCTGTTTCAAGAGTTGGAGCATACTCAATCCTCGCGACTGCTTGTCCGCGTAAGCAATCAAATCGGGTTTTTCAAAACAGGAGAATTGAAACGCAATGAATGGATTATCCGCTCACCTGGTCGTCCATGTAGGCGAGGACGAACGAGACGGCAGCAGCGGCGAGAAGAATCTTCACGTCGTTGAACTGATCCACAGCCAGCTTCCAGAACCGCGTGCGCTCCTTCTCCTACTCGTTGAAACACAATGAATGCTTTATCCGCTCACCTGCTCGTCCACGTAGGCGAGGACAAATGACACGGCAGCAGCGGCGAGAAGGATCTTCACGAGCGTGTCGTTAAACTGATCTACAACCAGCTTCCAAAACGGAGTGCCCGGTTCCTTCTCCAGCTCGTTGAAGCCGAATCGGCTCCGTCGCCACGCGACATCCTGGGGATCTAGACCCTTGTCTGCATCCACCTGGTACCGATCTAAACACTCCTGCACCGAATGCGACCACGCCGGGAACGTGCTTTCGGGTATGGATCCCAGATTAGACGACATCGTTAACGCGCAGGAGCGAGAACGAACGGTGTGGATCGGCCGTGAAGATGTGATCGCGCAAACGCAGACAGCAATCTGGCCGGCCACGCGAACTCGTCAACTATCAGGTAAATCACGCCGTCACACTACGGCCTGCGACGTACCTCACGCGCTGTACCGTGATCCTGTTCTCACTCACACTGGAACTGACACCATCTCAGCTCCTTTTTTGCTTCACGCAAGCAGCCTTGGGAATTGAGGAATCGACTGCCACAAGCACGCAACAGTCGAATTCCTCCAAGCCAGGCGGTGATCCGATCGGCGCGGGTGCAAGGAAGGTGGCTTTCTCGCCCAGCTGGAATACGAACAAGCCTCTTGGGAGTTACGTTTCAGATTCTGACATGGACGTCCCAGATTTGTTGGAAGAGTCGCGGGGGAACAGATCACGAAAGGAGCCAGTTGCGTGTTACACTATCCTCTTTAATGGCTTGTGAGCTGAAGAAACACATATTGCACTTAATCCTAGATTCACATTAAATCTGAAACAATATTTCGCTCCTCACACCATGAAGTAAAATGGCGCATCATACCATATGTGGTTTGAGCTATGTGCTGCGATCAGAAGTTGATCGCTCCTAGGATCTCCTCGGGAAGGTTCGCACACAGCTAGGTAGTGTTGGTGGGCCCTTGACCTCAATAGCAGAGTGGATGTAAAATGCTTGAGATAATAAAAACATGCAAATACAAAGTTATAAATATGAGTACAGAGAATACGAATCGACCTAGCTAGCCATGTACTCTAGGTACAGAGTTATAAATATGAGTACAGAGTACTTTCTCTTATTCAAATTCATTCCCAACCGTGCGGCGCGTACAGTTACGAAACGGTTCCCGCCCAATTCCTCCTGACTGCAGCTGTCCGATGCCGTCTGCTCCGACGGTCCAGATCCACCCTAACCGTCGAACGCTTTGAGGCAATTCCGACTCTTCGCATTCGTTCTCGTTACTGCGTGCTTCCTTAGCTGTGGTCAGGAGTGCACAGTTTCATCATTACTATTCGTAACACTACGAACCATCGTACAATGGTTACAGGCCATGTGCATCTTTCAACAAGCTGTCCATGGTGACATCATGCTCCAGAGTTACATCCAAAGCTGCTCAAACAGCCAAGTTGGCCTAGCTGGCTGCCAATGATGGCCAACTAAAAAGCTATATCCTCATTAATGAACAACACGCGAGATTGAAAGCACAATAGCTAAGATTTATGCGAAGTGTCAAGGGCTCTCCCACATTTAGACATGAAAATACCTAGAAGGCAAGTAAGCACCAAAGCTTATGAAAAAAACACAAGATCTTGAGTCTCTAAAGAAGAGCACGCAAATCCGCCCTAGTGTGTGTTTCAGGCGTTGGGCTTGGAGGGAGGGCCTTCAACAGACTTGATGAGCTCAGCAGTCTTCTCCTGCACTTGGCTCACCACCGGCCCTGCTGCCTCCTTCACCTTCTCCACCGATTCACCCACTTGGCTCACAACCGGCCCTGCAACGTCCTTCACCTTGTTCACCTGCTCCTCCACTTGCGATACCATAGGCTCGGTAAGCTCCTTCACCTTCTCCACTGCTTGCTCTGCCACAGGCTTGGCGGCTTCCAACGCTGCCTCGGCGACGGGCTTGGCGGCTTCCAGGGCTGCCTCGGCGACAGGCTTGGCAGCGTCAATCGCAGCTTCGGCGTATGGCTTGGCAGTCTCGGCGAATTCCTGGGTGGCCTCCCATGTCTATAGAAAGGAATAGGAGGGGGGAGAGGCGGGACGGGGAGCAGGGGTGTAGGAGAATTTATGGCAGGGCAGAACACTCATAATGTGACATGTCAGCACACACATGGCACAAATCACCACCCACACATTGCACCATCAGCACTGACATCACATGTCACATGTCAGCACACCCATCGCACATGAGCGGCACAGGTGAGGGAGGAGAGGAATACCGCTTCAGCGAAGGGAATGACGACATTGTCTACGATGGCCACCACAAATTCCTTCACCTTCTTGTGTGGTGAGGCGATTTTCAGGTGGAGTAAGAAAATGCGTAGCACACAACAGCACACCGATTGCACGTGTGAGAGAGGAGGGGCGTACCGCTTCAGCGAAGGGGATGACGACGTCGTCCACGATGGGCACCACAAAGTCCTTCACCTCCTCCAGACCCTGCTCCCACAGAGACAAAGGGAGGAACCCGAGGGGAGGGGAGTGTGATTGCGAGACTGTGAGATGACTGGATCAGGCAAGGTCCTGCTGCATGGCAGCACATCCCTCTCCTCCAGCTTCTGCTCCACGGGGGCAGGGGGGATGAGAGGTGTGAGTGGACAGTGAGGGTTGAGGTGGGAAGGGGCAAGGGTGAGGGTCGAGGTGCGGGGGGACAGGTGTAAGAGTTGAGGGGCTAGGGGAAAAGGGCGAGGGACGAGGGCGAGGATGAGTGTTCAGGGGTGAGAGGGTTGAGAGGCAAGACCAGGGAATGGGCCGAAAGGAATAGAAATGGGTGTGGGGCAACGACAGCCGGGGGCTAAACTAAATAGGCGCTACACTAACAAAGGCTCGAGTGGCTTGACCCACTTCTTGCCTACTCTTAGAGCTTCCACCTAACCAGAAGATGCTGCACTGGCATGGGCTGCCTCTCTCACCTCCTCGATCTCCTTCCACTTCTCATCGGGCAGCACGAAGAGAGCTGCGATGCCACCGCCGAACGCGGCGAGCACGCCGAACTGCGAGACGAAGAGCGGCATGCCGCCGCGCTTGCTCTTCTTCGCATCCTGCTGCTTCACCTCCTTCACGGGCGGCGCCGCTGTGCTCGACGGCTTCAGCTCCGGCTGATGGGGAAAGAGCGAGCGCGGGGGAGGAAGGATGCAGTGGGGTGGGAGGAGTCGGTTAGACTCTAGAGGCGTTGAACATACGAATGACAAAACGTGTCTTCGTAATGGCTAACTAAACCGGTGCCTTGGGTGCACGTAAGGAGGTTTCCAGCCAGCGCTCAGACACTTATTTCATTCGCCGTATGGAGAGAAATTCCGTTCGTAGCAACATAAGAGGCGGTTGTACTGGTGTGTGAGCCCGCGGAGAGGGGCCTTTGACGCGTCACCCCCGACAACTTTAAACTCGCGAGAAAATGGCGTTCCAGCGGGAAACAAACGAGATACTTTCGATATCGTAGCGGCATCCACGCGGGACAATAATCAGGGTAGTGGTAGGTAGATCAGTTGTCAACCCAATGCCATGCTTCGAATTGCCCATAGAAGCGCGTCAACGTGGCACCTTCATTTCGCTGTCTACCAATCCCACAGTGCACGTTCTGGACTCACAGACCCCTTGCAGACGAATTCACTCAAATCCCCTCGCGCTCGCAAAAGCTACTGTGCTACTCACCTTAACGAAGAGCCTCTGCGCCTGGATCTTCTCCTCCGCGAATCTCCGCGCGGCCTCCTCCTCCGCCGCCTTCTTCTCCGCCTCCGCGCGCGCCGCAGCGGCGATCGCCTCCTGCTCCTCGCGCTTCTTGCGCAGCAGCTCGCCCAACCGCCGGGCTCGCTCCTCAGGCTGGCGAAAGAAAAAAGGCGAAGGACGAAAGAACACGCAGCTTTTAAGTCGACATCGGAAGGTTCGATACACGCAAACCCGTTTCGTCAGAATGCATAATCTCCTTGGCGCTGATTTTGTTACGACAACAAGGGGCCAGAGAATGATGGCCATGAGTTGAAACGACCGACATTGCGACTCAAAGAGATTGACAGAGAAAAGGCGCGACTTTTGTTGTGTGGGGTTTGAATAAAGTGGGGCTGGATGCTTACCGTGTTTAAAGCGGCCTCATCCACAACAGCGACCTCCTGAACAAGCACGGGAATAGGCAGCACGAGCGAAAATCCGCGTGAGCTCACTGGTTCCAAGAAAAAAAAATGGGCTTCGGCGATTGGAGAGGGGACGCTGACATGATGCAATGGAAACCCGCGTAGCATGGAGGAGGGAGACGGCTGGATCACAGGAATGGCTTGGCGACAGAAAGGGAGCGAACCATGGAACCTAGGAAAATTCCCGAGGAACGAAGCACCCGTATGGGAGAATGGAGGCGATGCGAGTCTCGTGGCTGACGTACCTCTGCTTGAGCGGCGGCGACGCACCAGTGAGGAGATAGCTCTGCATTGCGTCAGCTGTCGGCGCAATGCCCATCACGGTCGCGGCTGCCAGAAAGCCGAGAGAGCAAAAACGGAACGAGATTTGTGCGTGTGTCTCGCCGTTCCGGTCCCGACATGCTCCCATCCAGTAGTGAAAAAAGGGGCTCGTGTAGAAAGTGCTGTACAAGTCCTGAAAAAACACACGTTATTGATAGTAAACTCACCGAAGATCGCGGAGGACAGAGCGGGAACGACGGCTCTAGCGAGCTGAGCCGCGAAGTTGGGCGTCGCATTCTTATTGTCGCCATCGGCACGGCACGACACGCTCGTCGCAACGGTCTTTCTGGCGGGTAGCAGCGACAGAGACGGTCACTGGTGGCCCTTGAACACCGTCTGATCGGCGAGGGCGAGCCGGGAATCGACGGCTAGAGAAGCGGAGGTGCTGAGAGCCGACATGGTTGCGTGCGGTGCAATGCGATGGACGCAAAGATGAAATCGCTAAATGAATGGCGGCAATCACGCGACTGCGGCTGTAAGGGAAAGCTCCGAAGTAGCAGAGGATGGAATTCTCAGAGACCAGAGAAATAGGCTCGGCAGTCCCAAGAGACAGCTGCTGGTCAGATCAGGTGCTCAAACCTCCAGCAGCGCGGAGATTCGGGAAATTTTGCGTCACGACATTCCCAACGCTGAACTGGTGGTGCTGGTGATGGGTTGAGCAGTTAGGGGCTCATCTACGGCAATGCTGCGTTTGCGGAGCCAATCTTCAAAGTTCGACGGGCACGATTGCAACGTAAGCAGTAAAAGCTGATGCTGGTGCCACGCGGAATGGAGATTGGGCGAGATGGTCCTTCAACCTTGGAAGTCCGCCAGGACCATGTCCGACGCCTGCTTTGCCACCTGCAGGTGCATGGAAAGGGGGTGTAGAAAGAAGGTAGGTAGGTCGGACCATCGACGAGTGAAAGCAGCCACGATGGTGCTGAAAATGTCATACGCAAGGGCCATGTCCGATGCCTGCTTCGCCACCTGCAGGGGATGGGAAGTGGGCGTAGGAAGAGGGTAGGTAAGTCGGACCAACAGCGCGTCAACGCATGCAGCCACGATGGTCCGCAAGGGCCATGTCCGATGCCTGCTTCGCCACCTCAAGGAGGAGCGGGTCAGCGGAGGGTAAGAAGGACGAGAGGGTTTAACAGACGAGGGTCCAAGCGAGTGCGGGTGTAAGGTGCAGGTTTGAGGTGCATGTTTGAGGTGCAGGTTTGAGGTGCAGGTTTGAGGTGCAGGTTTGAGGTGCAGGTTTGAGGTGCAGGTTTTAGGTGCAGATTTAAGGTGCAGGTTTGAGGTGCAGGTTTGAGGTGCAATGCCCACCTCAGTTCCTGCAATGCCCATGGCAATGCCAATATCAGCCAGCTTGAGAACAGGGGTGTCGCTCACCCCATCGCCTGGCATGACTCTCTTTGTCGACTCAAAATCCAGTATCACCCACCTCAGTGCCGGCGATGCCCATGGCAATGCCGATATCCGCCAGCTTGAGCGCAGGGGCGTCGTTCACCCCATCCCCCGTCATGGCCACCACCTCGCCCTGCTCCTTGAGCATGCGCACTATCTCCTGCTTGTGCCTCGGCTCCGCACGGGAAAACACCTTGCCACCAGGCACCTGCAGGGAACGAGAACACCCAACGGGATGGGGGAACAGTCGTGTAAATATCAGGGGTATCTCTAACAGAGGCACCACTAGTAACCACCACCACCTCGCCCTGCTCTGCTCCTTGAGCATGCGCACTATCTCCCGCTTGTGCCGCGGCTCCACACGCAAGAACACCTTCCCCCCAGGATTTGAAGGGAACGAAAAGGTTTTTGAGGATTCTCAAACACCAGAACACCTTGCCCCCAGGCACCTGCAGGGAACGGAAACACACAAGGGATGTAACAAGTTTGAGAAAAACAGGGGGTGAATCATCATTACCGTTACCCCTATATGCCAGTTGGCGATGCATGCCAGCACAATCAACCTCTAGAGAAATGCCCCACCCATCCGTACCTTAAGAATCTCCATCCTGGTGGCAGCAGGCAAATCCATGAAGTCCTTGCCCGTGAAGCTGCAACAGCTGAGATCGTCCGATGGGCCCAGCACGCCGATCTCACGGCAGATAGCCTCCGCTGTGTTCTTGTTGTCGCCTGTTATCACCATCACTCTTATGCCCGCCGCCCGGCAATCCTCCACTGCTGCCGGCACTTCTTCTCTAGGTGGGTCCTGCGGGATGGAAGACAGGAGCAAGGAAATGTCCCTCTTAGATCCTCCCATCAATTTTTCTGTCCAGCAACAAGTGATGGCATGCCAGCACAGCATCAGTCCAGTACACAGAGCCTCACTCCCACTCACCCTCATCCCTGCACTCACCCTCATCCCTGCACTCACCCTCATCCCTGCACTCACCCTCATCCCTGCACTCACCCTCATCCCTGCACTCACCCTCATCCCTGCACTCACCCTCATCCCTGCACTCACCCTCATCCCTGCACTCACCCTCATCCCTGCACTCACCCTCATCCCTGCATCCCTGCACTCATCCTCATCCCTGCACTCACCCTCATCCCTGCACTCACCCTCATCCCTGCACTCACCCTCATCCCTGCACTCACCCTCATCCCTGCACTCACCCTCATCCCTGCACTCACCCTCATCCCTGCACTCACCCGGAGTCCCACCATCCCGCAAAACACCAGACCCTGCTCGATCCGCTCGTAATTCCCCGGATCCAGCAGCACCTTGTGCCCCTCATGCTGCTCCCCGCTGTACCCCTGCAGTGCCCCCATCGCCTGCCCCTCCTTGCACGCGAACGCCAGGCACCGGAGGGCCTTGGAGGCCATGTCGGTCAGGACGGCCTCTGTGGCTCTGCGGCCCTCGGAAGTGAGCGGCACTATGGAGCCGTCCGCTAGTTGGATGGATGTGCAGCGCTCCAACACTGATTCCACCGCTCCCTGTGGACAGGCAGATGGGGAGGGGGAGAGGAGGGCACACCAATGGACATGGTTTTCAGGGCTCCGAGGTGAGCGGGACTATGGAGCCATCTGCGAGTTGGATGGATGTGCAGCGCTCCACCACTGATTCCACTGCTCCCTGTGGATAGGGAGGCATGTAGAGGGGGCACAGAGAGACAAGGAGGGACAACACTGCCTCGTTGGTTGGTTGGTTGGTTGGTTCGTTCGTTCGTTCGTTCGTTGGTGGCTATGGGCAAACTCCAGCACCGCCTTCCCTCCCACGGCCGACTGTATGCATTCATGATAGCTGCATGAGTCAAGATTCCTAACGCCAATACTCACCTTCACAAGTAGGCGAGTCTTCCCTTGGCTGCTCCTCACAATCACACTCATGGACTTGCGGCTCCGATCAAACTCCAGCACCGCCTTCCTCTCCCACTGCTTGCCCCACCACTCGTTGGCGTCTGCCATGGGACAAGGCGGGAGGGATGAGGCGAGTCGTAGTGAAAGGAGAGATGGGTGATGGCAGTGGGAGAGAAAACACAGAGGGATGGGATGGGATGATGGTTGGGTAAATTCCCCAGCACCGCCTTCCTCTCCCACTGCCTGGCCCACCAATCGTTGGCGTCTGCCATGGGACGAGTCAGGAGTAAGGGAAGGGATAGATGGGTGATGGAAGTGGGAGAGAAGAAGCCATGCGATGATGGTTCCGGCTGGGTCAGCGCCACCCCACAATGCACGCTCACTCCTAACACGTGACCAGCAGGCATGCTCTCTGCGCGTGTAGCTCTTGAGAATTCTCAAAAGCCATGCGATGATGGTTCCGGCTGGGTCAGCAGCGCCACCCACGAGGCGCGCTCACTCCTAACACGTGACCAGGACGCATGCTCTCTGCGCGTGCAGCTCTCTCACCTTGCAAGTGTGACGCAGGCGCACCCTTCCGCTTATTCCGGATGCTCAGCTGCAGCGTGTCATCCGGCACACCAATCTTCTCCACCAGCACTCGCAGCGCCGCCTCTGTGGGCAGCCCCGACGCCCTGTACGCGCCTCCCTTGAGTGATATGCTCGCGTCGTTGCACAGGACAGCTGCTTGTGTGAGAGATTGCGTGTTGGGAAAGGTGACTGAGCGCCCCCAGTTGAGGATTTCCCCGTCGGCTGGATTGTAGGAGGTTCCGTCGACGGCGAAGGAGAGGAAGGTGGAGGGGAGCGTGCCTGGGAGGACCAGGGCGGACACTGCCATCTGATGGGATGAGTGGGTTAAGCAGATGGGAAGGCAGAGGTAAGCCAAACACCCGGTTAATGATTTCCCAGCTGCCAGGTTCCGTCGACGGCAAAGGAGAGGAAGATGGAGGGGAGCGTGCTGGGAGGACCAGGGTTGACACAGCCATCTGATGGGGGTTGGGGAAGGTCATATGGGAGTTAAGACGGTGGGAAGACGAGGTAAGAAGATCTTTTATACTTGGACTATGGAGCTCAAAGATTCTTGATGGCTTCTATCCAAACAAACAGCTAGTCAGATCTGTTTTGGAGAAGGCATTCCATTCAAACGTCTGGCCATCCTCGTTATAAGCCTCACCTGGTTAGTGGTGAGTGTGCCAGTCTTATCGGAGCAGATCACAGTGGTACAACCCAGCGTCTCCACAGAAGGAAGCTTCCTCACAATCGCATTCTTCTGCGCCATCTTCCTCGTACCCAGAGCCAGGCAAGTGGTAATCACCGCAGGCAGCCCCTCGGGAATCGCCGCCACCGCCAGCGCCACCGCAATCTTAAAATAGTAAGTGCACTTCTGGAAAGAAAAGGAAAATCTCAGCCCCCCTGTCCACCAGGCGGCCGGATCTTCCTTCCAGGAGAGGAAGAACTTGTAGTTGATGAGCCAGACGAGGAGGCAGATCACCCCGATGACTGTGGTCAGCCGCTCTCCGAATTCATCTAGTTTTTTCTTCAGGGGTGTGTCGTCCTCTTCGGCTGCTGCTGCTGCGATCTGCTGCTGAATCTTGCCGATTTCTGTGTTCATGCCTGTCGCAATGACCAGGTTGCGGCTGGAGCCGTTGACCACTGTGGTGCCCGCGAACACCATGCTCTCCTTGGCCTGGCGGGATGGGAGGGTGAACAAAAGCGAGGTGTACGGGAAAGTGTAAGATTGGGCATGTTGTGAGCCAACCCAGACACGCGTGTTCACGCCCGTGACCACTGTGGTGCCCGCGAACACCATGCTCTTCTTGACCTGGCAAGGGGGGGGAGGAGAGAATCGGGGATGTGCATGGTGTGAGACTAGGTACGAGGGAGCAGGAACGAGGTGCACGCACATGTGCCCTTGGTGATCCCTGTGGTAAAGGCCAACATCATGGTCTCCCTTTTCGGACTCACTTGCTCTCTAAGGCTCATAGTCCTGCTGCTTACATACCACGAACCCTTCAATAGCCATGTGATAGAAGTTGAGTTTTGAGACGTCTCAAAACTCAACTTTTATCACGTGCTGCTTACCTAACGAACCCTTAACCTAGCTAATGACCCCTTGACCGAGTCATTGCTCTCTTGGCTGAGTCATTGCTCTCTTGGCCGAGTCATTGCTCTCTTGACCGAGTCATTGCTCTCTTGATCGAGTCATTGCTCTCTTGACCGAGTCATTGCTCTCTTGGCCGAGTCATTGCTCTCTTGGCGGAGTTGAGCTAGTGCATTGACAAGGTCCTTTCCACTCCTTTCTCCCCTCTGCCAGCACACAGAATCCCCCTCCATCAGCTCACAGCCTAAACCACATCCCTGCGCTCGCCCTCACCTGCAGCTCGCAGTCCTGCTGCTGAACCTCATCTGCTGACTTCTGTGCTTGCATTAGCTTTGAATATCTTAAAGGTGATACCGCTGCTGCATAGACCCCTTTTCTCCTCACCTGCAGCTCGCAGTCATGCTACTGAACCTCATTTACCGACTTCTGTGCTTGTTTCACTTTGATAAGCTTAGGCTGTATACCCCCCCTTCGCCCTCACCTGCAGCTCACAGTCCGCCTGCTGAACCTCATTCGCCGACTTCTGCACGGCCATGCTCTCGCCCGTCAGCGACGCCTGCTCCAGCCTCAGCGTGGAAGTGAGGAGGCTTATAACGCGCATGTCTGCGGGCACCTTGTCCCCCACCCGCAGCTCCACTATATCGCCCGGTACTAGCTCCCGCGCTGGCAGATCGTCCATGTGCTCGCCCGCCCTCACCACCTTGGCTGTCTCGGACTGAGAGGAGGGGGGCAGGGGAATTGGGAACGATGTAAGGGTTGAAAAGGGTTGAGCAGGGTCGAACAGGGTTGAAAAGGCTGACTCATCGCAGCTCCACTATATCGCCCGGTACCAATTCCCGAGCTGGCAGGTTGTCCATGTGCTCGCCCGCCCTCACCACCTTGGCTGTCTCGGACTGGGAGGGAGAAGCCAGGGGGGTGGGAAAGGATGGGAAGGGTGGAAAACAGAGCGGCTTGACTGAATATCTACGCGCTGTCATGCTGCCCTGTTGCCCCGCCACCTCAGCTGCCTCGGGCTGAGGATAAGGGGATGGAAGCAAGAAGAAGAGGGTAAGATAGACAAAAAAACAGATGGATGAGACGAGGGTTAGCCTAAACCCAGAACCGTCCAGGATTGAACTACCTTCAAACTCAGGGTTTACCGCAGCGTGCTCGTGGTAATATCGACCATACAGTTATAAGGCGCATGTCGTAGACTATCTACCTGCATGTCTTTAAGAGCCTCTAGCGCGCGCTCGGCGTTGCTCTCCTGCCACACGCCCACGCAGGCGTTGAGCACGAGAATAAGCAGAATGACCAGCGGCTCCACATACGCCGTTATCCCGCCGTCCTCCTGAGAATTGACATGAAAAATCGCGCAGGCAGGGAAGGACGCAAGAGAAGGAAGCAGCGGGGGATGCAGGTAAAAAAAAACGAAAAACGCGAGGACAGATACCGTAGCAAGAGGCTTTAATGGAGGCCAAGGGACAACAGCAGGTAGAGAACACGTTGAGAACTGAAATTCTCTCACTCCACAACTCGACGGCCGAAAGCTGGGAGAGGACAGAACCGTGAGAGACACAGGGTAAGGCCGAGGGGAGCACGGAAGGAGGGATGCACGGAGCAACGGACAGCACAAGAGCATGGAACGTCAGCAACGACCAGAAGACGGAAACTCGGCAAAATTCCCGCGAAAGAGAACCAACGGGGTGTCGGTCCGTAGAGCTACGGACGGGTCGCGTGAAGTGAGATTGGACCCGCAAAGGACGAAGCCGATCTGATCGCAATCAGATGACACATCCAGTCCGCTCGGCCGACTATGTCTGTTTCAAGAGTTGGAGCATACTCAATCCTCGCGACTGCTTGTCCGCGTAAGCAATCAAATCGGGTTTTTCAAAACAGGAGAATTGAAACGCAATGAATGGATTATCCGCTCACCTGGTCGTCCATGTAGGCGAGGACGAACGAGACGGCAGCAGCGGCGAGAAGAATCTTCACGTCGTTGAACTGATCCACAGCCAGCTTCCAGAACCGCGTGCGCTCCTTCTCCTACTCGTTGAAACACAATGAATGCTTTATCCGCTCACCTGCTCGTCCACGTAGGCGAGGACAAATGACACGGCAGCAGCGGCGAGAAGGATCTTCACGAGCGTGTCGTTAAACTGATCTACAACCAGCTTCCAAAACGGAGTGCCCGGTTCCTTCTCCAGCTCGTTGAAGCCGAATCGGCTCCGTCGCCACGCGACATCCTGGGGATCTAGACCCTTGTCTGCATCCACCTGGTACCGATCTAAACACTCCTGCACCGAATGCGACCACGCCGGGAACGTGCTTTCGGGTATGGATCCCAGATTAGACGACATCGTTAACGCGCAGGAGCGAGAACGAACGGTGTGGATCGGCCGTGAAGATGTGATCGCGCAAACGCAGACAGCAATCTGGCCGGCCACGCGAACTCGTCAACTATCAGGTAAATCACGCCGTCACACTACGGCCTGCGACGTACCTCACGCGCTGTACCGTGATCCTGTTCTCACTCACACTGGAACTGACACCATCTCAGCTCCTTTTTTGCTTCACGCAAGCAGCCTTGGGAATTGAGGAATCGACTGCCACAAGCACGCAACAGTCGAATTCCTCCAAGCCAGGCGGTGATCCGATCGGCGCGGGTGCAAGGAAGGTGGCTTTCTCGCCCAGCTGGAATACGAACAAGCCTCTTGGGAGTTACGTTTCAGATTCTGACATGGACGTCCCAGATTTGTTGGAAGAGTCGCGGGGGAACAGATCACGAAAGGAGCCAGTTGCGTGTTACACTATCCTCTTTAATGGCTTGTGAGCTGAAGAAACACATATTGCACTTAATCCTAGATTCACATTAAATCTGAAACAATATTTCGCTCCTCACACCATGAAGTAAAATGGCGCATCATACCATATGTGGTTTGAGCTATGTGCTGCGATCAGAAGTTGATCGCTCCTAGGATCTCCTCGGGAAGGTTCGCACACAGCTAGGTAGTGTTGGTGGGCCCTTGACCTCAATAGCAGAGTGGATGTAAAATGCTTGAGATAATAAAAACATGCAAATACAAAGTTATAAATATGAGTACAGAGAATACGAATCGACCTAGCTAGCCATGTACTCTAGGTACAGAGTTATAAATATGAGTACAGAGTACTTTCTCTTATTCAAATTCATTCCCAACCGTGCGGCGCGTACAGTTACGAAACGGTTCCCGCCCAATTCCTCCTGACTGCAGCTGTCCGATGCCGTCTGCTCCGACGGTCCAGATCCACCCTAACCGTCGAACGCTTTGAGGCAATTCCGACTCTTCGCATTCGTTCTCGTTACTGCGTGCTTCCTTAGCTGTGGTCAGGAGTGCACAGTTTCATCATTACTATTCGTAACACTACGAACCATCGTACAATGGTTACAGGCCATGTGCATCTTTCAACAAGCTGTCCATGGTGACATCATGCTCCAGAGTTACATCCAAAGCTGCTCAAACAGCCAAGTTGGCCTAGCTGGCTGCCAATGATGGCCAACTAAAAAGCTATATCCTCATTAATGAACAACACGCGAGATTGAAAGCACAATAGCTAAGATTTATGCGAAGTGTCAAGGGCTCTCCCACATTTAGACATGAAAATACCTAGAAGGCAAGTAAGCACCAAAGCTTATGAAAAAAACACAAGATCTTGAGTCTCTAAAGAAGAGCACGCAAATCCGCCCTAGTGTGTGTTTCAGGCGTTGGGCTTGGAGGGAGGGCCTTCAACAGACTTGATGAGCTCAGCAGTCTTCTCCTGCACTTGGCTCACCACCGGCCCTGCTGCCTCCTTCACCTTCTCCACCGATTCACCCACTTGGCTCACAACCGGCCCTGCAACGTCCTTCACCTTGTTCACCTGCTCCTCCACTTGCGATACCATAGGCTCGGTAAGCTCCTTCACCTTCTCCACTGCTTGCTCTGCCACAGGCTTGGCGGCTTCCAACGCTGCCTCGGCGACGGGCTTGGCGGCTTCCAGGGCTGCCTCGGCGACAGGCTTGGCAGCGTCAATCGCAGCTTCGGCGTATGGCTTGGCAGTCTCGGCGAATTCCTGGGTGGCCTCCCATGTCTATAGAAAGGAATAGGAGGGGGGAGAGGCGGGACGGGGAGCAGGGGTGTAGGAGAATTTATGGCAGGGCAGAACACTCATAATGTGACATGTCAGCACACACATGGCACAAATCACCACCCACACATTGCACCATCAGCACTGACATCACATGTCACATGTCAGCACACCCATCGCACATGAGCGGCACAGGTGAGGGAGGAGAGGAATACCGCTTCAGCGAAGGGAATGACGACATTGTCTACGATGGCCACCACAAATTCCTTCACCTTCTTGTGTGGTGAGGCGATTTTCAGGTGGAGTAAGAAAATGCGTAGCACACAACAGCACACCGATTGCACGTGTGAGAGAGGAGGGGCGTACCGCTTCAGCGAAGGGGATGACGACGTCGTCCACGATGGGCACCACAAAGTCCTTCACCTCCTCCAGACCCTGCTCCCACAGAGACAAAGGGAGGAACCCGAGGGGAGGGGAGTGTGATTGCGAGACTGTGAGATGACTGGATCAGGCAAGGTCCTGCTGCATGGCAGCACATCCCTCTCCTCCAGCTTCTGCTCCACGGGGGCAGGGGGGATGAGAGGTGTGAGTGGACAGTGAGGGTTGAGGTGGGAAGGGGCAAGGGTGAGGGTCGAGGTGCGGGGGGACAGGTGTAAGAGTTGAGGGGCTAGGGGAAAAGGGCGAGGGACGAGGGGCGAGGATGAGTGTTCAGGGGTGAGAGGGTTGAGAGGCAAGACCAGGGAATGGGCCGAAAGGAATAGAAATGGGTGTGGGGCAACGACAGCCGGGGGCTAAACTAAATAGGCGCTACACTAACAAAGGCTCGAGTGGCTTGACCCACTTCTTGCCTACTCTTAGAGCTTCCACCTAACCAGAAGATGCTGCACTGGCATGGGCTGCCTCTCTCACCTCCTCGATCTCCTTCCACTTCTCATCGGGCAGCACGAAGAGAGCTGCGATGCCACCGCCGAACGCGGCGAGCACGCCGAACTGCGAGACGAAGAGCGGCATGCCGCCGCGCTTGCTCTTCTTCGCATCCTGCTGCTTCACCTCCTTCACGGGCGGCGCCGCTGTGCTCGACGGCTTCAGCTCCGGCTGGATGGGGAAAGAGCGAGCGCGGGGGAGGAAGGATGCAGTGGGGTGGGAGGAGTCGGTTAGACTCTAGAGGCGTTGAACATACGAATGACAAAACGTGTCTTCGTAATGGCTAACTAAACCGGTGCCTTGGGTGCACGTAAGGAGGTTTCCAGCCAGCGCTCAGACACTTATTTCATTCGCCGTATGGAGAGAAATTCCGTTCGTAGCAACATAAGAGGCGGTTGTACTGGGTGTGTGAGCCCGCGGAGAGGGGCCTTTGACGCGTCACCCCCGACAACTTTAAACTCGCGAGAAAATGGCGTTCCAGCGGGAAACAAACGAGATACTTTCGATATCGTAGCGGCATCCACGCGGGACAATAATCAGGGTAGTGGTAGGTAGATCAGTTGTCAACCCAATGCCATGCTTCGAATTGCCCATAGAAGCGCGTCAACGTGGCACCTTCATTTCGCTGTCTACCAATCCCACAGTGCACGTTCTGGACTCACAGACCCCTTGCAGACGAATTCACTCAAAATCCCCTCGCGCTCGCAAAAGCTACTGTGCTACTCACCTTAACGAAGAGCCTCTGCGCCTGGATCTTCTCCTCCGCGAATCTCCGCGCGGCCTCCTCCTCCGCCGCCTTCTTCTCCGCCTCCGCGCGCGCCGCAGCGGCGATCGCCTCCTGCTCCTCGCGCTTCTTGCGCAGCAGCTCGCCCAACCGCCGGGCTCGCTCCTCAGGCTGGCGAAAGAAAAAAGGCGAAGGACGAAAGAACACGCAGCTTTTAAGTCGACATCGGAAGGTTCGATACACGCAAACCCGTTTCGTCAGAATGCATAATCTCCTTGGCGCTGATTTTGTTACGACAACAAGGGGCCAGAGAATGATGGCCATGAGTTGAAACGACCGACATTGCGACTCAAAAGAGATTGACAGAGGAAAAGGCGCGACTTTTGTTGTGTGGGGTTTGAATAAAGTGGGGCTGGATGCTTACCGTGTTTAAAGCGGCCTCATCCACAACAGCGACCTCCTGAACAAGCACGGGAATAGGGCAGCACGAGCGAAAATCCGCGTGAGCTCACTGGTTCCAAGAAAAAAAAATGGGCTTCGGCGATTGGAGAGGGGACGCTGACATGATGCAATGGAAACCCGCGTAGCATGGAGGAGGGAGACGGCTGGATCACAGGAATGGCTTGGCGACAGAAAGGGAGCGAACCATGGAACCTAGGAAAATTCCCGGAGGAACGAAGCACCCGTATGGGAGAATGGAGGCGATGCGAGTCTCGTGGCTGACGTACCTCTGCTTGAGCGGCGGCGACGCCACCAGTGAGGAGATAGCTCTGCATTGCGTCAGCTGTCGGCGCAATGCCCATCACGGTCGCGGCTGCCAGAAAGCCGAGAGAGCAAAAACGGAACGAGATTTGTGCGTGTGTCTCGCCGTTCCGGTCCCGACATGCTCCCATCCAGTAGTGAAAAAAGGGGCTCGTGTAGAAAGTGCTGTACAAGTCCTGAAAAAACACACGTTATTGATAGTAACTCACCGAAGATCGCGGAGGACAGAGCGGGAACGACGGCTCTAGCGAGCTGAGCCGCGAAGTTGGGCGTCGCATTCTTATTGTCGCCATCGGCACGGCACGACACGCTCGTCGCAACGGTCTTTCTGGCGGGAGCAGCGACAGAGACGGTCACTGGTTGGCCCTTGAACACCGTCTGATCGGCGAGGGCGAGCCGGGAATCGACGGCTAGAGAAGCGGAGGTGCTGAGAGCCGACATGGTTGCGTGCGGTGCAATGCGATGGACGCAAAGATGAAATCGCTAAAATGAATGGCGGCAATCACGCGACTGCGGCTGTAAGGGAAAGCTCCGAAGTAGCAGAGGATGGAATTCTCAGAGACCAGAGAAATAGGCTCGGCAGTCCCAAGAGACAGCTGCTGGTCAGATCAGGTGCTCAAACCTCCAGCAGCGCGGAGATTCGGGAAATTTTGCGTCACGACATTCCCAACGCTGAACTGGTGGTGCTGGTGATGGGTTGAGCAGTTAGGGGCTCATCTACGGCAATGCTGCGTTTGCGGAGCCAATCTTCAAAGTTCGACGGGCACGATTGCAACGTAAGCAGTAAAAGCTGATAGCTGGTGCCACGCGGAGTGGAGATTGGGCGAGTGGTCCTTCAACCTTGGAAGCTCCCCAGAGAATCTCTCCAGGGTGACTTGGCAGCTTCTGGAATCACTTATGAATCCAGCGTGGCAGCAGCCCATACCCTGGCAACCGCGACATGGTGAATTGACATCGGGCTCTCGACAATATTGTGGCCTCAACTACACGAGGCATAGCTACTAGAAAGAACCAAGCACAACATCTTCCTAAATACAATAGCCATTAATACATTATCGTCACAACAGACAACATTGTACTACCAACATAGGAAACTAGACTCAGCCAAAAAAGTCGGACTCATCCTTCCACATATTTTGGCGCATTGCTGATGGGGTAGCACCTTCGACTTGATCACATGGAATCACCTGGTGGCCAGAAAAAAAACAGGAGCACAAAGAATGGCAGGCATGTCAGTTCGTGAACACATGCAATGCACCAAAACAAGATGCACGTTCCAGCGCAAAAGGATAGACGGTGCACCAGCCAATCTCCTAAAATGACAGCAATTCACCTGCATCTTGTTCTCACCTCAACTCCTCCCCACCACATTCTCTTGCCACTAGTGCTCCCAACTCCACCATCCAATGATTTTCTGCCTCCACGCCCATCATCGGCCAATCGCCTGCTCCCATGACCATCATCAGCCAACCGCCTGCTACCGTGCCCATCATCGGCCAATCGCCTGCTCCTCGACCCAACCCCAGGTCCCGCTGCTGCAGCAGCATCATCAGCAGCAGGAGAGATCAAACTGCCAAACTTGTCATCAGCCAACCGCCTGCTTCTCGAGCCAGGCCCAACCAGGGAAGGTGTCATTGCTGCAGCAGCGTCACCAGCAGCAGGAGAGATCAAACTGCCAAACCCTTCATCAACCAATCGCCTGCTTCTTGAGCCCAGCCCCGCAAGAGGACTAGCAGCTGCAGCACCAGTAGCAGCACCAGCAGGAGAAGCAGCAGCAGCAGGAGAAGCAGCAGGAGAAGCAGCAGTAACAGCAGCAGAGGGGGAGAACAAGCTACCAAACCCGTCATCAGCCAATCGCCTGCTTCTGGAGCCGAGCCCGGCAAAAGAAGGGCTGGGAGATGCACGGCGGTCAGCAGCATCAACGAAAGTAGGCGCAGAAACCACAGGGGCGGAAAGGGACATGCCGAATTCATCGTCCTGTAGTCGCCGCCCTCTCTGCCGCCCGTCCACCATGGGACCCCTAGGGGTAGGAATTGGTGCTAAGCTTGGGCCTATCACAGCGCTCGGGCCTGCCACACCTGCAGCTGCAGAACCTGCAGCTGTCCCACCCGCGGCTGCCGCACCTACCACTGCCGCACCTGCAGCTGCCGAACCTAAAGCTGCCCTGGCTGCGGCTGCCGAACCTAAAGATGCCCCACCTGCAGCCGCCCCACCCTCAGGTGCATTACCAGTAGCAGCACTAGCAGAAGCAGCAGGTGCACTGCTCTCACTCCCACCAGCACCAGGAGCAGCAGCAGACTCAGTAGCAGCGGGCGTCGCAGCAGGTGTTGCAACTTTAGCAGAAGGTGCAGCAACAAGAGCAGAAGGATCTGTAGCAGCAGGTGTAGCAGCAGCTGTAGCGGCAACTGTAGCCGCAACTGTGGCGGCAACTGAAGCAGGAGAGGCAGTTGATTGGGTCTCTAGTGCGATGGGAGGGGTGGCGATGGCATCACTGTCATCCCACAGCCATCTGCCACTAGCCCTGCCCTTGCCATGCAAGGCCCGCCCTTGGGCTTGCCCCGTGCCCCTCTCCCTGCTGCCTGCCGCCTGTGCTGCAGCAGGAGCAGTGACGACAGTGGTTGCAGTAGGCGCAGTGTCGGCAGTGGTTGCGGTGGGTGCGGTGGGTGCAGCACTGGGAGGAAGGAGCACAAAGTCAGCAGTATCGGCAGCAGAAGAGCAAGAGGCAGGTGGAGCAGCAGCAGGGGCAGAAGCAAGGGTAGCCGCAGCATAGGCCAGGTTTTGAGTCGACTCATAAGCAGCAGCAGGGGCAGAATTAGGGACAGAGGGAGGGACAGAGGCAGGGGCAGAAGCGGGGACAGAAGCAGGGGCAGCAGCGGAGGCAGAATCAGGGACACAAGCAGCAGCAGAAGCGGGGGCAGAAGCAGGAGCAGCGGCAGGGGCAGAAGCAGGGGCAGCAGCAGGGGCAGAAGCAGGGGCAGCAGCAGGAATAGAAGCAGGGGCAGCAGCAGGAATAGAAGCAAGGGCAGCAGCAGGAATAGAAGCAGGGGCAGAATTAGGGACAGAAGCAGCGACAGAATTAGGGACAGAAGAAGAGGCAGAATTAGGGACAGAAGCAGCGGCAGAATTAGGGACAGAAGCACGGACAAACGCAAGGGGGGAAGCAGGGGAAGCAGCAGGGGCAGCAGCCGGGGCGCTGGCATCGGCAGGGCGACCATAGGCGGCGCTGCTCCCCACAGGGGTTGTTGGGGGGCGCAGGGCTGGAGAGCGGCGCTGCTGCTGCTGCTGCTGCTGCTGCTGCTGCTGCTGCTGCTGCTGCTGCTGTTGCAGCAGCTGCCTGTGCTGTGGGGCATGGGCACCAATGGGTGGTGTGCGTGGCCTGAGGGACTGCTGAGACGTCTCAGAAGCAACAACGGGTGGCGTGCGGGGCCTCAGCTGAGCCTGAGACGTGTCAGCATGAGCAACGGGTGGGGTGCGGGGCCGGAGAGAGTCTGGGAGGCCAGCAGCGGCCATTACGAAGGCACGAGGAGTCATGGGTAGCCATGACAGCATGCCCCCTCCCGCTCCCCCTGCTGCTGCCGCTGCACCTCCTGCTGCCGCTGCTCCTCCTGCCCCTACTCCTGCTGCTGCTGACAAATCTGGCTCGTGCGCCGGCGAAATACTCAGACCACTAACACGCGGTTTGGCAGTAGCAGCAGCACCAGCAACAGCAGGAGTAGCACCAGTGTCACCTGCGCTATCAACAGCAGCAACGGCAGCCGCAGCAGGGCCGCCAGAGGGACCCATCCCCCACCACCCACTGCCACTCCCGCTGCTGCTCCTAGCGGCCGCCACTCTCACCACCCTATCCTTCCCCTCCTCCGCATCCTTCCCACCCACCACTGGCTCGGCACCAGCCTCGGCCCCAGCCTCGGCCCCAGCCTCGGCAGTAGCTGCGGCAGCAGCTTCGGCGGCGGAGCGGGCGACTGCTAGCTGGCGGCGGTTGACTCGCAGGCGCTGCTGCAGGCTGTGGTGCTGCCGCTCCCTCTCCTGCAGCCGCTGCCTGTAGCTGCTGAGCACCTGAGAGTGGGGGAAGGTGCAGAGGCAGCAGGGGGCATAAGTGGGGGAGAGGGGACAGAGTGGTGCTGCTGCAGGCGGCAGTGCTGCCGCTCCCTCTCTTGCAGCCGCTGCCGACGGGCTCTGAGAGCCTGTGTGTGGGAAAGGCAGCAGGGGGGGCCCTAGGCAGTGCTGTTTGCACTTCATAACATGCCAGACAAAGACAAGGCAGACAGGTGGGCACGACAGGAGCACGGCACACGTGAGGGGCACAGCAGTCTTACCTGCTGTGCCTCCATCAGTCGCTGCTCCCCATCATCCACAGCCTGCTGCAGCATCCCCGCCTCTCCTCCCTCCTCTGCTCCTCCCCTCCCATCCCCACGCTCCTGCAAGTCTCTCAAGAGGAACACCATGGTGTCTCGAACAGCAGCCACCTGCCCTTCCACGTCTAGCACCACCTGCTGCTGCACGCCCACCCGCCTCGCCTCCTGTGCCGCCTCCTCTGCTACCTCCTCAGCCTGCTGCAGCAGCGCCTGCTCCTGCCGCTGCAGCAGCACCACCTGGTGCTCCAAGGCTGCCTGCTGCTGCTGCAGCTGCTGCCTGCGCCTCTCCTGCCACTCATGCCGCTCCTGACGCTCCTGCTGCTGCTGCCATTGCAGCTCCTGCTGTTGCTCCTTCTCCTGCTGCCGCTGCTGCTGCTCGGAGGTAGAGAGCGATTTGGGCAAGGAGTGTTGAGCAGCAGTGGTGGCAGCTGCAGCCGACAGGGTGGCCTCAGGCGCACCCAGTGCTGCTGAAGCGTCTGATTCTACTCCAGTCTCTGCCTCAATCCTCTCTGCCTTCGCCTCCTTACCACCCCCCTCACCCTCCCCACTCACTGCCCCTCCTGCCGACTTTACTTCCTCCGATGCTGCCTCTCCTGTTACTTCCCCTTCCGATTCAGCTGCTGCTTCTCCTGCTGCATCTCCTGATGCCTCTGCTGTTGATCCATCCTTTCGCCCCCCCATGACCTTGCCATCTCCCATCCCCCCCTCCTCTCCCTCTCCCTCTCCCTCTTCCTTTCCCGCTCCCTCCACCGCACCTGCTTCCTCTCCCTCTTCCACCACCACCAGCTCAGGCAGGTCAAGCGGAGCAGCCACTACTGTCACCCCATCCGCCTCCTTCCCCTCCTCCCTCTCTGCAGCAGCAACAGTTGCCGCGGCACCACTGCTGTAAGGGGCAAGAGAAGCAGGGGAGAGGCTGGGGCCGAGGGAGGCGAGCGAGGGGGAGTGCGAGAATGAAGGCTTGTGGGAGGGAGCAGCAGTGGAGGAGGAACGGGCGAAAGGGGGCAGGTTCGAGGTAAAAGGGGAAGATTGGGTGAGGGAGGAGAAGGGAGAGGAGTTGGAGAGGGAGGAGTAAGAAGAGGGGTGGGAGACGGAGGAGAAGGGGGAGGGGGAGAGGAGGGAGGAGCTGCGGGTGACTCGGATGATGGGCGAGCGCATGGGCGTGAGTGGCACTGTGAGGAACGTGGACGGGTCTTCTTCATCCTCTGGAATCTCGCTGCTTGCCTTGGACTCAGCCACTGCTGCACTTGTGTTGTTGATTACTAGGACATCTGCAGGACTAGCTGCTGCTGCTGCTGCTGCTGCTGCTGCTGGTGCTGCTGCTGCTGCTGCTGCTGCTGCTGATGATGATGATGCTGATGCTGTTGCTGCAGCAGCGGCTTCAGTTCCAGTTGCTGCATCGTAGGGGGCTTCAGTTTCAGGGGCCGCCTCCTTACCACCATCAGCAGAAGCGGCAGAAGCAACAGCAGAAGAAGCCGCAGCGGCAGCAGAAGCACCAGCAGAAGAAGCAGCAGCGGCAGCAGCAGCAGAATCAGAGGCAGCACTGTCACCAGCAGCACCCACGACCAGGCTCGGCCGTTCCTTCACACCCCCCACGCCTATCTCTTTCACCGCAGCTGCCCGTGCCCGAGCCTCCACCGCCCCAACCAAAACCTTCAGATCGTCCCGAACCTGCGCCAGGTCCCTAGGCGTGTGCCCCGTGGTGGTAGACATACCACCTCCCCCAGTCCCACCTCCCTCACCCCCCACGCCCTTCCCTCCCCCGCCCGCCCCCTGCCGCCTCACCGGCTCCACCCCCTGCTGCCGCATAAACAGCCGAATCTCGCCGAACACAGACGAGAGATGCCGCTCCACCTCCCACTCGCGCATCTCAGCCTCAGCTCGTGCCGTGGCGGAGAGAACAGCCTCGGCGGCAGCAGCAGCGTCTTCGCTGCGCTCCACAGCCCGCTGGGCCAGCTGTAGCAACACATGGATGAACGCCGCCTGGTGCCGCCACACCTCCTGCTGCCCCTGCTGCTGCTGCCCCTGCTGCTGCCCCTGTTGCGTCTGCTGCCTGTGTTTCTGTCCCTGCAGCTGTGCCTTACCCTGCCTGTCTTGCGGTGAGTCCCTCCCCGGCCGAGGACTCAAAGGGCTCGGACCCGCCCCTGTCTTGCCGCTGCTTCTCGGGCTGCTGAATCCGCTGCCCCCGGCTCGACCCCCCCTGGGGCTGCTGAAACTGCCGTTGGGACTCGCCCGCTCACCGCCCTCTGCTGCCCTCTCCTCGCCCGTCAGAACTATGCCAAACGGCCTGCGAACCACAACACCTAGCTGCCTCGGCACCTCCTTCGCCTCTGAGCCAGAACCGGCAGCAGCTGCAGCAGTGGCAGTGGCAGCAGCAGCAGCAGGAGCAGCCTGACCGGCCAGCCCACCTGTAAGCCAGCTCAGCATGCCACTCATCCCCCCACTCCCCCCACTCCCTCCACGCCCTCCCCCACCCGGACTGCCAGAGCCAGCCAAGGCCGCCCGGGCGGCTTGCGCAGTGGCGGCAGCAGCCGCCGCCCGGGCGGCAGCCAGCTCGTCGGCCAGCTCGCTTGCTCCCATCTGCTCCAGCAGGGCGGCGCGCATTGACTTGCCGCCTGTCAGCTTGCCATGCTGGTTACCACTAGTGGCAGCAGTGCCACCAGCAGCAGCAGCGGCGGTAGCAGCATTACTGGCAGTGGTAACACCAGTGGCAGTGATGCTGCCTGTGCTGCTATCCGTGTTGACTGCTGCAGCATCACCCGTGGTGGCGGCATGTGTGTCAGGGGAATGTGCAGTGGCGGTTGACGGGAGAGAGGAAGAGGCGGGGTCGGCGAAACCAACAAGACGCGGGCCGGAGGGGCGGGCCGGGCGAGAGAGGGAGGTGTGAGAGGTGGCAGGGAGAGAGGATTCGGAGGAGGGCATAGCAGAGGAGATAGGCTGAGAACCATCAGGAGCAGATGAGGTGGTTGCTTCAGATGAACCGGCACCGGCAGAAGAAGTGAGGGCAACTGCAGCTGGAGCAGAAGCCACAGTAGTAACAGCAGAAACTGCCCCCTCCGCAGCAGGAGAAACGGCAGAAGAAGCAGCTGCAGAAGCAGAAGCGGGAGGGGGAGGAGGAAGGGCTGGGGCAGGAGGGAGCACGCCAGGGCTGGCAGCAGGAGAGGCGCCCACCGCCCTGGCTCTAGCAGCAGCCAGCGACCCCGTGCCTGCAAACGCAGCTGCCACCGCAGCCGCCGCCGTAGCACTGAACGACCCTGACCGAGAAATGCGGTGTCCAGGCTTCCCAACCTGCCCGGGCTGCCCGGGCTGCCCGGGAGCGCGGGAGGGGCAGGAGGAGGGCGTGGGGGCGGGCGAGATGGCTGCAGCTTCCAGGCGGCGCTTGATCTCCGGGAGCTTTGTGCCCAGGAAGTCAGATTCCTCTGGGTTGTCTGCGAGTAGGGTGGGGTCGAGCGCGCCTTGCTGCTGCTGCTGCTGCTGCAGGAACTTGAAGGAGGAGCCGCTGGGAATGCGCCTGTGAAACGCTGACACGTCGGATTGGCCTCTCCTGAGGTACGGCCCTGCTCCTGCTGCCGCCGCCGCCGCTACCATTGCTGCTGGCTCCAGCCCTCCAGGGGGAGACACAACCGCATGCCCCAACTCATTTGTAACCTGGTAACCAGCATCCATTAGGGCGTTCTCCCCAGCAGCACCAACAGCACCAGCAGCGCCAGCGCCAGCACCAGCGGCAGCAGCACCGGCACTGTTGAGCTGCCTCTCCATCTGCACGAGAGCACGGACGGCCTCCTGGCGGCGCTGCCACTCCTGCTCCGCCACCATGCCCGCCTCCGCTGCTATCTCCTGCTCCCTCAGTAGCTCGTTCACCAGCTCCTCTAACTCCAGCTCTAGTCCCTGCTTCTCGCCTTCTAGCTCCACCACTCGCCTGGTGATGGAGGGGCAAGAGGAGGAACGAAGGGGGTTGGGGCACGGGAAGGAGGGAATGAGATGAGATCATGAGAGCATACGAATGTCAACATGCCCGCCTCCGCTGCAATCTCCGCTGCAATCTCCAGCCCTTGCTTCTCCCCCTCCAACTCCACCACTCGCCTGGTGGTGAGGGGAACAACGGGAGGAACAGAGGAAGATGGGGCACGGGAAGGAGGGAATAAGATGAGAGCATATGAATGTCAGCATGCTAGCCTCTGCTGCTATCTCCTGCTCTCTCAGCAGCTCGCCCACCCCACCAGCTCCTCTAACTCCAACTCCAGCCCTTGCTTCCCCCCCTCCAACTCCACCACTCGCCTGATGTTTCACCTGATAGCGAGAGTCATTCTAATGATCACATGCCATCTCACTCACCTGATGGTGTCCTCTCGAGTCTGCCTCAGATCGCTGATCTCAGCATCTGCCGCCCGCTTTGCCGCCCGCAGGCTCTTCAGCTCGCCCACCGCCACCTCCAGCTTGTGCTGCAGCAGTGCCACGTCAGCAGGCAGCTGCGAGACCGCCACGTCAGCAGAGCCCACACCAGCAGGGACAACACCAACCGTCTCCCTCTCACCATGTCCTCTTTCTCCCAAACTAGCCGTTGATTCTTCCTGTGCTGCTGCCGCCCCGCCCTTGCCCTTGCCCTTGTCCTCCCCCTCCCCCTCCCCCTCCCCCTCCCCCTCCCCCTCCCCCTCCCCCTCCTCCTCCCCCTCTGCCATGCATGCATCTCCCTCAGACCCTGCCATCACAGCTTTCAGCCTTTCTTCTCGCTCTCTGATCCTCCCCTCTCTCCGCCCCACCTCCTCCTGCATCACCTCCTCCCACTTCCTCTCCACTTCCCTCCTCTCCTCCTCCCACTTCCTCTCCATTTCCCTCCTCTCCTCCTCCCACTTCCTCTCCATTTCCCTCCTTTCCTCCTCCCACTTGCCTCTCTCCCCCTCCCTCCTCGCCTTGTCCCTCTCCTCTCGGCTTTTCTCCTCCCGAGCCCCCTGCTCCAGCCTCCCCTCCATATCTCTCGCATGTGATTCCGCCGCGTCTGCTCTCCCTTCCGCTTCCCCCACTCTCTGTTCCAACTCAACCCTCCTCCTGCCTTCATCACTCACCGTCCCCTCAGATTCACGCATCTTCTCTTCCAACTCAACCACTTTCTGTTCCAATTTTACCACTCTTTGTTCAGCTGCAACCGCCCGTGCCTCTGCCTCTGCAGCCCTCTCCTCTGCCTCTCGCCTCGCCCTCTCCACCTCTCCCTTTTCCTGCTCCATCTGAAGCACCCTTTTCTCCCCCTCCTCTCGCTCCCTCATTGCCCTCTCTGCCCGCTCACTTGCTTCCACCAGAGCTGCCTCTGCAGCTCGCACCTGCTCCTCAAGCTCCTTCACACGGACCTCTAGACCCACCTCCCTCTCCCTCCTCTCGCTCCTCTCCTCCTCCCCCGCGCCTCCCACACCCCCTTCCGCCTCCCCTGCTGCAGCAGCTGCAGACCGGGAGGCCTCAAGACCTGCCTCGGCAGATTCTCTGCGCTTTTGCTCCTCGCCTCGCTGCCTCTCGCCCTCCTCGCACTTCCCCTGCCACTCCACCACTTCTGCTCGTAGTGCCTTTTGGGTTGACTCGAAGGTCCTCTCACCCTCCTCGCACCGGCCCTGCCACCGGGCCAGCTCGGCTCGAAGCGATTCCACCTCCACACGCATCTCCTCTAATGCCTCCTTCTGCACTCGCATGCACACACAAACGCATTCACACACACGCATACTCAGACGCACGCACACATCCACTCGCACATGCGAGCACACACACACGCACGCGCGCCAGGACCATCGTCATTGAGCATTCACCGGGGGAGATCCAGCATTGCGCGCAGAAGCAGCATTGAGCAGGAAGTCAGGTACGCGGAAAGCAGAAGTGGGCGTCAGGGGGATGGCGGCAGGTACTCGGTGGGTAGGGAGGTATGGGGTAGGAGTAGGAGGGAGGGTGGGGAGAGAAGCAGGTACAGACGTAGAGTAGAGGGATAGGAAAACGCATGCAGAGCAGGGAGAGAAGGGGAAACAGAGAAAGAGAGAGAAGGAGAGGGGTCAGCGGAGACCTACTCTTGAGGACTTCTTCCCTTCCTTGCCCTCCTTGTGTTCCTTATGCTCTTTATGCTCCTTCCCCTCCTTCCCCTCCTTATGCTCCCTCCCTTCCTTATGCTCCCTCCCCTCCTTGTGCTCTTTGGATTTCTTCCCACTTGACTTGTGAGCGCGCTCCTCCTTCCCCGTGCTCTGCCATCAATCACCGCACGTGGTTGTAATGTACACCAGAAAATATTTGAATCACTTTTGTGCTCTGCAATGCGCACGATGCGAGAGGCAGGAAATAGGCACAGCATAACAGGCAATGGGCTGGGCACCACAGCAGAAGCGCTTGCATCAGCAGCACACCTGAGAAGCGGATGGGGATGGCAGCTGCATTTGTTCCGCCCCTCCCTCCCCAACCCCAGCACCACCAGCACCGGCAGCACCCCCACCAGAAGCAGCCACGGCTGCTGCAGCTCTTGAGCGCCGCTTGGGAGTGGAGGAGGCGGAAGAGGCGGAGGAGGAGGGGGACGAGGGGAGCGCGGACGCGCTGGCGCCCCCCCCCCCCTGCAGTGGCGGAGAAGGAGAGGGCGTCGTGCCTGCCCTGCGGCACAGGCGTGTTTCACCCAGAGCCCCCCTCCCTCCCTCCCTTACCCCGTAGAAAAACAGGAGCATACCTGAGAAGCGGATGGGGATGGCAGCAAAACCTGCTCCGCCCCTGCCTCCCCAGCCCCAGCTCCAGCCCCCCCAGCAGCGCCACCACCAGCAGCCGCCACTGCTGCTGCAGCTCTGGAGCGCCGCTTAGGAGTGGAGGAGGCGGACGAGGCGGAGGAGGAGGGGGACGAGGGGAGCGCGGACGCGCTGGCGCCCCCCCCAGTGGCGGAGGAGGGGAGGGCGCAGCTGGAGGAGCGGTTGAGGGGGAGCGCGGAGGGGCTGGAGGGGGAGGCGCGGAGGTTGGCGAGGGGGGAGGACGGCCCTGAGGGGTCCTTGGTGCTCTGGAGAGGGGAGACATGGGGGGAATGGGGGATTGGGGATGGGTGAAGATGGGTGGTGATGGGGGGAGGCGTGGTGGGTGGTGAGGGGGGAGGACGGCCCTGAGGGGTCCTTGGTGCTCTGATGGGTGGGAGACATGGGGAATAAGGGGGTGGGGATGGGTGGAGATGGGTGGTGATGAGGGGAGGCGCGGAGGGTGGCGAAGGGGGAGGACGGCCCTGAAGGGTCCTTGGTGGCCTGGGGGGGGAGACATGGGGGGGAGATGGGGGGGTAAAGATTTGTTCTGAGACGTCTCAAAACAACACTTTTATCAAGCGGTTGAGGGGAAGCGTGGAGGGGCTGGCAGAGAGTGGCGAGGGGGGAGGACGGCCTGAGGAGTCCTTGGTGCTCTGCAGGGGGGAGACATGGGGGGATGTGGGGGTCGAGATGGGTGGAGATGGGTGGAAATGGAAAAGACGTTTTGGGTGGTGCGTTTTGGTCAGGCCACCACGCACGGGTCTTCAGGCCACCATCCACCCTACAACCCTTGAAAACCCTCCCCCTCAAGTTTCATCCTTTCCCTTTCCCTCCCCCCTCCCTTATCCTCTCTCCGCCCCCTCTATTTTCCCCATCCCTTCCCGGTGCCCGTTCCGGCCACTACCATTCTCCTTCCCCCATCCCCCGCCCGTGCTACGAGCGCACCTGCTTGTGCCTCTGAAAGCGCGCCATCAGCTCCGCCACCTCCACCTCTCCTTCCCCCACCTACCCCCCCCTCTCCGCGTTTCTTCCCCCATCAACTCTCCCCCACACACCCCCCCCCCCCCTACAAGCGCACCTGCTTGTGCCGCTGGAAGCGCGCCATCAGCTCCGACACCTCCCCTCCCCCTTCCGCGGGGGGTTTCCGCCGCCCGCCCGCCGACATGGGGCGGCTCACGCCCTGGTCGCCGTGCGACACGCGGCGACCCTCGCCCTGGTCGCCCTGCGACATGTGAGGGGTATGCGGGAAGTGAGGGGTGAGTGAAGCGAGAATGAAAATTGGAGTGACGGTGACGAGTGGGTGTGAGGTGTGGGGTAACCAAGTTGACCGCGGAATTGTCGGTAACGAGTGCGCATGCCATGCCAGTACATCATGCAGCGGCTCGCTGACGAACGGACAGTTAAGAGCAGGCGGAAATCTAAGGCTGGAAGGGCACGCGATGGGCACGGAGAGTCAAAGACTGGAACGAACGTGGCTTCAGAAATTAGTTGTTAATCTCCAAAAAGGTAATTCGAAAGTCGCGGAAGGATAATCCCCGTTGTGGAACTAATTTGAAGAAGTCCACCAAGATACACTTGCGAGTGGTACTGGCTTCTGTGAGCCATTGTCGCGTCGGCGCAAGATACTATTAGAAATTTACGCAGGAAATTGCCTACCATTGGAATTGGCTTCGTCGACGGCGATAACTGCTTTCAAAATGTCCCCATGCCGAAAGTTTACAGCTTATAAATACGAGCTAGTACACATTGGATAATTTGAAGCATCCTATGCTCGTCTTAATGTCCTCTCGTTATAACGTCTTAGCCACGATAACAGCATGTGTCGCGGGAAAGCAGACTGAAACTCTCAAGCTCGCTAAGAATGCACCACTAGGAAATTGAAGCCTGTCCGCAATTACGATACTTCGCTCGTTCGCAACTTTCGCTAAACCATTGTATCACTTATACGACGCGCGTGGCTCTAAGCCAACGAACGGAGCGCCAAACGGCGAAATAAGTAGCGGCGCATTTCTATGGTCACAGACACAGGAACACACAGCACTAGTTGCCTGAGGGATGATGCCCGCCGAATAATTCACTTGGCGATTGAAAGAGACATTTGCTGTGCTCTGAAGAGGCCGATGATAATGTCTCAACCCCTTACCAGTGCGGTTCAGTAGGCTTCCACACGGTAAGCAGGCTTTACTTCTTCTCGCCGCTTTGAACCGATATGCACCATACAAATCAGGACCAAGTTGTGGGAGCAAGTGGGCTGGTGGGTGGGCGGTTGGGCTGTAGAGATTCTCCACAGAAGTCCTTGAATTTTGCCGACGAATACTGTCTAAAGTGTAGCATTCCAATCTGAGTAGTGATACTGAAAATCAAAATTGACCACATAGATTATGAAATGCTTCAGCTTCACATATATAGGTTCAAAGGTTTTTTTAATATGCTTATTATAACAGATAATGTATGATATGATGCCTCTATAATTTTCCCATTTACATATCTATTTTTATTTTACATCCAACCACAGATGTAATGCAAACGGTTTGAACCGTAACGGTTCTGCTTAGGACGAGTAGGCACTCACTTTTGTGAGGAATGGAGGTTATCGCGACTCGACCCTTGAGTTTTCACCAGCCTCGGGCTCTGTGTCAGCGTAATCGGACGGCCATGCGAACATTCTATCAAAATGCTTTTCATCCAGGGATCCTCTAATTACCGCGCTTCGTTGGTCCATGCAGGCACAATACGTCTTTCCCGCCACTGCTTCCATCACCCTCTCCCTGCCTGACACTCATCAGAATCATCTTCCTGTGCCCCAAACAGTCTACAAGGAATGCCGTTGGCGAGGTCCCTTCTGTTCGGATTTCCATCATGTCACACACCCAAGGCTTTTCCGTCTCACCTCTCGGTTTTATACTTTATTGAATGGTTAATCATGGTCCACCTCGGTCGATCCTTCCCAACCAACCATGGACCAATTTTCAACCATGATTCCTGATTACAAGCCTTGCTTTCATCCAAGCCCTGTGTGCTGTCGCGTCCTGCCATTCCCGATCTTCGAAGCACGCCTAGTGACTCTCAGCTTGACGGCTTTCCTGTCTTCAAGAAATTCGGCTCTCGAATCCAACGGCGTCGAAACTGTCCCGTCTCGTCGTGCAGGTTAACCGATTTCGCCGGCTTTCGCAAATGCTTGTCTGCTTACTAGTCTGAAATCGGGTCGGACTTCCGGAGACGTTTTAGCTTGTCAGCGAGAGTTTGCGATTTCCCCTACAGTCAGCCATGGCGTTCGCTAAGGTCGAGTACGCAATAAGATTTTTACATCGTAGGGATTATTGTTGATGGGGACATTCATTTTACGAGTTCCTTCGTTCTAAAGATCAACGAGCATAATGACCACGTTCGACTAGAAACAACGCTGAAGAAGGCGGAGCGAGGGGTGCTACCTTACTTAGGATTATCGCGGTAACATTTCGGGTTCTTATCTTAGGAAGCGACTGCTTTTTAGTTCTAGATTTAGCTCCTCCCCCGTTGATCTTTCGTGAAGAACCCGATTAGAAAGCATTTCACTGTCGTTCTTTTGTCAGGGAAAAATCTAGCTACGTTTGTTGATTCAAGCGTACAGCGACAAGAACGTTCGAGTTGCTCTGTTCGCAGCGTTTCCAGGATGGTCGGATCGACCTACTCCTCGGAGTCAGGGACCAGGCCCGTGACTCCCCTCAACCTGCGGTCTCAGATGGATGCGGGGTACCATAGCGGGGGAATTACCATCGTAGAGAAGTAAGTGGAGGAGCAACTAGAATACTAGTCGAGTAATGATGTAATGTCTATTTCCCGCCTCCCAACGCTCCAATTTGTTTATTATCTTCTGGAGTTCTAAGCTTGCTGTTCCGAAAGTTACCCGGAACCTTGTCCCTGACATGAGTGATTGACCTTTCCAACGGCAGGCATGTCATGAGGGAGCTACCGAATGCACAGAACAGTCAGCTGGAGGCTGCTGCGAGCCAGCTCGAGTCGCCTGATTGCTCTTCTGTCTCAGCTCAAGTGCTCTCAAGGTACGAAATGCATCTTTCTGTCAGATTTAACGTAGATTCGTGCGGTTTAGCTCAGTTACTCGTCCTGCAGCCTTTCCACAGCATCCTATCTGCCTTTAATGCCGGCCGTACACTTCCTTCCCTAGCGTGAGAAATAATTGATTATTCCCTTGTCGCATCGGTTGGCTGTAGGCGGCAACCTCGCAACCGTTCCCATGAGCGAGCTGTACCACGACGGGGCTCTTTCTTCTGGCCGCTTCACCCCCCGCTGGGTCTTCTCATCAATTCATTCTCCCCCGTCTGTTCGTCTGTCCGCTTTGCCCACCTGTTGCTCTCTCATGCAGGCCGGCCGCTGGCAGCAGCCTTACGAGCTTTCCAATCAGCGAGCTGTACCACGTGGAGCACTACCTCAAGGCGGTGCAGCGACAGTCCGTCGCAGCCCGTCGCAGCCTGCTGGGCCGGCGACAACATGCGACTCCTGGCGCGCACGACGGCTCCGACCGAGCGATTTTCGAAGACATGCTGAGCTTTCAAAGGGTAGGATGAAGGGGTTCGTGGGCGATAACATAGGAACCGTACCGACAAAGATGCTTCACGAAAGCTTCTCTCAAAATCTCGTTCCGGGTATGAGTAATGATCTAGTCCCGTGCGCTTTCAACGAAATCCTCTGTGTACCCTTCTGTGCCTCCCGCTGGTGCCGTTCCTGCAGGATCCCATCCCGACCTCGCTCACGCGGCTCCCCACGGACCTGCAGACAAAAGCCGTGCGAATGTTCCAAGACATTCTGCACTACATGGGGCTCAACGGCGCGCCGATCACAGACGAACGCGAGCTGGCGCAGACGCTGGTGCGAATCCTCAAAATGGTTCTTCGAAAGCCAGAGATGCGGGAGGAGTTATACGCGCAGCTGCACAAGCAGACGCGGAATAATCACGACAGGGAGGCGTGTTTGCGGGCGTGGGAGGTGATGCATTTGTGCGCGTCGGTGGCGCCGCCTGGGGCGTATCTCGGGACGCCTATTACCGAATATGTGCATGAGATCGCGAACGATGCGGGGGTGGACGAGGAGGTGAAGTCGCAGGCGCTCGCCACGTGGCACGCGCTGAAGAAGGCGATGAAGATCGGCGCGAGGAAGACGATCCCGACCGTCGATGAGCTGCTGGCGCTGATGACGGGCCGTGCGCTCAAGACGATGGTGTTCTTTCTGGATGATACGTTCGAGGAGGTCGGGTACGACGCGTCCACGACCGCCGCGGAGATTCTGGAGGTGCGCATGGGACTGTAGAGGCGTTGGACTGTAGCGCGAGAAGAGTTGTCCCTCTGGTTTTGAGACGCGTCTGCGTTTGAGATGCTTCTGTTTCTGAGCCACTTTGAAGGACGCTGAGCACCAGGTTTCTTTGTGGGTCTCTCTGCTTTTCATTAAACAGCAAAACATATTTGTGCGACCATGTGACTGTTATGTCTCTGTGCAGAGAGTTGCAACCAGCATTCGCCTGGAGGAGTTCCAGACCTTCGGGCTATACGAGCACAGAAAATACATCACTCTCGCCAACAACAATTCAGAGAACGTTTCCAGTGAGTTACAAAAGAAGTCGTGACCAGTGAGTCCTAGCCTCCTAGAGTCCTAGCCTCCTAGAGTCCTAGAGACACAGGTACGGGACATGGGCAGAGTTGATTCAGATTTGGTTTAAACTTGATTCAGACTCGATCCAGAGCAGTAAGTTCCTTTGTCTGTTCCGTGCGTACTGTGAGTCGGTCCAGACAGTAAGTGATTGAATGACGCACTTGTATACAGCCTTGCTTGTAATGCCTCATATTGACATTATTAATTTCTTTCATTGAGCAGACGACTATATGGGGATCGACGAGAAAGCCTACATGGGGGACGTGATGGCGGAGCTCATGAGTTTCAGAGAGAAGAGCGAGCGGCAAGTGCAGCTGCGCCTCCTCTTTCGCAAGAAGTTCTTTAGGGAGAACGAGGAGGCGATCACAGACCAAGTGTTCGTGCAGCTGTCGTATCTGCAGGCGAAGCAGGACTATGAGGAGGGGAATTACCCCGTGCCCAGGGATGACGTGGCGCAGCTGGCGGCGCTGCAGTTGATTGTGGACTTCGGCTTGCTTCCTGAGCCTGAGGTCACACTGTGAGTTCGTTTGCATGGGGTGCATGGGGAGGTTGTGTTGGGAAGATCCTTTTTCTGCTGAGAAAGTCTTTTTGTGGACCTTAGATCTTCAATGCTCATACGCCTTCCTCCCTCCCTTCCTCCCTCCCTCCCTCCCTCCCTCCCTCCCTCCCTCCCTCCCTCCCTCCCTCCCTCCCTCCCTCCCTCCCTCCCTCCCTCCTCCCTCCCTCCCTCCATTCCTCCCTCCCTCCCTCCCTCCCTCCCTCCCTCCCTCTCTCCCTCCCTCTCTCCGTTCCTCCGTCCCTCTCTGCCTCCCTCCTCCCCTTCCTCCCTCGTTTCCTCTTTCAATCCCCCCAAATCCATCTTCTTCCAGCGACTGGCAAGCGCAGGTGGAGCGGACTATCCCAGTGCAGTTCCAGCCCATGAGGCAGAAGCGCGAGTGGGACATGGACGTCCTCACTCGCTACAAGGCTCTGGTAAGCCGGCTCTTCGTTCAATGCGCCTGGAAGCCCCGCCCTCCTATTGCTTGACGCACACTTGCTTTGAGTGTCTCACATCGTCGACCACCGCTCGCCCATGTGCTGCCTCTGCGCAATTTCTCTACCACACCAGCTGATATTGATTCAGAGCCCTCGGGGTTCTGAACAGGGGACACTAATAGGCACGATTTTCAACGCCTTGGTTTAGGAGCCTCGAGTAGAGAGACACATCTCACTCACTCTATCTGCTATTGCCTTGTTCCTCCACTTTTACACGATTCTGCCAGCCAGCCACACCTGACACTTGCAGATAGGAGGCAGCGGATATTGAGGATAATTTGAACATTGAATCGAGGGGCATGATGCAGCTTTTGTTATGACACGTCTACTTATTCTACTGCCTTCTTGCTTTGTTATCTCGTCCCTTTCAACTCTATCCTGTGTTGCAGTCGCACCTAACGCCTGAAGATGCGAGGCAGCAGACGTTGAGAATCATCCGAGCTCTCCCCTATGGCGGGTCTGCATTCTACCATGTGAGGCGCATCGAAGACCCGATCGGGCTGCTCCCCGGGCGAGTGCTTATTGGCATCAACAAGCGCGGGGTAAGATGCCCCACTCTGCCCTGATGTGGGTCTGATTTCCGGTTCACATATTTTCCTCTCTGTTAGGCTGTTCGGCATATGTGAGGCGCTGTTAGGATTCTTTAAGTGATTCTTTCAGTGCGTCTCACACGAGTAGAGGCATTGCTGTCCTTCTCCCTCCCTTCCCGAACCTCCCACACACACTCTCCCTCCCTCCGCAGGTCCACTTTTTCAGGCCCTTCTCGAAAGAGTACCTTCATTCAGCGGAGCTGCGGGACATCATGCAGTTTGGCAGCAGCCCTGCAGCGGTGTTCTTCAAGATGCGCGTGGTGGGCTTGCTGCATGTCTTCCAGTTCGAGATGTCCAAGGGCGAGAGGAGATCTGCCTCTCTCTGGCTGGCTTAGGCCTTTCTTCAGCACAGAAGTCCTGCCCCCTCCCTTTCCGAACCTCCCACACCCACCCCCTCCTCCCCACTACAGGTCCACTTCTTCAGACCTGTCCCGAAAGAGTACCTGCATTCAGCAGAGCTGCGGGACATCATGCAGTTTGGCAGCAGCCCCGCCGCGGTCTTCTTCAAGATGCGTGTGGTGGGCTCGCTGCACGTCTTCCAGTTCGAGACAACACAGGGGGAGGAGATCTGCCTCGCCATCCAGACGCACATCAACGATGCCTTGACCCGTCGCTTCGCCAGGCAAAGAGCGCGCCAGCACAACGCGCCGATGCTTGGGTTGGGGCCTGCTGGGGGTGGTGGGGCGGCTGGGGAAGGGATTTCGGCGGGTGGAGGAGGAGGAGGAGGGGTGTTGGGGGAGGGGCAGGGGCAGGGGCCGCACCCGATTACGGAGTATGAGCATCGGACGAAGGAGCTTTCAGAGAGCTTGACCAGGGCATTTATGCACATTGAACAGGTAGAGAGACCTGTCTGTCTGCCTTGTTGCGTCTCTTCCAGCATTTTCCCCTAGCAGCTGCCTCTCTCCATGCTTTTCGCCAGCAGCTTTAGCGTAACCGCATGTTTTACTTTTTTCCCTTTAACGAGCCAGGAATAAACTTCATCTTGCCCATATGCACGCTTCTATTCTCCTCTCCCATGTGTCTTGATTCGTCATATTTTGTCTTTCGGTTCTTGTTGCAGTTTCTACTATCGGCAGGATAGAGGTCCATTGCATTTCATTGGACGCTCGTCTTATCCCTTGTGTGTCCCGTTTGCCTTGGTTTACCTGTTCCCGCCATTATCCTTCAACCCCCAGTTGAACCAAGAAGTGGCAGCGCGGGCAGCAGCAGAGGCGAAGTTGCAGAGCGAGCTGCAGGCAGTAAGGGAGGCGCTGAGGCAGGGCGAGGTGGCGAACGAGGAGGTGGTGGAGGAGAGAGATAGGTTGGCCGAGATGCTGCAGGTGAGAGGGCGGGGGATTGAGGGGATGCGGGATGTGGGATGCGGAGGGTGGGATGTGGGCTGTGGCATGAGGAGTACTTGATGCTGGTTGTGGGATGGGGAGTGTGGGATGATGGGATATTGAGGCGCCGGTGAGGAATTCCTTGAGGCAGGAAAGGTGGCAAACAGGGCGTGCACAGACGGCGAATTAGCCTGGTAAGGAGCTGCATATATTCCAGGGTCCTTCACCCATGGAAGTGTTTTAAAGAAGCGGACCTTCGCCTCTAGTGTGTACTAGTCCAATTTTATAGAACTGACACAAATACTTCTCACCTGCTGCGTGCTTCTCTCCCTCCACCTCCTCACACCCACAGATGGCGAATCAGCCGGGCAGGGAAGCAGCGCTGTCGTCTGGGTCAATAACACCAGGGAACGTGAGGCGGAGGGACGGGCTTGGCAGCACAGGCAGCAACATGAGTCTGCTGAATGACGCCAGGACACGAGCATTGGAGTCTCAGGTGAGTGCGTGGTTAGATTTAGGGACAAGCGCAGCGTGCGAGCCAAGGATCAGCCTCAGTGATGCTGCATTGCAACGCCCCTCTTCTCCCGTCTTGGCTGGCTGCATTCTCATGCTTTTCCCTGACCAACAATGTTGCTTAGCTGAAAACAGGTGGAGTAGAAGGTCGGGCGGGTTGGAAAAACAGGAAGGCAGGCGACGTTTCAACATCACACACCGTTCATTTCCTTCTCTCTGTTTGCCTTTGTCTTGCATGCTGTGTGTTGCCAGCTGAAGGAGGTGCAGGAGGAGTTGAAGGCTGTGAGCAGGAGGGTGGAGGAGCAGGCGCAGGCAGCTGCGAGGGAGAAGCAGGCGTTGGAGAAGCAGCTGGCAAATCTGGAGCTCACAAAGGACAACGAGGTGAGGATCTGTGGTTTTGGAAGCTCTCCTTGTGCCCCTCCTCTCGCTCGTCTGTTCTTTTCCTACTTTCCATGTGAATGCGCCACCCTGTTTACTTCTATCAGTTGGTCACTGAAGATGCCCTTCACTGATTCTCACTTGACCCTTTCTCACTTTCTCACTTGCTCCTCCCTCCGGCCTTTCTTTCTTCTTGCCTTCTTCATCTAATCCTCCCGCCTTGCTGCTTTTTTGCCCGCCAGATCAAGGCCTTGGATCTGCGGTCGTCAGCAGAGAGGGATGAGCTGGCCGCCAGGCTGGCGATTGCGGAGCAGCGATTGGAGGAGAGCCGGGCGGCGGAGGCGCAGTTGCGGGAGGAGGTGAAGGAGAAGGAGGCACAGTCGGAGCACCTGGAGGAGTTCTTTAAGGAGTTAGATGAACTGAGAGAGATGAAGGAGGTGAGTTTTTTTGTGTGTAGGTTAAAACCATGCTGTGTGTATGCTATTGTGTGTGTAGTTTTTTTTCCTGCTATTGTACCTTTTCATGAAGAATGGTCTTTGTGTCTATTCCCGTTACTGTGTTGCAGGAGATGGAGAGGAATCGGGTGGAGAATCTGGAGGTGATACAGCGGCAGGGCAAGCAAATAGCGGAGCTGGAGAAGGCTTATAAGGAGGAGATCGTGCTGCGGAAGAGATACTACAACATGATGGAGGGTGAGTGGGGTGGGGCATGGGATGGGAGTGAGCGCTGGGGCCTAGAATTCAAAAAGTGCATGCGTGGAAGGGCGTATAAGGAGGAGATCTTGCTGCGGAAGCGCTACTACAACATGATGGGGGGTGAGTTAGTAAGAGTGGTGTGTGGCTGTGCTGGGGCTCACATGATGGAGGGTGAGCGGGATTAGAGTGAGCTGGGCGTGGGTCGATGCTTGTTGATGCCCTGAACCCCTCCGCCTCCCTTTCCCCGTCCCGTCCCTTCCATGCATCCGCCCCACCGTATCCCAATCCCGCTTTTCCCACCCCTCCCGCTTGTCCTCCCCTCTCCAGCCCACACCTAGAAATTTGTGGCAAAATCCGTATGTGTGTGCGGTGGCGGCCATTGCGCAGCAGGGAGCGACATTTAGGAGTATATTGTGCCCTGAACCGCTTTCCAGTTCCTCTTCTGGGGCGAGGGGCAGCGCATGGTGGAGGAGGTGACAGCTCACGCTACAACAACCCTGGAAAGGGCCTGTTCACCCCTTCCCCTTCACAGTCTTATGATGCTGTCAACTCCTCCCCCCTTCCTCCTCCCTCATCCCCATACCTTATCTGCATCCCCCTCTCCCAACCCTATCCCCATCCCTTTCCGCGCCCTCCTTCCTTTCCCCCCCTCGTCTCCCTTGCGCATGCGCAGACATGAAGGGCAAGATCCGGGTGTATGCGCGGTGGCGGCCGCTGAGTGGCAGGGAGCGGGGCGAGGGGCAGCGCATGGTGCTGGAGATGCCGGACGAGTTCACGCTGCAGCACCCCTGGAAGGACCCGCTCAGACCTGGCCAGCCCAAGGCGTATCAGTTTGACCGGGTCTTCGACCACACCGCCACTCAAGAGGCCGTCTTTGAAGACACACGGGTAAGAGGGCTGCTGAGTTGATTCAATTAGCACTAAGGGATGGCAGTAGAGGGATCTGAGGCGCATTCGCCAGGGGGTTTGGTGTTACGGCCATGCAAGAGCGCATGGTGCTGGAGATGCCAGATGAGTTCACGCTGCAGCACCCCTGGAAGGACCCACTCAGACCTGGCCAGCCCAAGGAGTACCAGTTTGACCGGGTCTTCGACCACACCGCCACTCAAAAGGCCGTTTTTAAGACACTCAGGTAAGAGGATTTGAACAATATGTGCATCTTGTTTCCACTTCGCTGCTGCTGCATCCTCCGTCCTCCTCCTCCTTTCTCCCCCCCCACCCCCCACACCTCATTCCCCCACTTCAGTACCTGATCTATTCGACCATTGACGGGTACAGTGTGGGCATTTTCCTATCAACGCACCCGTCCCATTCTCACCCTCTTTTTCTGCCCCCTGCCTTGTGCCCTTTATGCTCTCCCCCCATGCAGTACCTCATCCAGTCAGCCATTGACGGCTACAACGTGTGCATATTCGCGTACGGGCAGACGGGCAGCGGGAAAACTTTCACCATCTACGGAGGGGACAACAACCCCGGGCTCACGCCGCGCGCCATGCAGGAGCTGTTCAACTGCCTCCGGAAGGAGGCTGGGCGCATGAGCTACAAGCTGCAGGTGGGGAGGGCTGTTTGCTTGCGTGGTTGGTAGAGGTGTGACGGGGTGTCAGAGAGAGGAGCAGGAGGGGGATGAAGGGGGTCACAACCTGGGCCTCACGCCGCGCGCCGTGCAGGTTCTGTTCAACTGCGTCCGGAAGGAGGCTGGGCGCATGAGCTACAAGCTGCAGGTGGGTTGCCCTTCTGGGGTTAGAGTTAGCAGAGGAAGGGAGCAGGAGGGGGGTGAATGGGGGCACAATTCGGGGCTCACCCCGCGCGCCATGCAGGAGCTCTTTAACTGCCTTAGGAAGGAGGCCGGGCGGATGAGCTTCAAGCTGGAGGTGGGAAGGGCGGTTTTCTTGCGTCGCGGATGTTTGCTCCTCGTTTTCTCCGCTTCTGTTCTGCCTGTATTGCTCTCTTCGTTTTATCCCTCTTCTGTTCTGCCTGTATTGCTCTCTTCGTTTTATCCCTCTTCTGTTCTGTCCTGTATTGCTCTTCGTTTCTCCCTCTTCTGTTCTGCCCTGTATTGCTCTTCGTTTCTCCCTCTTCTGTTCTGCCCTGTATTGCTCTTCGTTTCTCCCTCTTCTGTTCTGCCCTGTATTGCTCTTCGTTTCTCCCTCTTCTGTTCTGCCCTGTATTGCTCTTCGTTTCTCCCTCTTCTGTTCTGCCCTGTATTGCTCTTCGTTTCTCCCTCTTCTGTTCTGCCCTGTATTGCTCTTCGTTTCTCCCTCTTCTGTTCTGCCCTGTATTGCTCTTCGTTTCTCCCTCTTCTGTTCTGCCCTGTATTGCTCTTCGTTTCTCCCTCTTCTGTTCTGCCCTGTATTGCTCTTCGTTTCTCCCTCTTCTGTTCTGCCCTGTATTGCTCTTCGTTTCTCCCTCTTCTGTTCTGCCCTGTATTGCTCTTTGTTTCTCCCTCTTCTGTTCTGCCCTGTATTGCTCTTCGTTTTCCCCTACTCTATCAGGACCTGCTGCTGCTCAGTGTGAATGGCAACCCACTCACTCTCGCTCACTCATCCGGGCCAACCTTTCCCATTCCAGGTGTACATGCTGGAGCTCTATCAGGACACGCTGCAGGATCTCCTGCTGCCAAAGAGTGCCACCAAGAGGAAGCTGGAGATCAAGAAGGATGCCAAGGTACGAATCATGTAGCATGTGCCTTGTGCCTGTAGCATGGAACATATGACTGTAGCATGTATCATATCATGTAGCATGTGGCTGTGTCATACTGGGTTCGCATTTGCAATGATATATCCCTGTATCCATGTGTTATACTTGTTCCCCCCTCCTCAGGGCATGGTCGTTGTGGAGAATGCGACTCTCATCGAGGTGCAGTACCTGTCCCAGCTGGAGGCGGTGGTGCAGGGGGGCATGGAGAGGAGGGCAGTGGCCGGCACGCAGATGAACGCCGAGAGCTCTCGGTCGCACCTGGTGCTGTCGATCGTGATTGAGACGACCGACCTGCAGACGCAGAACGTGTGCCGCGGAAAGGTGAGAGTGTGGGAGTGTCTGTGTGTGAGTGTGGGGGCGTGTATGTGTGTGTTTTTCTTCTTTTGTGTAACTCGATTTGCTGATACCCCCCCTAACTTGCCACCCCGAGTTACCCCTTTTACCCGATTGTTCTCCTCATCCAGAATTCCCGCCTTTCAGATGAGCCTTGTGCGCCTGGTGGGGTCGAGGGTAGTCGCTGTCAGAGGGCGAGTAGCCGAAGGAAGCCCAGTGCATCAACAAGTCGCACTCTGCTCCTCATCTCTCCTGAATCCAAAAGATGAAGACCAGAGTGCGACTTGTTGATGGAAAACTGTGCATCAACGACTTGCTGCCTCTCCCTCTTTCTTCTCCTTTTCCCTATTCCCTTCCCCCTCTCTCCACTGCCCCCGCTCCCTTTCCTTCCCTCCCCCATTTTCCCATTCTCCCCTCTCCCTTTCTTTCTTTCCTTCCACTCTCTCCACCCCCCCTCACCTCCAGCTGAGTTTTGTGGACCTGGCGGGATCAGAGCGGGTCAAGAAGTCACGCTCCGAGGGAGAGCAGCTCAGAGAAGCGCAATCCATCAACAAGTCCCTGTCGGCTCTGGGGGACGTGATCAGTGCGCTGGCGCAGGGCGGCGGGCACATCCCGTACCGCAACCACAAGCTCACGATGCTCATGAGCGACTCGCTGGGCGGCAACGCCAAGACGCTCATGTTCGTGAATATTTCGCCAGCGGATGGGAACCTCGACGAGACCCACAACTCGCTCACGTGAGTAGTTTGGGGGGGGGAGGGGGGGGAGGGGAGGGGGGGGGGGGAGGAGGAGTGTGGGGTTTGGTGAGGAGGGCGTGTGCTTGAAAACGCACAACTCGCTCGCGTGAGTGTGGGTTTGGTGACAGTGAGGTGATGTGATGGTACAGGGTGTTTTGAGCCAAGTCGCTCATGTTTGTGGATGCCTCTCCCGCCGATGGAAACCTGGACGAGACTCGCGCAAGGCAGTTGTGAGTCTCGTCTAGGTTCACATCCGTGGGGGAGACGTTCACGAACATGAGCGTCTACCTCCCTCTCTGCCGCCCCCCCCTCCTTGCCTGTGCCACTTGGGTGCAATCAACTGTTAACGAGACGTCGAAGAACCTCTCAGCAGTGGCCCACGAGCAGGGTAGCAACACTCTCTTTCCCTCTCTCCCCTCCGCATCCCTCCCTCTCCTCCCGAACAGCTATGCCACGCGGGTGCGGTCAATCGTCAATGAAGCGTCGAAGAATGTCGCCAACAAGGAGGTGCAGTGGCTCAAGAGCAGGATAGCAACAGGTTCCCTGCTCTCCTCCTTCTTCTCTGCTCCCTCTTCTCCCTGCCTCCCCTCCTCTTCTCTCCCTTTGTTTCGCGCAGCTACGCCACGCGGGTGCGGTCAATCGTCAATGAGGCGTCGAAGAATGTCGCCAACAAGGAGGTGCAGTGGCTCAAGAGCAGGATATCTCACTGGAAGCAGCTGGCCGGGGCGAGGGCCGAGGAGGAGGAGTTAGATGAGGTCAGCGAGATGAGGACGCCGGTCAGGAGGCTGCAGTTTGGCAAGGAAGGGGGGCCAAGTACGGAGTGAGGGTAAGGGGGGCAGGTATGGGGTGGGAAGCAGCTGGCCGGGGCGAGGGGGGAGGAGGAGTTGGATGAGGTGGGAAAGAAGAGGATGCCGGTCAGTGGCAAGGAAGGGGGCCGAGTACGGAGCATACGGGGTATGGTAGTGGTGGTGAGGGTGAGGGTCGGGAAGGCAGGTGCAAGGGGTGGGAAGCAGCTTGCATGGGCGAGGGTAGAGGAGGAGGAGCTGGAGATGTGTGAGTTGATGATGATGCTGGTTGAGTGGGCACTGAAGTCGGTAAGGGGTTATGCTTAGATGAAGCAATGAGGGGGCAAAGGCGCAGTGGAGATAATTGAGTGGAAGAGGGGCGGCGGCACAGCTACCAGGGGAGGAGGGGGCAGTGGAGTAAGGTGGGGCACCCAGGGTGGGACGCAGGAGGGGGAAAGTTGAGGACGAGAAAGCAGGAAGGAGTTGACTACAGACTGAGCCACGGCTGAGTGAGTGAAAGAATGTGTAGCGGTGAGGGTGTGGTGCTGGTTGTGCGTGGCATGTGAACAGCAGCCCTTTCTCCTCTGCTGTCCAGGCAACCTTGCAGCAGCGTTTCTCTGTTTTGTTTACGGTACTTGTGTTGATGCATTTGGGAGGAGAAGTCACCACAAGTGCATTCTTTTAGTACCAGTAGCTGCTGCCTTGAGTAAGCGTTGTTTATGAAGGTTGGCATGTGCTAGTCCCTGGTGTAGAGCCAGAGCATTTTCTGGTAGGATCTCTGCTGTTGCTGTCAGTGCCCTATCCATATTAAAGCTCAGTATGCTAGGTTGTAGTCACACAGAAACCATTGAAATGTACATGATTGCCTCTGCTGTGTATCTAATGATGCACTTTCCTCAACACCAAGCTTATTGAGAGATCTCATGGTGAGAAACACATCTGATCTGTTGGAAATCCGAATACAGTATAACGAATACTGTATACCAGTGTGCTGTTTGGTTTTAGTGTAGTCCCCTCTATAAGCCTCCATGATAAGGGGGGGGATTTACTGTTCCCTTTTGAACAGTACTTTCCAACTCACCCTTATCCTTATCCTCCTTGATTTCCTTGTGCCATCTGGCACTCTACTTCTCTTGCTTCTACTTTTGGTCTCTCACGTAGCACTTTCCATCATTAGATCATGCATGCTATATCAAGCTTGCTTGTATTGCCTAAAATCCATCAAATTCTCAATCCGTTTCCAGTGCAAGAGTTCTATCTTGTTCTTTCTACAAACACGTTTCCTCTACGCTGGCACTATGCCTTTCTAGCATGGTATCAGAGCAACTCTAGGGGGCATGCTGCCAAATTTGGTCTATAAAGTTGCTGGAATTCCCTTCGGATAGGTACCTGCAAACGCTCAGAGTACCAGGCACCTAGTATACGCTTTCGTACACGTGGTCTTCACTTCTGAAGTTATCTTGCGCGTGTAGCGCACACCTGGTGTACGGTTTGATCATGGCGCAATTCGATGACGAAGTGGATGCTGGATATGCGGCTTTTGAAGAAGCCATCTTGGCCCAGCATGAGCACCTGGAAAACATGATCTCAAGGGCACCACCAGCACTGCAGGCATCACTGCGAGTCAAGTTCAACATGCCAACAACCGCACACTCGTTGAGCAATCCGTCCACTCATGGACAGTCGCATTCAAGCACTCCTCGTACTAACCAAACGCATGCTTCCAATGTCGTTGCAGGAATTGATGGTGAAGGGGAAATGAGCATACCCCAAGGAGGAGAGTCATCCCAAGGGAGGGATGCATCCGTCCAAGGAGGGGGGAGCGCCAATCCCGCACCTCAATCATCCATGCAAAGAGAAGCGCGGGGGAGGAATGATGAGTATGGGAACGCATTATATGGTGGAATGAGAAGTGGACAGATTGGCCAGCAGAATGACGGAAATGGTCAAGTGGGCGTGGAAGGTGTGGGATTTGCCTCCTACACTATTGGTGCTCCCCCACTACGACGACTTGCGACTAACTCTCATCCCATTGGAGTTCTTCCCATGCCCAGGTCTCACCTTCGTGGCGACAACATCATCCCTCCGCGTGCACATCGTCCACCAATTAGCGCACACTCTGTGGGCAGCATGGGGCGGATGGGGTACGGAATGCAGTCAAGTGGTGTCATGCGACGGGATCAAGTGGAAGTGCTGGAACGTCAACTTGGTGGACAGAATGGAGATATGCGGCGCACGGTACAGCTACCTCGACCGTCAACCATGCCTACTCTCTTCGACCCCGCACCACGTGAATATACGGACGAAGACAAGGAACGACTGTCACGCAAAATGGTGGGAGCAACGGTGGACAAGGCATTCACCACCACTCCGTTTGACGGCTCAAATTTCCGCGAATGGGCACTACGGTTTCGTATGAACGCCCGCGTCACGAATCTGTGGGAGTTCTTTGTGACCCTGCAGTATCCGGTTACCATGGGAGATGGTGACATTGACGACGCTATGGGGCGGCTGGAAATGCTACAGGCGGATTACTCCCAGCGTGCGGCACTCGCCTTTTGGGTCCTATTGCACAGCGTGAGCGCCACGATTCAACTACAGCTAGACATGTTCCAGGAATCCTACAGCCCGGCTTATGAAGCATGGGAGTATTTGATGGACACTTACCAGGCCAAAGATTCGGTGGCGAAGGTCTCTCTCATGAAGCAGTTGGACAACCTGAAAATGGGGAATCAAGAGAGGGTGGAGGAGTATGTGAACCGCGCAACGGCGATTCGGGACAAGTTGGCGTTGGCGGGAAAGATGGTGGATGAGGACACATTCACCTTAAATCTGCTCACCGGACTACCGGCACATTGGGAGGAGATGAGGCACTCGGCAATGCTACACAACGTAACGGACAGCTTCACTTTGCAGCGGATGATGATTCGAGAGCAAAGATATCAAGACCTCATTACCAAGGCGAATCGTGACCCGCGTCCACCTCGCATGGCTGGACAAGCCCGTGGAGATCACTCACCTTCTCCACATGCTACGGGAAACATCGGAAATGATGAGATGGGTTCGGCGTGGTCACCAAAAGAGCGGCATGGGTCAGTTGGGGAGAAAATGCAAGGCAAGAATGGAGGTGCGGGTCGCTCAACTCTCGTGTGTTGGTACTGTAAGGAGCCAGGCCACCCCTTCTACAAGTGCACCAAGGCACCTCCAAATTGGTCACCACCAGGGTGGGAATCTCCTACCCGAGGGAGAACAAACCAACGCAGCAACTACAACCGTTCGTCCTCTCCACGAAGGAGTGGCAGTCCCAAGCATGACCAAAGTGCGTCACAACAACAAGGGGCAGCCGAAGGAGACAACAAACGCACCATTACCTGCATTGCAACGGTGCGATCATCACAAGCAACCTTACCCTCGGCTGGAAGGTCTTTCTGGCTGCTAGACAGCGGATGCAGCCAGCACATGACTTCGGACAAGCGCTGGTTTGAAGAGCTGAAGGAGCTGGCCGACCCTGTGAATGTGGAGCTTGCTGATGGAAGCCAACTGCGCAGCACGATGATGGGAACGGTCAGGGCAACGGCACCGGATGGGATAACAGTTCGCTACACTGACGTTCTCTACGTACCCGGCCTGAAATCCAATCTCCTCTCATACTGCCAACTGTACAAGAAAGGTGCACAGATTCGTACGCGTACTGACGGGCACACAGCGATCACAATGGCGGATGGAGATGAGCATGTGTGCATTGGACTTGGGATCATCATGCATGGGGTACTCATGGTGGAGTATGAGCCTGCACTTACATCCGCCCATGGTCCTGGTCCTTCCCGTGATGATGCATCATCGAAAGCGCATGGTGGTGAAGGGGACACAACTCTCTGCACACTGGGAGTGCACTTCGGTACACACGGAAGCTCAGATTTCCGCACACCTGAAATACACTTGAGTGGCCATTCTGCACACGCATCTGTCACATACCGCATGGCACACAAGCGTTTGGGGCATCCGTCATACGCTTCCATGGATGCCACATTTCGGAATGGTGACATTGAAGGGCTTACCATTTCTGACAAAACCAACCCTCTGAAGCCCCCGTGTGACTCTTGCTTGCGAGGAAAAATGACCAAAGCCCCTTTTCCTACAGGAAATGAGAAGCGGTCAAGTCGCCCTTTGGAGCTCGTGCACAGCGACATCATGGACCTGGGTGACGCCCACCCCTCACTTCGCTACGTCCTGACGCTCAAGGATGACTTTACCAACTACTTGTGGGTAGCGCCGCTAGTTCGCCGATCTGACATGCAAGCTGTCTTCACGGCATGGCACCGCGAAATGAAGACTAAGCTGCCTACAAAGCCGCTGGCTACCCTGCGCACGGACAACGGGGGGGAGTATACAGCAAACGCCTTCACAGAATATTTGAGTTCCCACGGCGTCATCCACGAAACGTCGTTACCGCACACCCCTCAGCAGAATGGAGTCGCGGAACGGGTTAACCGCACACTCATGGACAAAGTGCGGACCATGACTACCGGGGCCAGCCTCTCCTCCACCTTCTGGCCGTACGCGCTTGAGTACGCTACATGGTTACACAACCGCATCAGCTGCAGCAGCAACCCATCTGCGCACTCACCGTACTATATGATGACGGGGAAACCTGCGGACGTGTCCATGGCACGAACCTTTGGCTGCCTCTGCTATTACCTTCCTCCACAAGGCAGCTTTGGCAAGTTTGAGCAGAGAGGCCGAGCTGGCATGTTCCTCGGCATCTCCAACGTTCGGAAAGCGTGGATCGTGCGGGACATGGCAAGTGACGTGGACACGGACACTCGGTCTGCTCGCTTCTTTGATGACCTCATGTTGCCGGACGCAGACTCTCTCCTCGAACGTCAACGCTATGTCGATGAAGTCTCACCCCACGTTGCGGAGTGGACTTCAGGGGGAGAAGAAATTGAGCATGAGTTCGATCCTTTTCCGTCCTCCCCATCCTCTTCCGCGTCATCAACCGATATGCCAACTGGACACCAAGTATGCAGTACCCCTGCTGGAGGAATGGACAAGGACTCACCTGCAGCCGACGCAGCTGATTCAAGTGGAGCTGCAACCAATGACATACCTGCGGCAGGTGTTTCTATTTCAGAGAACGGGGACGACCATGGCATGGAGAACGAGACATGTCACCTTTATGACTTTGCCTACCCACCTGAAGGAATTCCACTGACCGAACAAGGTGCACCACAACGACGAGTTCACTTTGATCCGACTGTAACTGTGCTCGGAGAAGAAGGGCAAGCTGCGCACCGCATAACAGGGCTGGACGTGCTACTTGGAAA